TTTGATTTATCAATGATCACTTCCATATGCTTTTGAGTTTAAAATTTTTCTTCCCCTCCCTCCCCACTACCGTTCCTGATGGCACACAATCTGATATAGGCTATATATATATATATATATATATATATATATATATATATAAAACATATTTTCACATTAGTGATGTTGTAAGTAAAAATTAAATAGGAGGAACCACTGGAAAGAGGAAACAAAACTCAAGAGAAGAGAAAAAAAATAGCAATTCAACTTCCATAGTTCTTTCTTTGGATGTGGATAGCATTTTCTATCACAAGGCCTTTGGAGATGTCTTAAATCCTTGTATTGCTGGGAAGGGTTAAATTTATCAATATTAGTCATCGCACAACATGGCTGTTATTATGTACAACGTTCTCCTGGTTCTGCTCACTTCACTCAGCATCAGATCATACACGTCTTTCCAGGTTTTTCTGAAGTCAGCCTGTTCATCATTTCTTATAGCACAATAGTATTCCATTACATTCATATACCACAACTTGCTCAGCCATTCCCCAATGGATGGGTGTCCTCTCAATTTCCAATCCTTTGCCACCAAAAAAGGGCTGCTAAGAATATTTTTGTAGATGTGGGTCCTTTTCCCATTTGTATGATCTCTTTGGAATATAGCCCTAGAAGTGCTATTGCTGGGTTAAAGGGTATGTACATTTTTATAGCCCTTTGGGCATAGTTCCAAATTGCTCTCCAAAATGGTTGTTTCATTTCACAACTCCACAAACAATGCATGAGTGTTCCAATTTTCCCACATCTTCTCCAACATTTACCATTGTCCTGTTTTGTCATCTTGGCCAGTCTGATGGGTGTGATGTGGTACCTCAGAGTTGTTTTGACGTGCGTTTCTGTAATCAATAGTGATTTAGAGCATTTTTTCATATAACTGCAGATGGCTTTAATTTCTTCATCTGAGAACTGCCTGTTCATATCCTTTGACCATTCATCAATTGGGGAATCAATAAACACTTATTAAGTGCCTACTATGTCTACTATGAGCTAGACAGTGTGCTGAGTGCAGAAGATACAAAAAAGAGGCCCCCCTCAAGGATCTCACGGTCTAGTGGAGAAGACAAGTAAAGAAATATGTGGCATTTTTTAGGGCAGCTAGGTGGCACAGTGGATAGAGTACTGGGCCTGGAGTCAGGAAGACTAATTTCCTGAGCTCAAATTTGACCTCAGACACTTACTAGCTGTGTGACTCTGGGCAAGACACTTTACCCTGTTTGCCTCAGTTTCCTCATCTATAAAATGAGCTGGAGAAAGAAATGGCAAATCACCCTAGTATCTTTGCCAAGAAAACCCCAAATGGGGTCACAGTCTAATGGAGAAGACAACAATATAGAGCAAACTATAAACTTGTATACATTATAGAACAAGAAATAAACAGGAAGGAGGCACTAGAATTAAAAGGGATTAGGAAAAGCTTCCTGCAGAAGAGGAGATTTTAGTTGGGACTTAAAGGAAGCCAGGGAAACCAGCTGGAGATGAGGAGGGGGAACATTCCAATGGTGGGGATGACCAGAGAGGAGTATCCAGCCAGGAGGTCAGTGTCACTGGCCTGAAGAAGAGGCGGTAGGGAGTAGGGTGTAAGAAGACAGGAAAGGTAGGGGGCTTAGGCTATGAAGAGCTTTGAACACCAAAAGGGGGTTTTGTATTTGATTCTATGTCATGGACCTCTGTGGCAGTCTGGGGAACCCTATGGACCCCTTCTCAGAATGTTTTTAAATGAATAAAATAAAATACATACGTTTACAAAGGAAACCAATTATATTGAAATGCAGTTACAAAAATATGAAAAAACCCATATTCTTGGACCCCAGGTTAAGAACCTCTGCCCTAGTAGACTGCCTATGAACCTGGAGAGGAAATTTACAAGGAAATGAGTCTATAAGCAATGTATATATCACTCTGTCTCGGCCCATTTTAACTGCTGCTGTGGGTACCTAGTTTTGAATGAATGAAAATACATTTATAAAGTGCTTATGATATCCCCAGCACTGGGGATACAGAGCTGGAGCAACGACTGTTTACCACGTGTAGTATGGGTGTGTTGTTTTGTGGCTTTAAGGGAGGCAGAACAGATATCTCTGGCCGCTTCTCCCTCCACCCTTCTCCAAAGGAGACTTCCGTTCCTTCCGAGAAGGAAAGCAGGAGGTTGGGGCAATGAATACACATAGCAATTAACAGAGAAATCCCATTGATCCAATTCAGTAATAAAATAAAAACCAGAGGGAGCATACATAAGAGAATACATACCAGGCAGTACAGAGTGAGGGATGTCTCCCACTGGGAATGAGATAACTCGGTTCCACCACTAGAGTCCTGGGCCTCACCCAAGGGGAAATTCCCGAAGTCTCTAGCGTAGCAAGCAAGACATGGTGGAGATGGCCAGCTTTTCTTTTGAAGCTGGAAACCAGACGCATCTGATGTAACTGCAACGCCCAAAGAGCCTGAAAAGACTTGAAGAAAGCCCAAAGACTTGAGCCTTCTCTCATTCTCTCTCAATCTTGCTCATTCTGGCCGCCTTTGATTTAGGCTTCTGCATCGTTCTCCACCCACGGTGAGAGAATCCCATGTAGATGGGTTTGGGGACTGGGTTACAAAAATAAAAAGAGATCGTTCCTGCCCCTCAAGAAGCTTAGGACCTTTAAAAAATTATTTATTTTTATTATATTCTGTCCTTCTTCCTCAATCGAACAACAAGCGGAACAAGAAAAAGGAAAAGCTTCAGCATAAACACAAATAGTCTAGCAAAACAAATCCTACGCCGACTGTGCCTGAAAATGTAATACTTTTCAGTGTATCGCTTCTCTGGCAAGAGGTGGACGGTGTGTTTCATCTTCAGTCTTCTGGACTCCTAGTTTCTCATTCCATTGATCACAGTTCTAAAGCCTTTCGAAGCTCCCTTTATGAATATCATTGTGTAAATCGTTCTACTAGTTCTGCTCATTTTTGTCTCCACAAATAGATCATCAATGCCGTCCATGTTTCCTCTGCAACTGCCCAATGGATCATTTTACAGTAATATTCCATTACCTTCATAATTTCCTCATAAGAGAAGAGCCCCTTAGTTTCCATTTTTTTATTACTATGAAAGCAGCTGCTCCAAATATTTTTGTAAACATGGATTCTTTTAATCTTTGATCTCTTTGGGGTGGTGGTGGTGGTGGTGATCTAGGCTTCTGCACTGATTCCAACCCATGGTGTGAGAATCCCACGCAGATGGGTAGTGGTATAGTAGTGGTGCGGCTGGATCTAGTGGAGATATGGCAAGGAGCTCCTAATTCCATGGGGGGTGGATGCCACACCATGTAGACTGGTGGTCTGGGAGGGACACAATGGTCTGAAGGTCACGGGAATTGTGAGTGAGGAGTGCTTGGCACACCCCATCCAGGAACAATGGCAGATGGGAGCTGACTGTGGTTCCATAGCTGCGATGGGTGGGGGTAGGGAGGTAAAAGCATTTGCCACGTTGTTTAGGAGGTGGCCAGACGGGAGAGGGTGAAGTTAATTAAGCACGGCTAGGGTTTAGCTGGAGTTTCTACAGAGGCGTTTGGAGAGGAGGGCGCCTTTCCTAGTATCACACATCGCATTTACTCCGAATGTATCTTTTAGGAGGACGCTGGTTTGGTTGTGGTGCGCAACAACCCCCCCCCCCGCCCCATTAGACTGGGAGTCCTTGCGTTTTGCCTTTCCTTTTCTATCCCCAGGGCCTAGCACAGTGCTTGGCACATACACAGCTAGAACTTGATCCTTGCAAGCTTCGGGAGGACAGCCGTGTTTCCTAGAACATACAATGGAAGTCTCCATTCCGACCCCCCTAGAATTCGGAATGGACTCTCCCCGTCCGGCGAGGACCTTGGAGTTTTGGAGGGAGGGCGAGGTGGGCTTCACCCAACAGAGCCCTGCCCCTACCCGTCGGACTCTCTACAGCCTCAGTCCAGAATCATGGGGGTATATCTTCCCCCAGAATTAAGAATAGACTCTTCCCATCCACTTAGACCCTCTTGATGGAGCAGCCTACGTAACCTTGGGAGTAGGGGAGGCAACTTCTCCCGGTCTCCTTCTACCTTCCCCCGAAATTCAGAATAGACTCTCCTAGAATCTGTTGAAGGAGCAGTCCAAGGACTCTTGGGGGGGCAGGGGACACGTCCTTCCCTATATTTCGGCATGGATTGTCCCAGCCTTCCTAGAATCTATTGACGGAGCAGTCCAAGGACTCTAGGAGGGGGGGCAGGGGACACATCCTCCCCTATACGGACTCTCCCAGTCCGCCTTCCTAGCAGCTACGTAGAAGTCCATGGACCCACGGGAGAGATACTCCCCCCCGAATTCGGAACGTCCAGTCTCAGTCATTATTTCCTGAGCCCACGGAGGCCAGGTTCATGGTCGATACCGGGGAACGTCTCCGAAGACTCCTCACAAACCCACAACACTCCTTCCGCTCTCCCCTACCCCAGCCTCTTTTCTGCAGCAGGGAATTGCAGACCTCATTTCACCTATCCCAGCTGCTCCGCCCCTTGGCCAATAGCTGATGCTTCTGTGTTTCACCAATCCCTTTTGGTATCGGGGGAGACCTGCGTCACGATTGGTCTGGACTTTTCTTCCCTTCCCATTTCCCCCGTACGATTCGCCGGCAATGGCGGAAGTGTATCAGGCTCCTCCAATCGGCGCAAGGATGGGAGAGCAGGGGCGGGGTTTTTGCGCTGAGGTGAACTCCTCCTGTCTCCCAGGCAACTCCCCTCCCCTCCCCTTTCCCCTACGTCCTCCTGCTTCCCCGACCTAGTCCTCTGGGCGGAAACGGCGGCCGAGCTTGGCCAATGGGAAGCTGGTGGGCGGAGGCAGCTCTGCGCGACGTAAACTTGGCCCAATAGGGACAGGGAATAGGCGGGGCGACTGCGGTGACGACCAATAGGTGCTGTGAGACGCGGGGGCGGGCGCCCAATGAGGGGGCGTCGACGCAGCCCGCCTGCCTGTCTGCCGCGGTCCCTCCCTTTCTCCCTCAGCGCCGAGGAGAGGAGCGTCCGGTGGTCCCGGCCCCGGCTCCGGCTCCGGCTCCGGCTCCGCCCCCGCCCCCGTCCCCCAGCCCTCCCGGTCCGGCCCCGGAGCCCGGGGGCCCCGCCGCCATCATGCCGGCCGTGTCCAAGGGTGACGGCATGCGGGGCCTGGCCGTGTTCATCTCGGACATCCGCAACTGTGAGCGGGGCGGGGGCGGGGGCGGGGCCTGGGGCGGGGCCACGCACGGGTCGGTCCCTACTCCAGAGGCTGCTGAGGCTCCCTAGTGCTGCAGGCGCCCCTCCCCGGCCTTGGTAGAGTCATGCCACCCTCAGCTGATCAGGCCCCAGAGAAGAGACCACCCCCCCCATCATCTAGGCCAGCCCCTTATTGTAGGGAGGAGAGTGAGGACTAGCCCAAGGTCACCCAGGTAGAGAGGAGCATTAGAACCCAGGTCCTCCGCCTGCCTGGAGCGGGGGCGTTGTAGGGGGCAGGGCCTGGGGACTGATGGGGGGCACAGGTGGGCGGGGGCATGGAGGGAGGGGAAAGAAGCAGCACCTAACTGTGTGCCAGGCCCTGCGCTGAAGTAGAGACGGGGCCTGCCCTTGGGGAGCTTATAGTCTAACAGGATAACTAGGGAGTAGTTACCAGGAGGGCACCTTGAAGGAGATGCCGGACCCCAGCTGGAGGCCCGGGGTCGCTGGACGGGAGAGGAGGGGCCTGGGATGCCGCACGGGGTTTGTGTTCGCTCCTGGAGGCCGTGGGGAGTATTGGGGGCAGCCGTGACAGGGATGCCGGGGTCACACCTTGGGGGCTGAAGATGGGGGGTGGAGACCCCAGGCAGGCAGCTGCTGATGGAGCCAGGGGCTGAGGGCTTGGCACCGTACTGGACATGGGGCGGGGGGCATGAGTTCAGTTTTGGACATAGTTTAAGATGTCTGCTGGATATATGGTTCAAGCCTCATGACAATCTCGGTTGGTAGGTGCTTTCTTTACTGTTGAATAAACTGAGGCAGGCAATGTCGTGGGTCACACAGCTAGTAAAATGTCTGAGGCTGGATTTGAACTCAAGCTTAGTGCTCAGATCTGTGGGTCAGGCAGGGGAAGAGAGAGAAGCCAGGGTAAGGAGCCTGGCAGCTCTGAGAGGGAAGGAAGACCAGGAGGGAGAATGACTGGGAGTACCCACATTCAGGAAGGATGGAGAGCGTGCGAGTGTGAAGAGGGAGCCATGTCGAGTCCTGCCTTTTGGCTAAAAAAAATCTCACTGGAATAGCCCTCTGCGAGGCCATGTGTAACGTGGGAGCCCAGGACTGGGAATGGCAGGGTCTGGCCTGCTCAGACCCACCCGGAGTCACCTGTCTCCTCCAGAGGCCAGCCAGGAATTGGGCCTGGGAGCACAAGGGAGCTGTGGCTAGGAGCTCCCAGGGAGGCTGGCCAGCTGGGGAGCAGACTGCCTTGGGGGTGCTGGGGGGTGCTCGGGGAGGCTTTAGAACCTCCAGCCAAACCAACAATCACTGGTGCCAGGCATTGGACATACAAAGCCTCAGACACTAGCTGTGTGACCCAGGGCATTGCCTGCCTCAGAGACGAAAAAGGCTTCCTGCCCTCATGGGCCCCACGTTCACGGAGGTTGTATTCACTATGGACCAGTTTAAAAAAACAACAGTGATTTTGGTGTGGGATGTAATAACCGGGTAACCGGGAAAGTCCTGACCTATGAGGATGCTTTGAATGGCATCTCCAAGGGTGCCAGGAGTCTGAGGAGGGAAAGCCTTTTGGGCCTGAGGAATAGTCTGGATAAAGGCTTAGAGGGGAGACAGCGTATTGTGCATCGGGGGAAGGGAAGAAGGCTGTATAGAGCTCCTACTGTGTACTGAGGGCAGCTAGGTGGTGCAGTAGATAGAGCACCAGGCCTGGAGTCAGGAAGACCTGAGTTCAGATGTGGCCTCCTACACTAGCTTTGTGACCCTGAGCAAGTCACTTCACCCTGTTTGCCTCAGTTTCCTCATCTGTCAAATGAGCTGGAGAAGGACCTGGCAAACCACTCTAGTATCTGCCAAGAAGACTCCACATGGGGTCATGGAGAATCAGACGTGACAGAAACAACTGAACAGCACCACTGCGTGCTAAGTATTGTGCTGAGCGCTTTTCAAATATCATCTTATTTGATCCTCCTGATCGACCTGGGAGGTCGGTGCTCTTGTTATCCCCATTTTGCAGAAGAGGAAACTGAGGCAGAGGTGAAGCGACTTGCGCAGAGTCGCAGAGCTAGGATGTGTCTGAGGCCAGATTTGGACTCAGGTCATCCTGACTCCAGGCCTGTTGGGCTGGGATGTAGAGGGCAGGATGGCTGGGAAGAGGGAGTGTGCTAGACAGTCTGGGGGCTCGGAGGGGAGGACAGACTGTGAAGAGGAGACTCTGACCCTCTGACCTTGGGCAGGTCCCTGTTGCAGGTCGTGGTTTTCCCTTCTCTTCAGTGAGGGACGTGGAGGATGCCCTTGAGCGTCCCTTCCACTCAGGCGGCGTGTCACCCCAGGATGGGGTCTAGGGAGGTCCTAGGGCGGGAGGGGGAATATTTCAGGCCTGGATCTCCACCCCCTCTCCCCAGGTAAGAGCAAAGAGGCAGAGATTAAGAGGATCAACAAGGAGCTGGCCAACATCCGGTCCAAGTTCAAAGGTGAGTGGGAGGGGCTGGGGCGGTGGGGCCAAGGCTGGCTCCCCACCCCCACCCGTACTCCATCCTGGCCTGCGTCCACATGTGGTCCGTCCTCTCCTCCCAGGGGACAAGGCCCTGGATGGGTACAGCAAGAAGAAGTATGTCTGCAAGCTGCTCTTCATCTTCCTCCTGGGCCACGACATCGACTTCGGCCACATGGAGGCTGTGAACCTGCTCAGTTCCAACAAGTACACGGAGAAGCAGATTGTGAGTGGGGCTGAGCACGGGGGGGGGGGGGTGGTTTGGGGCGGGGGCGAGGCCCCGGCTGAGGCACCCCCTCGGGCTCCTTGGACCAGGGCTACCTGTTCATCTCGGTGCTGGTGAACTCCACGTCGGAGCTGATACGTCTCATCAACAACGGAGTCAAGAATGACCTGACCAGCCGGAACCCCACCTTCATGTGCCTGGCCCTGCACTGCATCGCCAACGTGGGCAGCCGCGAGATGGGCGAGGCCTTCGCTGCCGACATCCCCCGGATCCTGGTGGCAGGGTGAGGGGGCGGGCGGGGGTGGCGGTCGGGACTGGCTGCAGGGGGGGCAGGCGTGGTGGAACGGGGCGACCCCTGAGCCCTGTCCGCCCCAGGGACAGCATGGACAGCGTCAAGCAGAGTGCCGCCCTGTGCCTGCTGCGCCTGTACAAGGCCTCGCCCGACCTCGTGCCCATGGGCGAGTGGACGGCCCGTGTGGTACACCTCCTCAATGACCAGCACATGGTGAGGCGCCTGGAGCCCTGGGGTGGGCGGTGGGGGGCTCGGGAGTGGGGCCCGGGGCCTCAGTCCTGACCTGCTCCCCCGCCCACAGGGCGTGGTCACTGCTGCTGTCAGCCTCATCACTTGCCTCTGCAAGAAGAACCCTGAGGACTTCAAGACTTGTGTCTCTTTGGCTGTGTCGAGGCTGAGCCGGGTGAGCGGGCCGGTGGGCTGCGTCTTCTCTCTGCTTCTGCTTCTCCCCCTGTCTGCCTGCCTGCCGCTGCCCCTACTCCCCTCTCAGTGCTCTGTCTCCTCTGCCTTGGTTTCCTCCTCCTGTTTCACAAGCACCTGGTCACCAGGGAGGCTTTGTGGCCTGCCCCAGGCCAGCCTAAAGTCAAGGGCCTCAAGAGAGAGGACAGCTCAGCTGGCCTGCTGCAGACCATTCCAGACCCTACCATCCAGTCTTGGATTCTTAGGGGGCAGGTGATAACCCTCTTGTCAATGTGCTCTGCCACCCTAAAAATCCTCCACACACGTGAGTGGTGCACATTGTTGGTTGTGGTGGTGTGAGGGAAGGAGGCTGGAAAATACAGTCCCAGCAGACCTGGTATGTAGGCCCAGCCCACTGTGGGCAGTGTGGGATCTAGAACTGCCAAGCTGTGGGGGCATCGCCAGAGAGCCGGGGGCGGGGGGGGAGCCATGCCCGGACCACCACTGGGCCAGAGGTGGGCGCAGTCATGGGCAAAAGCCAGCTGCTGAACTTTCCCGCTGCACCCGCACATTCCCCCTCTCCTAGGGACCAGTCTGACACTCCCCTCCCCAGAGGCCCTGCCTCAGTGGGCCCAGCAAGAGTTTGGTTCTGAAAATGGCAGCGTTCAAGTGAGTATTTGAACCCGGGTCAGGGGAGGAGCACAGGAAAGCTGGAGGCGTAGCTCCCCTCTCCCCCACGGCCTTCTCTCTATCTCTCTGTCTCCCTTTCTCTTTCTGTCCCTCTCCCTTCCTTCCTCTCCCTCCTTGCCTCTCCCTCCCTCTTCCCTTCTACCCCACCTCATCTGTCTCTTCCCCTCCCTCCTCCTCCTTCCTTCCTGCCATCTCTCTCCCCTTTCCTCTCTTCCCCTCCCCCTGTCTCTCCATCTTCCCTGCCATCTCTTCTCCTCCATCTACCATCTCTCTCTCTCTTTCCCCTTTTCTCTCTCTTCCTCCCACTCTCTCCCCACTGCCATCTCATCTCTGTCCTCCCCTTCCCCCATGCCCCCCAGATCGTCTCCTCAGCCTCCACAGACCTCCAGGACTACACCTACTACTTTGTCCCCGCTCCGTGGTTGTCTGTGAAGCTGCTCCGTTTACTGCAGTGTTATGCACCACCAGGTAGGCCCTGTTCCTGGAAAGTTCTGGAAGGTTCCGGAGCAGCCTAGGCCTCGTCCTTGTAGTTGGGCCCCTGCGTCCCCACGTTAAGGGCTTCTTCTTTTCCCTGGGCCTGCAGGTGGCCAGGCCACTGGAGGAGAGGAGGATGGGGATGAAAAGGCTCGGGCAGCCCTCTTGGGGCCGAGCCTACCTGTCCAGTGGGAAGCCTTCAGGGCCTCAGTGGGTCGTGGGGTGTAGTCCTTCGAGGCCATGCTTGGGGGGGGGGCTGGGGCTGGACTGGGCCAGGCAGTGACCCTTCCCTGTCTCCTCTGGGCCCCAGAGGATGCCGCAGTGAAGGGGCGGCTGGTGGAGTGTCTGGAAACAGTCCTGAACAAGGCCCAGGAACCCCCCAAGTCAAAGAAGGTGCAGCATTCCAATGCCAAGAACGCCGTCCTCTTCGAGACCATCAGCCTCATAATCCACTATGACAGGTCTGGGGGCTGCCCAGGCTTGGGGCTGGGGAAGGCCTGGCCGGGATGAACCGTCACCCTCACCTGTCTCCCTGATGCATAGTGAGCCCAACCTCCTGGTGCGGGCCTGCAACCAGCTGGGCCAGTTCCTCCAGCACCGTGAGACCAACCTGCGTTACCTGGCCCTAGAGAGCATGTGCACGCTGGCCAGCTCCGAGTTTTCCCATGAGGCCGTCAAGACCCACATCGACACGGTCATCAACGCCCTTAAGGTACTGCCCCCAGTTCTGCCGGCCTCCACCCCACCCTGGCTCCCTGTCATTTCCTGCCCCTCAGCCCTCACCATCTCCCCATCTGCCCCAGACGGAGCGTGATGTCAGTGTGAGACAGCGGGCGGCTGACCTCCTCTACGCCATGTGTGACCGAAGCAACGCCAAGCAGATTGTGTCGGAGATGTTGCGCTACTTGGAGACGGCCGACTACGCCATCCGGGAGGAGATTGTGAGCTGGCTCCCTGGCCCAGCGGGGACCCCGGGGGCTGGAGGCCAGGGAGGGGGCTGCCTCACCCACAGGGTGCCTTGCCTCATCCTCGCCAGGTGCTGAAGGTGGCGATCCTGGCTGAGAAGTATGCGGTGGATTATAGCTGGTATGTGGACACCATCCTCAACCTGATCCGCATTGCGGGCGACTATGTGAGTGAGGAGGTGTGGTACCGCGTGCTCCAGATTGTCACCAACCGGGACGACGTGCAGGGCTACGCGGCCAAGACTGTCTTTGAGGTCAGGCCCTTCTGCTCTGTCTCCTCCTGTGCCCCTTTCCTCCCCCCGCCCCCACATGTCCCCTGCCCCCTGTCCCCAAAGGTCATGCCGTCCGCCCCTCCCTTCCTCAGGCCCTCCAGGCACCGGCCTGCCATGAGAACATGGTGAAGGTTGGCGGCTACATCCTCGGAGAGTTTGGGAACCTCATTGCTGGAGACCCGCGCTCCAGGTGAGGGCTGCCGGGCCCTTGGGTGGGGCGGGGTGGAAGGGTGCAAGCTTGAGGACCGGCGGTGCCAGTGGCCTCATGCCCTGTGCCCACACAGCCCCCCGGTGCAGTTCTCACTGCTGCATTCCAAGTTCCATCTGTGCAGCGTGGCCACGAGGGCACTGCTGCTCTCCACCTACATCAAGTTCATCAACCTGTTCCCTGAGACCAAGGCCACCATCCAGGCGGTGCTGCGGGCGGGCTCCCAGCTGCGCAATGCCGACGTGGAGCTGCAGCAGCGCGCAGTCGAGTACCTTACCCTCAGCTCCATCGCCAGCACTGACGTCCTGGTCAGTGGGGCCACAGCCCGGCCGCCAGCGGCCTCTGTCCTCGGTTTCGAGATGAGGGGGTGGTGCTGGGGTTCGGGGTTTGGGCCTGGCCTGGGGCTCCCATCCAGCCTCCCTGGAGTAATGCTCCTCTTTGCCACCCCACTCCCAGGCCACAGTACTGGAAGAGATGCCTCCTTTCCCAGAGAGGGAGTCATCCATCCTCGCCAAGCTCAAGCGGAAGAAGGGCCCCGGGGCGGCCAGCACCCTGGATGATGGGCGCAGGGAGCCGGGGCCTGGGGGTGACGTGAATGGGGGTGTGGAACCGGCCCCCAGTACTGGGGTAGGAGCCAGAGGAGAGGTAGGGGAGGTGGGTGGGCCACCCTGCCCCCCAGCCGCACTACATGGGCGCCTTCTCTTTGCAGTCTACACCCTCGCCCTCTGCTGACCTCCTGGGGCTGCGGGCGGCCCCTCCCCCTGCAGCCCCCCCAGCACCTCCCAGTGCCGGCAGCCTCCTGGTGGATGTGTTCTCTGACAGCCCCACGGGGGGCCCACCCAGCCTGGGGCCCAGCCCTGAGGAGGCCTTCCTCAGGTACTTGGGGCCCCTGGCCCAGCCCTCCTCTGGAGCCTTCCACGCGGCCCCTCTCTGGGTGCCCTTTCTGTTGTCTGAGTCCTAGGCCCTTCCTCTCTGGCTCCCTCTGTCCTTCCCTCCCGGCGTCGTCAGTCTTGTGCTCAGCCTGCTCTCCTCTCTCTGCCTTGCTGCCTCCCTGGGATTGGCTGCCTGCCCTGTCCTTCTCCCGTGTCTGTCCTGGGATTGGATGGCCCAGTGAGCTGGAGCCCCCAGCCCCTGAGAGCCCTAGGGCCTTACTGGCCGACCAGGCTCCAGCTGCTGAGTAAGGGGGAGGGGGCCGGAGACCTGGGGGCCTGCGGGGTGGGCACGGGGAAGGGGCCTGGAGGGGCTGGGGTACTGGGGGCTGAGGAGGAGGCCCTGGGAGGAGGGGAGCCTGAATGTAGGGGAGCCCTGTGTACTTTGTTTTTGTCTTTTCTGGGGAAGCATCTCTCTTCCTCTTCCCTGCCTTATCTCTTCTCTTTCCCACCAGCCCAGCTGCTGAGGACCCCGGCATCCCCATCCCCGAGGCTGACGAGCTTCTGCACAAGTGAGTGCGGGGGGCTGTGGGGAGGCAGGGCCGGGGCCCAGAGCTCAGGCCGGCCCTCACTCAGGCCGGCCCCGTGTGTTCACAGGTTCGTGTGCAAGAACAGCGGGGTCCTCTTTGAGAACGCTTTGCTGCAGATCGGGGTCAAGTCTGAGTTCCGGCAGAACCTGGGTGTGTAAGCCTGAGAAGGGGTGGGTGTTTGGGAGGGGGCGGTCAGGGAGGGCAGCAGTCCCTCTGAGCCGGGCTCAGAGGCCCCTTCTCTTCCCAGGACGCATGTATCTCTTCTATGGAAACAAGACCTCGGTGCAGTTCCAGAACTTCTGTCCCACTGTTACTCACCCTGGGGACCTCCAGTCTCATATCCTCCTCAAGACTGCAGTCCTGATTCCAGGCTCCCCACCTCTCCCTTGCCCTGCCCTGCTGGGTGACAGCTCCCCCCCCCCCCGTAGTCCCCGCCACCCGCTCAGGTTTCCTTCCTTGACGCCTCTGGGTGCACAGCTGGTGGTACAGACCAAGCGGGTGCCGGGCCAGGTGGATGGGGGTGCACAGGTGCAGCAGGTCCTCAACATTGAGTGTCTGAGGGACTTCCTCACACCCCCTTTGTTGACTGTGCGTTTCAGGTGAGGGGCTGGGCCAGCTGGGGTGGGGGCAGAGAGCTCTGGGGACAGGGCTGGGCTGGGTGCACAGGCGGACGAGGCCTGCACAGCCAGGGGCCTCCTTTGCCTTCCTCCTGTCCAGGTACGGGGGTGCTCCTCAAGCCCTCACTCTCAAGCTCCCGGTGACAATCAACAAGTTTTTCCAGCCCACTGAGATGGCTGCCCAGGCCTTCTTCCAGCGCTGGAAGCAGCTGAGCCTGTGAGGGGCTGCTGAGGGGCTGGGGTGGGGATTGTGGGTGGGAAGTGGGTGCAGCCCCACCTGGGGCTCAGCCTGTTTGCTGTCTGTCTTGTCATTTCCAGCCCCCAACAGGAGGCCCAGAAAATCTTCCAAGCCAATCACCCTATGGATTCTGAGGTGACCAAGGCCAAGGTGAGGGAGCAGGGTCCCCCGGGGTCAGGGGTCAGGGATCTGGGAGCCGCCCTGCCTTTCCTTTCTTTGCATTCGCAGCTCCTGGGCTTTGGCTCAGCCCTGCTGGACAACGTGGACCCAAACCCAGAGAACTATGTGGGTGCTGGGATCGTGCAGACCAAAGCCCTGCAGGTGGGCTGCCTGCTGCGGCTCGAGCCCAACGCCCAGGCCCAGGTGGGAGAGGGTGTGTGTGTGTGTGGGGGGGGCGCTCCCAGTCCCGCGGCTCACCCCCGTCCCTGACCCCTGCTCCTTGTCTCCTGGCCCCAGATGTACCGCCTGACTCTCCGGACCAGCAAGGAGAGTGTATCTCGTCACCTGTGTGAGCTGTTGGCTGAGCAGTTCTGACCTTGGACCGTGGGCACCCCTGCCCGGAGAAGGGATGGGGGTGGGGCCAGTGTGGCAAAGGGCTCAGCTCTCTGGGAGTCTGGGCCAGGGGCCCCAGGGCACCTGGAATCAGAGGCGGCCTCCAGGTGGCAGAGCCTGGCCCCCTGGCCAAGGCCTTCCCCTTTGCCCTTTTGTATCTATTTTTTGATCTGCTGCTGTTTACAGTGTCGGGGCCCCCTTCCCTAAAGCACAGAGGGGAGGGGGCTCGGGCTGTCCCCTCCTCTGCCCTGCCCCTAGCCCACTGTGTATTAATGCGAGTGAATAAAGAGAAGAGACGCTGGGACGGTGGCAGGTCTGGGCACTTTATTGGGGCTTAGAGGACTGGCGTAAGAGCATGCAGGGTCCGAGTGGCCAGACCCCGCAGGGCATATGTCGGGCTCTGGGGACTCACCAGCAGCAGGAGGCGGCGGGGCCCTGCCTGCACTGCCACCAGCCTGAGCCCAGCCCCAGGGTCCTGTAGGCCCTGTGGCCCCTCCGCAGCTACCCCAGACACCACATAGCAGGCCCGTGGAACCTCCGTGGGGCATCCCTGCTCCTCGGCCTTTTCTTCTGAGGAGAAAAGGGAAAAAGCTGGCTAGGGATCTGGGGCTCCCCCCTCCTCTGCCCTCCCTGCAAAGCCTTGGGCCTGGCTGACCTGGGGGGAAATGGGTGGCAGTGACCAGCACGTAGAAAGAGCGTAGGAGGCGCCGGCGGATCCTGGGAGAAGGACCTAGTGGGGAGAAGGACCTCGAAGCTGCCTCCCTGTCCCACTTCTCCCCCCAGTCCCCTCCCACACTATGATTGGTCACCCCATGACTCGCCTTCCTCTCCGCCAAGGTCCACTGCGAAGAGGCCACGTCTCTGCTCTAGGTGCAGGAGGAGGAGCCTGGCGGGGGAGACCCTGTTAACCTCGTGGTCTTGGGGCATGGGCTTAAGTCATCCAGGTCCTGGCTCCCGTCCCACTTACCCTAGAATACCAGGGTGCAGGGGGAAGCCTGCAGGAATCCCCCGAGGTGCGAGGGCCACGCAGGCCCTCAGTGGCTCAAGCACAGGCTGCCACCAGCGTTCTAAGACCTAGGGCAGGATTTAGGGGAGAGGCCAGGGTCAAGGCCTGCGTAACACTGGCGTGGGACCGCTAGGTGACCATGGGCCAGTGGCTCACCTGAGGCTCCACCTGGCTCAGAGGTGGCTGAGGTCCACACAGCACACACAGCTCCAGGCCAGGTAGCAGCATCAGCGTCAGGAGCCGGTGAGGCACCTAATAAAGGGGCAGCTTAGGGGATGAGGGGAAAAACCCCCAGGCCCTTTCCCTGTGCCTACCCTGCTACTCACTCACCGTGGGGCTCCCATGGGGCAAATAAACAGGGTAATCACGAGCAGCCTGGAATGGGAGGGTGCCCACAAGCCAGGGCAGCAGCACTGCCTCTGGTGCCCCAAGGCGCCACCAACCCTCCGTCCCCACAACCACCCGGCCGCCTGCTACCAGGCTGGCGAAGACACTGCCCATCTCCTCGGCGAAGCCTGCCAGGGCCTCCTGAAGGAGAAAGGCTGAGATCAGCTGGGCCCGGTCCAGCCCAGCCCTCCCCTCCCCTCCCTCTCTCCCTGTCATCCCCAACCTGCAGCAGCGGCCCGTCTGCAGGGACGATGCAGTCCACGCACTGAGTCAGGTCCCCGGCCAGCTCCGAGTCCACCAGCAGGCTGTCGATGAGGCCATAGGCGGCCTGGGGAGAGAAGGGCCAGGCGGAGCCTCGGGTGCCAGCTCCCCGCCCGATCCCGGCCCTCCTGCGGCCCCAGCCCCCGGCTCACCCTCAGGTCCTTCTTCAGCCTCTCCACGTTACGGATTTTGGTCAACTCTTCAAGGCCAACCAGCAGGACCTAGGGACAGATAGTGTGGGGGCCTGGACACCCGGGCCGTAGGACAGGGGCACGGCGGGAGAGGAGGGGTCCGCACCCGCTGTTCCCCTCTCACCATGGCCCCAAACACCAGCTCCAGCAAGCGCTCCAGTCTGAGCTCCGCACACCCCAGCTCCGAAGACAGCACGATGAGGGTGACGCTGGAAGAGGGAAGGGTCAGGCGGGCGTCAGGACCCTGCAACCGCAAAATGCAGCCCCTGCCCTTGGTGCCGGTGTTTGTTACAAACGGGGAAACTGAGGCGCGCTGGGCGGGCACCGGCCACCAGCCAGCTCACCCGGGGGCAGCCGCCCCCATCCATCCCCCCCGACACGGGGCTCCTGGCCCGGCTCACCTGTCGTGGAAAGTCTTCCAGACCACGACCGAGTCCTCTGTGCGCGCGGAGCGCAGCGTCACGTCCAGGTTCTGGCCGAACATGTGCACGCCATTGAGGGAGCCGATGATGGAAAAGGGCAGCTGGGAAAAGGGGTACGGGGTCAGGACGGGAGCCGGGTGCCTGTGAGAACTACAGCTCCCGGCAGGCCCAGCGCCTGGGGCCGGCGTCACCAAGCCCAGTGCGCGCAGCCCCTGCCGGGAGCTGTAGTTCTCTCCCCCTCCCCCACGCCTTCCCGCTGCCGCCAGGGACCGCACCTGCTGCCGGGAGGGGGCGCCTCCGCGGCTGCTCCGGCTGAATAGAGGGACTCCGCTGGAGGCGGCGAGGCAGAGCAAGTGCACGGCGCCCGCGGCACCCTCCTCCGCCATGCCGGCCCCTCGGGGCGGCCGAGGGGTCCCGTGGGGACCGGCCAAGCGCGCTGCAGCCCACGGGGACGACGTTGTCTGCTTAGCTCCAGAGAGCGGCCCCGCTTCCTCCCGGTGGCCGGAAGAGCGCGAGCCCCTGTCTAAGATGGCGGCGATCCGGTCCCGTTCAGCTTTCCCCTGTCAGAAGTGTGTGCGCCCGGCGGTGGTCTCAGGACGATGGTGCCCTCTTCGGTTCGCAGGCAGCTCCGCTTCCGCCCACCGGCAGGAAGTGCGCGCGCCCCGAACAAAGATGGCGGTGGCCGGGATTCGTAGGGCCGAGCGTCCTGCTGTCCCGACTGACTCCGGAGTCACTTGCTCTGCCGGGAGCTGAGCTCCCTCCCTGGTTGTCGCAGTGCTGCTTCAGAGATGGCGGCTGCTGAAGGGGTTGCCGTGGCAACCCCCCTCGTTTTCGCGGTGCTGGTGACGTCAGCGGCGTCCAAAACAGCTCCTTCCTTCTGGCTGGCAGCGCCGGGTCTGGCGGAGGGCCCCACGCTGCTTCCGCGCCTCTGGCTTCTTGTTGTCCCTGTTTACACTTTTTAAAAACAGAAATGGCTGCTGTACTTTGGCAAAAGCTTTTTCTGCATGGATTGATGTCGTCGGATGATTTGGGTTGATTTTCTTACTAATATGGTTAAGTGTATAATTTTCCCAATATGAAAGCAACCCTGAATCCCCCCTTATAACGCCAACCTGGTCATGATGAATATAATCTTTGTCACATGTCATTCGCATTCATACCATTTGTACCGTTGTGGTTTAAACTTTTGATTACATGAATGAACGATAAAGCATTTAGTTAAGTCCTGTGAGCAGAGCAGGGCAGGGCACTACAGATATAAAAAGTAAGACCCTCTCTGTTCTCCAGGCGCTCACAGCTTAATCATGAGGAGCCAATACACAGAAGCTTAGGTGGTGCTTAAGATGCATTTGCAAAGCTGAGGCTAATGTTTCTTTTTAAAATGTAATGTGCGTTGATAAAATCAAGTCTGAAATCATATTTTCTGATTTGCTTTGTCAGCAAGACCTTCCTGTTCTCGGTTGAGATCGAAGCCAAGAGTCGGCTATGAGATCCCCCTCCTGGAATCCTGGGCTGTCCAGAGCTGCTGCTCCTTTGCCCTTCGGTCACTGAGTTCAGGCAATGGCTCCGGGTATAACATGCTATAATCCCTGATTTTGGACTTGAGACCTGCCTGTTTCACAGCACTCCCCTCCCCCCAGCCCCAAATGAACCTATGAACCACACCCCTGAATCTTGAAAGTCTGAGGGGTCCAGAGCTTTGGGGGAAGGATGCCCACCCCTGAATGGCTCCTCTGGCCCATGGTGGTAGTAGGGAATCTACTTTTCTCTGTTTTCTCTAGGCCAAGAATCTAATGGCAAAGGAACTTGCCTTCAGCTGAGATGAGACCAAGAGCCTGAGGAGGGGTTTTATCCAGCCTGGGGTCTCATATCAGATGTTTTCCCAGGGCAGCTAAACTGGCTCCTGGCCCGACCCATTACCTCACGATGTGAGACCTCCCCTTGTTTCCCTCCTGCTACAGCAGAGGCCCCTCGGTCCAGGGAGAGCCTGTGGCCTTCCAGGGTTATTCAGGAGTACATCACCTGAAGTCGCCTCCCTCTACTTTGTATAGCTCTACCCTCTTCCTCAAGAAAGTTTTCTTATTCCCCAGCTAGGTGTCACAGTGGCAAGAATGCAGAGTCAGGAGTGAGGAAGACCCGAGTTCAAATCTAGCCTCAGGTACTTCCTAGCTCTGTGATGGACCCTAGCCAAGTCATTTAGTTTCTGTCTGCCTCAGTTTTTTTTTTAAATTATAACATGAAAATAATAACACCTTTCTCCCAGGATTTTTGTGAGGATCAAAAGAAATTATATTTGTAAAGTGCTTAGCACAGTGCCTGGCATACAGTAGGCACTTAATGCTTGTTTTCCACTCCTCCCGCCTTCACATTTTCTCTAGCAGATTGCCTTCACTACCAACCCCTATCTCTCTACTCGAGTGAACATTTATTAAGCACCTACTATGTGTCAGGCACTGTGCTAAGCTACATTCAGGATAAACTGGAAACAATTAACAGAGTGAAGGCACTGGAATTAAGAGGTACTGGAGAAGGACAGAAGGTGAGATTTTAGTTGGGGTTTAAAGGAAGCCAGGGAGGTCAGTGGTCTGCAGAACAGCCAGGAGGCTGGCGTCACTGTACTGAAGAGTATGTATCATAGAGTGAGATGTGAGGGGACTGGAAAGACAGGAGGGGGCTGGGCTCCGAAGGACTTTCAATGCCACAGCATTATGTATTTGCTCATGGAGGTAACAGGCGGGGAGGGGAAAGGGGAGTTGACATTGTTAGACCTGAGCTTTAGGGTAATCACTCTGGTGGCTGAATGGAGAATGGACTGGAGTGGGGATTGACTGGATGTAGGCAGACCCATCTGCAGCCATTGCAATAATCCAGGCATGAGGGGACGAGGGTCCACACCAGGGTAGGGGCCAAGCCAGAGGAAAGAAGGGGGGCGTATTAGAGATGCTGCAGAGGTGAAATAGACAAGCCTTGCTAACAGCTTAGGGGGCAGGGTGAGAGAGGAGGAGTCCAGGATGCCTCAGGTTGTGAGCCTGAGGGACTTCGAGGATAATGGCGCCCTCTACAGTCACAGGCGTTGCAGGGGAACGGTGAAATGACAGCTTCCTGAGCATTCTGAGTACGCAATGCATGAGGATTTCCCAACAAATCGGGACCAATAGCCTTCCTCAGCTTTGGCACAGGACCCCGAAAAACAGGAGGAGACAGATTTGTATACGTTAAAAACAATTAATCAAATAAGAGTAATTAATTAAAATGAAACCACTAACTAGGAAATGACATTAGGTCATCTAATTTCTAATTGGACGAAAGATAGGGACTTGCCAAGTTGGGAGGGGGAGAGTAAACAGGCGAAATTTCCTGAAATCAGCAAAAGAGATGTCCCTCTCCCCCCAAATGTCTGTACACAATCAAAGAAACATGGAGACAATAACTGATTGATCAGGATGGGGTCAGTTTTCAGATGACATAGGGGAGAAAACTCACATTGATCTTTGGATCTGATCAGGTTTCTGGTCAGCATAACCTACAGCCTTGGCTAAGGGTCTCTAAGCACAAGGAAGAGGTGGTCCAGTTGCCCAGCCACAAAGGGCTAGGTTCAGTACAATGAGGTTTTCTCTGAGTTCCTGCAATTGAATAAAGTTTTCTTACAAGATAGAAACTGCACTAGATCCATAACTGAACAGAAAAGGAATTGAACTATCTCTGGAACTGAGTCACAAGATGAAGTGAGAGTGATACCCTAATCCTATCACAGGGTAGGTAAGAGTGGGGAGGTTTTAGAGGGAAAGATATCTCCAGTTCTCGATGTGAGATTGGAAGTCAGTGAAGATACTGGGGCAGAAAAGGTAGATTTGAAAATCATTAGCATGAAGATGGGAGCTGATGAGATCACCAAGGGAAGGGGTATAGAGGGAAAGGAGAAGAGGCCCCAGGACAGAATCCCAAGGGATACCCATGGTTAGAGAGCGTGATGTGGAAGACGATCCAATCAAAGAGACAGAGAAGGAGGGGTCAAATAGGTAAGGGGGGAACCAGCAGGGAGTGGTGCCCTGAAAACCTAGAAAGAAGAGAGTCATGGAGGAGTGACCAACTGTGTCCAAGGCTGCAGAGGGTCAGGACAATGAGGACTGAGAAAAGGCCATTTGATTTGGCAGCTAAGAGATCATTGGTAACTTTGGAGAGAGCAGTACTGTGAAATGAAGATGTCAGAGTGTTCTATACTCTGTTCTATACTTTCTGTAATCTAACTTTCAACCTCTTCACTCAATTAAAATGGGGCTTTCCAAATTTACCAATGATCTCTTCATGAATTAATATGGCCTTCTCTCAGTTCTCAACCTTTGTGGCCTCTTCCCTGGCCCCTCTTCTTTTCTCCCTTGATACTGTTTCATGGGTAATCTTCTTTATGCAGGCCATTTTCATATCTATACACTCCTAACCTCTCCTGAATCCAGTTCTCAAATCTCCTAATTCCTACTGGACATCTCAAACTAGATGTCCCACAGACATCTTAAACTCAGTATGTCCAAAACTTAACTCATTATCTCTCCGGCCCTCAATCCTCACCTCTTCCTAGGCACTCAGGCATGCAAAATCCTCGAACTCTGACCCTCCATCACCCCATGTGTCTTATCATTTTCTCTCTTTCTGGGTGGGGTCAGAGGTGCATGGAGATTCGGGCCAACTTGGAGCTTCAGAAATTCGGACACCTCTATTCCGGGCCAAAGGGTTCAGATAGGAAGACCTTGTTGGAGACGATGCAGACGAAGTGCCTGCGTCCATGGGGAAGTCATAGGTACGCTGGCCAGCAGAGAAGGCAGCCCCCCCTGGCGCTCCGATGACGAGCAAATTTCCAAGCCACGGCCTTCCGCCTAGAGAGGATCGGAGGATGAGGTTGCCTAGCAACTGTGCTCAGGCTGGAGAACACGTGAGCTGCACTGTTGCCTAGCAACCGACAAGCAACGCGCGCTCCAGAGAACATCGGCGCAGTTGAAAGGCGGCTAAGGGAGGACGCGTTGCCGAGCAACCATCTTCCTTGGCGAGACTCTCGCGGGTTTCGGAGAGCATCGCGAGATGAGACGTTGCCAAGCGACCGCCACCGTGGGCGTGCTTCTTCAGCGAGCATCCCGCCCAGCTCCAACATGGCGAGCGGCGAGCTGTGCTGTCACCCAGCAACCGGCTACGGGAGCGGCCGCCCCTCCCTGCGATTGGCTCGTTGGGCCCAGCCTGCGCTCAGCCCGCCCCGCACCAACATGGCCGCCCCGCCTGCGTCATCAGGGGCGCGCCAGGAGCGGCGTCGCCTAGTCGAGGGTGCGGCGAGGGCGGCCGCGGCTACCGTGGGAGGGGACCGAGGCGGCGGGAGCGGAGGCGGCCGAGCGGGGCTCGGGATGGTGCCCGGGGCCGAGGGCCCGGCCCGCGCCGGCGGTCTGGTGGCCGACGTGGTGTTCGTCATCGAGGGCACGGCCAACCTGGGACCCTACTTCGAGGGGCTGCGGAAGCACTACCTGTTGCCGGCCATCGAGTGAGTGCGTGCGTGCGCCGCCCCGCCGCGATCCCTGACCCCCCAGCTCCCCGCGTGGAGCCGGGGGTCCTGACCCTTGACCCCCCACCCGCGCCTCCTCGCAGCCCCGACCCCGCCTTACTGCTCTTTTTCCGTCCCCAGGTATTTCAACGGGGGCCCCCCGGCAGAGACCGACTTCGGAGGAGACGTGAGAAAGGGGACCCTGGAGGGAGTGGGGCCGGGGGAGGGGTCCGGAGGGGCAGAGTCTGGGTGGGAGGCAGGGCTCGGTGCAGCCTGCCTGGGGGAGGCGAGCACGGCAGCTGCTGCACCCTCCTCTGTCCCGCAGTACGGGGGCACCCAGTACAGCCTGGTCGTGTTCAACACCGTGGACTGCGCTCCCGAGTCCTACGTCCAGTGCCACGCGCCCACCAGCAGCGCTTACGAGTTTGTCACGTGGCTGGACGGCATCCAGTGAGTGCCAGGGCTGGGGCTGGGGTCTGGGGGCTTCCGTAAGGGGGGCGAGCGGCTCCTCTCGACTCCTGTCTCCCCTCAGGTTCATGGGTGGGGGCGGCGAGAGCTGCAGCCTCATCGCGGAGGGGCTGAGCACGGCCCTGCAGCTCTTCGATGACTTCAAGAAGATGCGCGAACAGATGTGAGCCAGGGCCCCGGGGCTGGCAGGGTGGGCCTGGGCCGGCTCCCCACGCTCCCTCGCTGAGCCCCCCCCACCTTTTCTTCGCAGCGGCCAGACACACCGGGTCTGCCTCCTCATCTGCAACTCGCCCCCGTACCTGCTGCCGGCCGTGGAGAGCACCACGTACTCCGGCTACACCACCGAGAGCCTCGTGCAGAAGATCGGGGAGGTCAGCCGGGAGGCCTGGCGGGGGGGGGGGGGGGGGCCGCGCCCCGTGCCCCGCTGGCTGCTCCTGGGGGCCGGCTCTTAGGCGCTTCTCTGTCTCGCAGCGAGGCATCCACTTCTCCATCGTGTCCCCGAGGAAGCTGCCAGCCCTGCGGCTCTTGTTTGAGAAGGCCGCTCCCCCTGCGCTGCTGGAGACTCAGCCAGCAGACGTGAGCCAGGACCCGCGGCACATGGTGCTCGTGCGAGGCCTCGTGCTGCCTGGTGAGCACCCAGGCTGGAGGCGCTTGGACGTGCGCGTGCGCGCGTGTGTGTGTGTGTGTGTGGGGGGGTGTCAGGGTGTGTGTGTGTGCGGATGTGTGTGGGGGGGGTCAGGGTGTGTGTGTGGGGGATCAGAATGAGGGGGGTCAGGAGCAAAGCTTTGCCTCCTCCCTGTCACGGTGCAGGGTGTGGCACCAGTTCCCGAGTTAGTGATCAGGGACCCAGTTCCTTGGGGAGCTGCCAGGGACTTCAGGTACAAAAGAAGGAGAGCATGGAGGGCCTGATTCCGGCTCAGCCGAGTCCCAGGGTCCCACCCCTGCGGGCTGCGGGAGGTCCAGGCCACAGTGGTTGATAGCTCCTGGCTTGGGCCTAGCATCCCAGGGCTTGGCTGAGGTCGCCCCGTTTCTCTCCTGCACCCCGGCCTCACCTCTCATTCTTCTGGCCACCGTGTTTTTTTCTCCTTTCCGTGACCCTCTAGTCGGTGGAGGTTCTGGCCCAGGCCCCCTCCAGCCCAAGCAGCCTGTGCCACTGCCTTCGGCACCACCTCCTGGGACCTCCCTCTCGGCGGCGCCCCCCCAGCCGCTGCCTCCGGTCTCCCAGCCTTACCAGGTACAGCCTTGGGACCAGGTCAGCTGGGAAATGAGGGGAGAGGGGCCGGGTCTGGGGATGGCAGTGGCTTCCAGGGCTGTTTGCTCCCCTTTCTAAGGTGTCTAGTAACCTCAGTGCCGCCCAGGTCGCTGCTCAGAATGCGGTGGATGCTGCCAAGAACCAGAAGGCGGGCCTGGGCCCACGCTGTGAGTGTTAAAGGGGGAGCCCTCTGTGGGGGGTGCAGGGGGACCCTCCATGGGTACCCTAGGCCCCGGCTCTGCAGCTTGTTTTCTTTCCCGGCAGTCTCGCCCATCAACCCTATGCAGGCAGCGGCCCCAGGAGTGGTCCCCCCGTTCAGCCAGGCCCCAGCCCCTCCACTTCCTCCTGGGCCCCCTGGGGCTCCCAAGCTGCCTCCCACTTCCCAGCCCAGCCTGGTGGCAGCAGTCGCCCCTGGGCCTGGGCTGGCCCCCCCTGCCCAGCCTGGAGGGCCCCCCATGGTACGTGCTTGCCCCATCTGAGCTCTCTGTGACACATACTATTCTGTCAGGGTTCCCCCCACCCCAGTTTCTCCCTGCAAGGGCCTCCCTCTTTTCCTGGGCTCTGCGGCTGACCTTCCATTCTCCTGTGTCTCCTATGAGCAGGCTGGCCCCGTGGCTACAGCAGGGGTGAGTGGCCCAAGCCCGGCTCAGTTGGGAGGCCCTGCACTCGGGGCTGGGCAGCAGTCAGTCACCAACAAAGTCCTGGCATGGAGTGGTGTCCTTGAGTGGCAGGAGGTAAGTGGGTGTGGGGGAGAAGGGGCGAGGTGGGTGGTCGAGGAGGAGGGGCCCCCCTGACACTCCCTTCTCCTCCCAGAAGCCCAAACCGGCCTCAGTGGATGCCAACACCAAGCTGACTCGGTCGCTGCCCTGCCAGGTCTATGTGAACCAAGGAGAGAACCTGTGAGTGGGGGTGGGGGTGGGGCAGCGTACAGGGAGGCTGGGAGGGAGGGGTGAGGACCACAACTCTGCTCTTTGCTTTGCAGGAAGACTGAGCAGTGGCCCCAGAAGCTGATCATGCAGCTTATCCCGCAGCAGCTGCTGGTGAGAGCAAGGCCTGGGTCTGCCCCTTCTCCCCAAGCCGCAGTCCCATCCCAGGCCCCCTTGGGCCATGTTCCGAGCCCCCCACTGGCCTCTGCTGCCTGCCTTGTCCGTTCTTCCGGGGCCCCCTGCCACCTGTCTGCCCTTCTCCCGGGTGCCCCATGGCCTTTGTGGATTGTCTTTGTCTTTTTTCTGCAGACCACATTGGGTCCCCTCTTCAGGAACTCCAGAATGGTCCAGTTTCATTTTACCAACAAGGATCTGGAATCTCTCAAAGGCCTTTACCGCATCATGGGCAATGGCTTTGTGAGTAGGCCAGCCTGGGGAGGAGAGGCCTCTGGTCCTGGGCCTCCCTGAGCCCCCTGGGGTGTGGGTGGGGCTTCCCTGAGGCCCCAGGGACAGGGTAGGTGGGGCCTCTGCCCCTGAGCCCCCTGGGGTAGGTGGGGCCTCTGTCCCTGGGCCGCACTGAGGGCCACTCTCTTCCCCAGGCTGGCTGCGTCCACTTCCACCATACGGCGCCATGTGAGGTGCGCGTCCTCATGCTCCTCTACTCTTCCAAGAAGAAGATCTTCATGGGGCTGATCCCCAACGACCAGAGCGGCTTCGTCAATGGCATCCGCCAGGTCATCACCAATCACAAGCAGGTGCAGCAGCAGAAGCTGGAGCAGCTGCAGCAGCAGCAGCCACAGCCACCGCCACGCGGGGTGAGTGCGCAGTGAACCTGTGCTCTTGGGACCAGCCCCCAGGGCCGTGGAGGCCTAGCTTCTGATGCCTTTTCTTCTCCCTCCAGATGGGGGGCCCACAGGCCCCTCCTGGACTGGGCCCTCTCCTGGAGGAGCAGCAGCGGCCCCCCCAAAGCCTGGTGAGGCTGGGGCAGGGATGGGGGCGGTGTGGGGCAGGGGGCTTCTGGATCCCCATCTGTGGCTCAGACCGGCTTCATCTTTCAATCCTCTCCAGCTCCAGCTCCGCCAGCCACAGCCGCAAGCCCCAGGCGGGGTAGGAGTAGGGGTGACTGGGACAGGTGGACAGCCTCAGCCTCCCCCAGGTGCTGCCCAGCCCCCCCCAGGGGGGCCCCCTCCTGGAGCACCCCCTCCTGGAGCTGCCCCTCCGGGGCCTCTCCTGCGGCCCCAGAACCCAGGTGCCAATCCCCAGTTGCGGAGCCTGCTGCTGAACCCACCACCCCCACCGCCAGTGAGAAGGCGCTAGACGGGGGGAGTAAGGGGCTGGCTGGGGTTTGGGGGGTGCATGGAGGCCAGAGAGCCGGGTGGGGGTGGCAGTCTGGGGAAGGCCACAGCCCAGCACCGAACGCTCTTGTGTCTTCTCTTTCCTCTAGCCCCAGGCTGGGGGTCCACCACCCCAGGCCTCCCTCCACCACCTGCAGCCTCCAGGAGCCCCAAGCCTGTTGCCTCCCCCACACCAGGGCTTGGGCCAGCCACCCTTGGGCCCTCCTCTGCTGCACCCCCCACCTGCTCAGCCTTGGCCTGGACAGCTACCCCCACGGGCCCCTCTGCCAGGTGGGGGGACTCGAGGTGGTGGGGAAGCTCTGGGTGTAGGGGAGTTCTGGACTAAGGAGAGGCCATAGATTGGGAAGCCAGCTATGAAGGAAGCTGGAGTCTGACTCCCCCCCGCAACTTTTTCTTTTGTTCAGGTCAGATGCTATTGAGTGGAGGCCCCAGGGGTCCAGTTCCCCAGCCTGGTCTGCAGCCCCCCAGTGTCATGGAGGAGGACATTCTAATGGACCTCATCTGAGATCAGCCCCCAGCCCAATAAAGCTTCCTCATTCCCCCAGCCTCCACGATGCTTGGGCCTGCACTCTGACAGGACGAGGGCCAAGGAGGGGTGGGCAGACAGACAAGGGAGGTGCCATGAAAATAACTTTTATTGAGGGGAGGGTGGACTCAGCCCTCTGAGAACTGATGGTAAAGAGACGTGTGCCGGGCATCCGTGAAACGCGGGCAAAAGGGGATCTCCAGGATCTGTGAGAAGCCCTCAGTCAGAGAAGGAGCCACAAACTGCTTTCTGGAGAGGAGGGGTCTGGGGTCAGGTCACAGCTCTCTCTCCTCCAGGCCCCACCTCCAGCCCCCTTGGCCCAGGCATTACCTGTAGCTGAACATGACCATGTCAGAAACCGAGGAATGGGTGGAGCCAATCATCTCTCGGAACTGGGGGGAGAAGTCACAGTGTCATGAGGTCAGAGGGCTGTAGGTCAGAGGCCAGGGTCATGGCCAAAGGCAGCCACCCCTCCTCACCCGGTTGTTGTGTCGGGCCAGATCCAGCGAAGCCGTGAAATGGAAACACCTGCAGGGGACCCCAGCATCCTTGGCACATGAGATATACCTGCCAGGGTCCGGGGAAGGGGAGGTTGTGGGGGCTCTATCTGGCCCCTTCCTGCCCTGCCCCAACCTTTTATCTCCCCCACCCCACCTCAGTACCTGGCCCGACTCGTGGGGTCAGGGTTAGTGTTGTCCACCACGGCGCGACCCCCAGCCTTCAGGGCCTCAGTGCACACAGCCACACATTTCTGCCAAGAGCCCAGAGTGTCCTAGGGGAATATGTATAGGGACTGAGCCTGGGGCCTCAGTTCAGAGTCGTGGCCTTCCCCCGCTTTAACCAGCTGGGGACCCAGGGGACATGCAGACAAATCCCTTTGCCTTGAGTGTCTGTGAATGATAACTGGAAACAGGACAACTGTTCCCACAAGCCACGTGAAGCCTCTGCTAGAAGGGAGGTGTCCAGGTAGCAGGGAATTGGGCTAGCCCACCCAGCCCTGTACATACCCGGTTTGCATAGACATAACCAGCTGACACCAGGTGTTCCTGGAGAAAAGTTGACTTCCCAGCTGTGGGAAGGGATGGGCAGAGAAATCAGCGATGGGCTAAGTCTGGGGAAGGGTAACGGGGATAGGCTGAGGGGAGTCAAAAGCTGCCTCACCCGCAGGGAAACCAACAGCCACGATGATCTCAGGGCCAGGGCCCACGAGAGGCCCGGTGGGGGGCAGGCACAGCGGTCCTGTGGGGCTCAGAGTTCTCTGCAGGCAATCAGGAGGAGAATGAGAGCAGGCCCCTCAGAGGGTTCCTTTGTGTATCCACCTCCCATCCAGAGCTCCCCAAACCTCACCGGGTCAAAGTCTGGGAGTGTGAAAGGGGCTGGGGCCCAGTTCAAGAAAAACTCTTCAGGAGTTGAGAATCGCAGCCCAAGGTTCAAGGCAAACTGAGAGAGAGAAGGCAGCATCAGAAAGAAAGTCGTCCCCTAGGCTGGACTCTAGGCAGGGGGCGGGGGAGACAAGCCCTCACCAGCCGGTCCCCACAAGAGAAATCCTTCTTCTTCCGGCCAGGAGCCCAGTTGGCTGGGCGTCCTGCAGCATCTGAAAAAGGAGCTGGCATCAAATGGCGCTGCTTCGGGAACCCCCCACCTTGTCCCAAACTGCTTCTGACCTCACCTCCCACATAGATGCTGTCAGCCAGGGAAATGGGGACTCCCTCGTTGGCCTGAGAGAAATGAGAACGAAGATACTGAGGGCAGTGGGAGTGGAGACGTAGAGGGAAAGTAGGGCTGACACCCCCAGAAACAAACAGCTCCTGCCCTCCCACCCCAAAGGCAGCCCAGGGGCACCTGCTCACACAAGTGATCCCACATGCCTGTCACTGGTTTCCGGTAAATCCCCGAGCTGGTGGCCACCAGCACCTGCGGGGAGAAAGGGACCCAGGAATGGTGGAGAAGCCCCTCAAGGTGGCAGCTCCCACCTGCCGCTGCCATTCTGCCTCGTGCCCACCTGGAAATGAACCCCCCAGGGCATCCAGCACGGCCTCCACCTTGGCCTGAAAGTCTTGGGGTCGCAGCCGGCCTCGCCCAATGCCCAGCTGGTTGGTGAAGATGACGAGCTGTGGAGAGCACAGGGGAGTGGCAGTCGTTCCGAAGATCCTGGACCTCTGCCCCCCCCAGCCCTCCCCAGATCTCCCACCAGTACCTTGTAACCGTCAGCCTCAAGCTCCCTAAGCTGCTTCGGGATCCCCGGGAACAGGATCCTGGGAGGAAGGGAAGGAGGCGATGGCACAGGAAGCCCCCCTGCCTGGCCGAGGGGCCCCCCCTAGATCGCGGCCTCACCTCCAGTCCTCGGGGCCCGTGGGGAAGACCTTCCCTGAGCGGGTGGTGATGAGGGTCCCATCCAGGTCAAAGCCCGCCACCTGTGGGGACAAAGCACCTTGGGTGGGGGCCGAGGCAGAGACCCCCCCACCCCCACCCCTGGGCCTGCAGGCCGCAGCGCTCACCTTCTTGCGGGCCCGGGCCCCGGGGGCCGTGAACACCAGCAGGGGCCCGAGCTCCTGCCAGCCGTGGGGGCCTCGGGGCCGCTTCATGGGGGGCTCCGGCAGGGCCCCCTGCGCCTCGACCTGCGCCTGGGGGTCGGGCTCCGGCTCCCCCCGCGGTCCTGCGCAGGGTCAGCGGGTACAGGCCGTTCACCAGCAGCAGTGTCTCCCCGACGGTCAGCGGTGCGCGGGAGCCGGGGCTCAGCTGGGTGTCCCCAGCCGTGGAGGGGTTCACGCCCAGCTGGGGAGAGGGGGGCGGGGCCCCGCTGGTCAGCCCCACCCCCGCTGCGGCCAGCGCCCGCCCCCTGGGATGAGTTGGGAGAGGGGGAGCCAGGACTGACCACCCTGATCCCTCCCTCCAGGCCCCCCCACGCCGTTACCTGCGTCACCATACGACCTGAGACTCAGGGTCCACGCACAGCTCCACTGGTGGGGGAAGGGGAGATAAAGTCCTGCCCTCTCAGTGCTCGGGCCCCGCCCCCCACTTCCACCCCTACTACTGTTCCCCACCTTGGCTACGAGAGCACTTTCGGTCGGTGACTCGAGTCAGTGGTCCCCGACCCAGTACGAGACTGCGGCCCGCGGGAGGCAACGGGATAGGGGGCGGCCCTCCGGGAGAGCTGTGCAACCACAGGCAGGGTTCCGGGGTCGCCATGCCTCCTCCCGCTACACTGCACAGGTTTCAAGACCGCCACAGGAAGTCCCGCCTACCCCGTTTCGAGTGCCACCGGAAAATGAGGGCCAAGCTCCTGGGCTAGGCGTATTTTAATTCGACCCGCCCCTTTTCTTCGGGGGTGGGGGAGGCCGCTCCCACTTCCAGAATACCTCCCCCCACCCATCCCTTCCCCAAGAGACAAGGCCACAGTCAAAGTCAAACTCTTTATTCGCAGGCGTTCCCCCTGTCCCTTTCCACCCTCACACGGGCGGGCAGGACCCTTTAAGGCATGTGTGGGAATGGAGGCTTAGCAAGCCACCGAGGGCAAGGGTAAAGCGGATCGGCTAAACCCTTCCCAGAAACAGGCCAATTGGGGGTGGGTCGCGTCATCGGATAGGTACTAATGCAATTGGGCCATCCCTGAGGTGGGGCGGGACCAGGACAGGGCGGCTGTAGTGTCAAGAGTGGGGACTTCCCCGCGGTACAGTCTTCTCCCCCTGAATAGCGTGAGCCACTGGCAGTTCAGGCGTTGATTGGATCCTCCTAAAAGGGGAGGGCCCAAAGGAGCTAAGGCTGCGATTGGCCAAGGACAACACCAGGTGCGCGAGAGGAGCTGATTGGATGCCCTCGCACGCTCACCCGAAAGGATGCCCCGGAGAAGAGAATCGGGATTGGCCAGGGCCTGTCGGAGGGTGGAATTAAGTGGAAACTCAGGGAGTTGATTGGATAATTCCATTACCCTCCCCCAACGCACGGGAAGAGCAAGAAAAAACAGAGAACAGGAGGGAAGGACGGTGGGGCAGCGAACGAATCCGGGACTGGCCAGGCCTGGGCGTGCCAGGGGCGGGACCAGAGGGCAGAGCCCACCTGGCGCGGGATCCAGATGCACGGGATAAAGAAAGGGAGAGTGGAAGCGGGAGGAGGAGGCGCGGGGGGCGCCCTCCCCCCTCAGTATTTCCGCTTCAGCTTCTGGAAGTCGCTGGTGTTGAGGCGTGGCCGGGGGAGGTCTCCGAACACCTGGGAGCCCTCAGCCTCACGCAGGACCAGCGCCTGCATGCTAGCCGCGATACGCTCCAGGTCCGGGGAGGAGGGCTGCGAGCAGGGGTCAGCTGGTCAGCCAGGACTGCCCAGACCCCCTCCCCTCCTCCCCGGGGCCAGCCTCCCCAGCTCCCCCCCCAGCTCACCGGCCCGTTCTCCTCGTCCGAGGACCTGGTCTCGGTTCTCTTGTCCTTAAAGCCCCAGACGGGCACTGACACAGGCAAGGACTTGGCATACTGCTGGGGGGCCTGGCTTACACACGGAGGGCCGGCGGGTGCTTCTTCGCTCAGGCTCCCATCATCGGTGCTCTCAGGGTCCGACTCACAGAAAGGGGGCAGGTCCTCGTGGGCAGTGTCTTCATCCATCACAAAGAGGCCTGAGGGAGGGTGAGGGTCACTGCACTGCAGCCAAGGTCCCTCACTCTTCCCTTATTCCATCAAAGGATGGGAGAGCTCTCTTCCCGAAGAGTTCTCCAAGCCTCCCACCCCACCTTTGCACAGGTTAGGAAGCTTTTCCTCATAAGTGTTTGTTCCTAGTTCTGACCTCTGGGGCTTCCACCCTGTAGATAACTACAGTGAACGCACAAACTCCCCTCTCTACCCCCCCACACCATTCTGATGATCTCAGCAGGGCCTCCCATTCTCACCTCCATCATCTCCCAGTCCTAGCCTGCTCCCTGATGTCTCTGTTTCTGTCTCTTCCTCATCCTCATTGCCATCTTCCTCCTCCTCCTTCTTGTCTTCTGGCCTCCGAGGATGGGGAGAACTCTTTGGGCTAGGGGCCTGGGGCTCTGGTGCAGGTGGTGGTGCAGGGGGCCTGGCAGCCGCTGCCCGATGGGCCTGTGCTATGTCATGTAAGCAGCGTCTGGCAGCTTCGGCCAAGGCGCCCCGGCCATGGGCTGCGTAGGCACAGGGGCCTGGCCGAGGTGGGGGCGGGGGTGCAGCTGTCAGCAGCACCAGCTCTGTACCTGTCTGTGCTCGAAAACGCTCGGCTGCCCCCACCACAGCTTCCCATAGCTCCTCAGGGCGCCCGGATGCCATCCACGCCCTAGGGAGAGAAAAGACAGGGTGACCCAGGCAGAACCCATCGGAAATGGTCCAGCACTTGGAAATCCCGGCCCCCCCATCACACACACACACACACACACACACACACACACACACACACACACACACACACACGACACACACCTTAACAGAGAAGAAAAGGGATTGGAAACGACAAAACGTTAACGCTGGAAGAAACCTGAAGTGGCTGTTTAGTCCGAGGCCTTCCTTTGGCAGAAAAGGCTCTGAAGGCCCAGAGAGGACCCTGGAAAGGCCGTCACCCTGTCACTGGAGAGGCTTGGACGGAGTTCCCATCAGACACTGCCATGGGGGAGAGACCAAGGCTAGAAGCTGTTGGTCTCACCCGGGCTCAAGGGCGGGTGACATGGAATGCCTGGGGGTAGGGATTTGGGGGCAGGTGCAATCCAGAAGGATTTCCTGGAGGAGGGGAAAAGCGACAGAGTCCGGAATTGCATCTAAGTTTCCACCTAAGAGAGAATCCCCTCCACACCTGCCACCAGTTCCCCCAGCTTGGGCATGGAACAGTTGCTCAGCTCCGCCCTCCACGTGGGAAAACAGGAAGTCCCGCCCCTTGTGGGCGGGGCAAGGAGTTACGAGGTAAGACGCAGCCCCAACCCAGTCAAAGAGGAAAGAGCCAATCACCCCACCTCCTTCTTCCCCCCCCTCGCCTCTTTAAGGAGAAAAAAGGATGTCCCGCCTCCCGGGGCGGGGAAAGACTAACGTTGAAAGCTGCCTTCGGGTAAAAGAAGGCTGAAACCGGAAGTTCCGCCTTTGCGTGGGAGGGGGGCACGCCATCAGCCGGACCCCAGACGCCCCCCCCATCCCCCTATCATCCCGGCATAGGGTACAGACTTGGGTCGGAGAGGTTGTGGGGCGAGCGCGGGGCCTCGGCCCCCGCCCTCCACGCGAGGATGGCTGCACTCTCCGCTCGCTTACCTCGGCCGGGCTCCCGTCTCCCTGCCTCCCTCCCCGCCAGCCTTCGTTCCTCCCCAGGCGTCCGCGCCGCCGTCGCTCACGTGCCTGCGGCCAGCATGGCGGGCCTGGCGCCCTCACAGAGCATGGCGGCCTCGGCGTCACTTCCGCCCGGCGCTAGCCTTGCCGCAGCGCCTGCCGTCGGCGTGTTTCCGCAACCTACCCAGGTTCTGCGAGGAGGGTCCCGCCCGATCTGCCCTTAAGTATCATGGCGGCCGCGCGGCTTCACGCCCCGCCCCTTGCCGAAATCCATGGCGCTTCCGCCACAGACCTTATCCCTGAGGGCGGCCGCTCCACCTTCGGCCCGCGAGCATGGCCAAGTACAACCACGTCCTCGCACTGGGAGCCCGCGACACCACGGCCGCTGCCTTCCTCTGGGCGACTCCCACTCCGCTTCCTTTCCTCCCCCCACTTCCTGGCACGGAAGTGGTATGCCCCGCACTAACATGGCGCTCACAGCGCTCCGCAGCTCGCTTCCTTGAACGATGGCAGCACTGCTGCGGCATCCCTAAGTATCCGAACAGAAAAGGCGGGGCACGCGCAAGGGGGCGCGGCTTGGCAACCTCATTCTTTGTTTACTTCTTGCTGGGAGCCCACATGACGCGCCGGCTCACTGCCCACTCCCGGCACCGCCCCCCATTGCGTCTGCGCGGGGCGCATTTGTCCCTCCTCCTTCTCTTCCTCCTCGATTAGTAGTTTGATCCACTAGCGGCCGAAGAAACAAGCGGACGCTACCATTTCACTCCCTTCGAGGGGAGGTACGGCCCGCCGGATATGACGTAAATAGTTGTTCTCTGGAGGCGGAGCGAGCTAGGGGAGTGGCTTCGGCCCCAGCTGCGACTATGGAGGAGGCTGGCTACCGGGTAAGAGGTGACGGAGAACCCAAGAGGTCTCCGGCTTGACCCTTCCCTTCGTCCTTTAGGAATCTCGGTCTTGCCCCTTCTCTGACCCTTCCCTACGATCCTCCTGGCCCCCGATCTCTCAGCGCATGCGCCTCCTTCGGGCCCGCAACCTCGGTAAAGTGCGTCCGCTTCCCTGGTCTTTTTGCGCATGCCCAGGCACCGCCCTCCGGCGGAACCCTCTTCCTTGCTCTTGGCAAATGCGCATGCGGCCCTCCCGCCCCCTGGCGCGCACATCCCCCGCTCCCCTCCTTCTGTGCACATGTGCAGGCTGCTCCTGAGCCTCACCCCGCCCCCCCCGACCTCCGTAGGTGGTGTTCGAGAAGGGCGGAGTGTTCCTGCACACGAGCGCCAGGGGGCGCCACCAGGACCCAGGCTCCCTCATCGCTGGCGTACTGCGCCTGCTCGAGAAGGTGGTTCCCGGGAGATGGGCGTATCTTTGGTCGTGGGGGTGGGTCAGGGGTGGGTCGGAGGAACCTGGGCGGGGTGGGGCGGGTCTCCCTAGGGTAGGGGAAAGGCGGGGTGACCCTGAGTCTATTGGACTTTTTTTCTCTTTGCCCTTCCCCCACCCCAGGATAATGACGTCATCCTGCATTGGGCCCCAGTTGAAGAGGCTGGAGACTCCTCCCATGTGGTCTTCTCCAGGAAGGTGGGCGTCACACCCCCCAGGGTACATTCAGGGCCCCTCCCCCAGGGTGTATTCAGGACCCCACAGCCTGTCCTTGTGCCCCTTTGAGGGGCTCAGTGTCTGCTTTTCAAACTCGAAGTCACGGGGCAGAAGATCTGGGTTCCAATATGATGCAGTTGAAGTTTGAAGTTTTGATTTCTGGATCCTACATTCCTCACTTGTTGAATGCAATAGGGTTAGGCCCCCTCGTTCCAGGGGTGGGTCCAGAAATGCCAGGGTATCCAAGGTTTTACTATGTCGTTTTACTCCAGGAGCCTGGTGGGGGAGACCCCTGTGCCTCAGAGGAAGAGCCGACCTTTGACCCCGGCTATGAGCCTGACTGGGCTGTGATCAGCACCGTGCGCTCCCGGCCCCCTGAGCCTGGCCCAGGTAAGTCCGTGGGTCCCTAGCCCAGCAAGGCCCAGAGAACTTGGGCCCTGGCACAAAGATGCTGAAAGCACAGGTGGGAGAGGACTAGGTGGGATTGAGCTGGGCCTCAGGCTGGGGGGTGGGGGAGGTGGGAAGGAGTCTAGTTCCTGAGGAAGGTGGGAAGATCACCATGTGGGGACTAGACAGGATGAGTGGCTGAATTTGGGGATAGGATCACAGGTGGGGGAGATTCTGGTGGAGGTGAGAGAAGAGAGAGGTGTGGAATGAGAAGAGCAATTATAGGACACAGGCGATGATGGTGGCGATGATGATGGTGATGATGATGATGGCGACGACGCCACGTGGTCGGTTTGAATCAAGGGTGGTAGCTCCAGGCTGGGCAGTTAGGGGACTATTGGCCTTCTGGAAGGGGGCTTCAGTAGAGGCATTGGGGCAGAAGCCAGATTGTAGGAGTTTGGAGTGCATGGGCGATGAGCAAATGGGGACAGCAGGCGTAGACAGCTGACTGTGTCAGGTGAGAGAGAGCAGGAGGCCCAGGGAGGGTCCTAGAGGAAGCTGGAGCACATCCCCCCTCCCCCACCCCAGCAGTCTCTTGCTCCCTCCCTCCAGCTGCAGGGTCCAGCAGCTCCCAGGCTTCCTGGGCCTTCTCAGTGAGCCTGGGGGAGCTGAAGTCGATACGGCGCTCCAAACCAGGCCTGAGCTGGGCCTATCTGGTGCTGGTGACCCAGGCGGGTGGCTCCTTGCCAGCTCTCCACTTCCACCGGGGAGGCACACGGGCCCTGCTGCGGGTCCTCAGCCGCTACCTGCTGCTGGCCAGGTCAGTCCCTGCCAGGCATCCCTTGTGCCCTACCTCTCCCTGGCCCCCGTGTGTTCCCGTCCTGTCACGTCACACATCTTCTCCTCTTCCTTTTTGTCTCTGCCGGGCCCCAGCTCCCCCCAGGACTCGCGCCTCTACCTCGTCTTCCCTCATGACTCTTCCGCTCTCTCCAACTCATTCCATCATCTCCAGCTCTTCGATGACGATAGTTCCAATGTGGTGTCTGTGAGTTTCTTGTCTGAAGGCTGGGGGGGAGGGGAGCGGGTGCTGGGCCTGGGTGAAACAGGGAAGGCAAAGCGTTCCCCAGGGCGGGAAGGGAGATGGTCTCTGTCAGTGGGGGCCGCACCACGAACTTCTCTCTTTTACCCTCTCTTCAGCGTTTTCTCCAGGACCCTTATGCAGCCACTTTTGGTGGTTTCTCACGGGTGACCAACTTTTTTCGGGGAGCCCTTCAACCTCCCCCTGATGGTCCCCCCACCAGCCGTCCCGAGGCCCTTGAGGATGAGGAGCCAGAGCCTGGCTTTGAAGTTATCTCCTGTGTGAGTGCCTGGGCAGAGCTTTTAGGCTGTCACCCTAGGAGGTGGGGAGTAATGTTAGTTGTGGCCCCGGGTGGACAGTGTCTGAGTGGCACTGGATGACCTGAGAGGAGGTGGGGGGTGAGCTGTGGCTGCAGATCACCATTTCTCCCCACGTGGGGTCAGTGCAGGTGCAGCTGGGGCCCCGGCCCATGGTTTCCCGGGGACAGCCTGTGACAGAGGATATCTGGGCCAGCCATGTGGGCCCAGATGGGCGACTTCAGGATGTCGGGGAGCTCAAGGCTCAGATCTTCTCAGGGGTGAGTGGGCCAGGGCGCCTGCGGGGGGCAACAAGGGAAGGGGATGGTGATGCGGCCAAAGGGTGTTTGTGTGACTGCTTGGTTTGCATCTCCTTAGGGCTTGTGCCCTTCTTTGAGGAGAGAGGCCTGGAAGTTTCTTCTTGGTTATCTCAGCTGGGAGGGTTCAGCTGAGGAGCACAAGGTCCACATCCATAGGAAAACGTGAGTGAAAGAGCCTTCTGACCCCAAGTCTCCAGACCCCCTACCCCCAAGAGAGCCCTGTCCCAGAGCATGTGCATGGAAGCTGGCTGAAGCTTCCTCGGCCCTGTCCAGGGTCCCTGAGAAGCTGCCTGCTGTTGCTGGCTGGGGGACCAGGCCTGATTCTGATGGCGGTCTGAAGCTGACTCTCTTCCTTTCTCCCCCCACCCCCACCCCCGCTCTCCTGGTGGGTGTAGGGATGAGTATTTTCGTATGAAGCTGCAATGGAAGTCAGTGAGCCCCGAGCAGGAGAGGAGGAACTCATTGCTCCATGGATATCGCAGCCTCATTGGTCAGTGCTGAGCCCAAAGGGCAACGGGGTGGGCCTGAGGTTAGGGTGGCTCTGGCCTCACCGTCTGCTCCCCTTCCTGCAGAGCGAGATGTGAGCCGTACTGACCGCAACAACAAGTTCTACGAGGGGCCTGGGAATCCGGGCCTGGGCTTGCTGAATGACATCCTTCTGACCTACTGCATGTATCACTTTGACCTTGGTACGAGCAGGGGGGGTGTCTCTGCAGGATGGGCGGGAGCGCAGTGAGAGTTAGGCTTGGATGGACGATGAGCCATCACATACCCACCAAATGCTTGGTTGTGGACCCACAGAGGAAGAGGGGTAACCTGTGGGGTCATTCAGTGCCACATGTCCCATGCCGTGTCCACGCTCCTAGGTTACGTCCAGGGCATGAGCGATCTTCTCTCTCCAATCCTCTTTGTCACTCAGAATGAGGTCGATGCCTTTTGGTGCTTCTGTGGCTTCATGGAGCTTGTGGTGAGAGGGGAGTTTGGGGGTCCTGTTGATAGGCTGGGGGTAGAGGGATGGGCTCTGTGATGACCTTGCCTTCCTTGAACGTTGTTCTTCCAGCACGGAAACTTTGAGGAGAGTCAGGAGACGATGAAGCGTCAGCTTGGCCAGCTTCTGCTGCTGTTGCGGGTTCTAGATCCTCCACTCTGTGATTTCCTCGGTAATAGTAGCTGCTGATGGTCCAGGAGTCTTGGCCAGAGTAGACGGGTTCTAGAGTCAGGCAGTGGCTAGCCAACCTCCATGTACAGAGAAACCAGAAGGGATGGTGTGAGACAAAACATGAAGGACGAAAAGCCCCTGAGTCCAAGCGTGCTCACTCTTCACTAGTTTTCACTGGTTCCTCCCAGTTTGCCTTAGCCAGACTCAGGTTTTCCTCGTAGTTCTTGCGTGTGCACTGGGCAGAGGAGGGTTGGGGGTCACCCAAGCCGTTCCTTTCATCTTGAGCTTTTGGCTGTCGGTCCAGCCTTTCTTACGGACGCTCCTAGATTGTTAGCTGACATCTGATCTAAGGGCTGTTCTAGTCATTCCTCTGTCTCAGAGGGTAAAGTGGGCTTATTTCTCCACTGCTTTTTTTCTCACTTAGTCGAGAACTCTTATCTAGGGCTTTTCTTCTGCCTGTCATAAAGCCCCTTGACGGTGGGAGATTGTTTGGTTTGATTTGGGAGGAGGCCTCCCAGGGAGGCTGCCCTGAATGGGCGGACTAGCTACGATTTGAAAGAAATTTGTGATTGGGAGCCCTGCTCTGCTCAGAGTGGGAAGGGGGGAGCACCTGGGACCAGCTAGAGAGCTCGTGACCCCAGATGCCAAGGCAGAGGGCCCTCATCCTCTCCCCTCAATCAGACTCCCAGGACTCTGGCTCTCTCTGCTTCTGTTTCCGCTGGCTGCTCATCTGGTTCAAGCGTGAATTCTCCTTCCCTGATGTTCTCCGTTTGTGGGAGGTGAGTGGAGGCTGCCACGGGGAGAGAGAAGGCCCCCCGGGGAAGAAGGGCCCTGCTGACACTGGCCTGTCCCCATCCCAGGTGCTGTGGACTGGGCTCCCAGGCCCCAACCTGCACCTGTTGGTGGCCTGCGCCATCCTTGACATGGAGAGGGACGCGCTCATGCTCTCTGGCTTTGGCTCCAATGAGATCCTCAAAGTGAGGAGGGCCCCCCACACACTTAGTAACCCTGGCCCCTCTCTCCCCTCCCTGAGGCTGTCCTGTCTGTTCGTGCCCCATGGCCCCTCTCATTCACTCTGGCCCATGGGCCCCTGTTTTCTCCTCCACTGCCCCACTGCCCCCCTGCCCCATAGCCCCTGGGAACGTCCCCTCCCTGAGGCTGTCCTGTTTGCTTCTCTCAGCACATTAATGAACTTACTATGAAGCTGAGTGTGGAAGATGTCCTGACCCGGGCCCAGGCATTGTATGCGCAGCTGACAGCCTGTCAGGTGAGACCTAGACACTCCTTGCCCTTGCCCTCATCTCTTCCCACCCAATTTCCTAGCTTTTCCTTAATCCACTGTTCTTAGCCCTCCCCTAAGAAGGGCTCCATACCCGCCATGGACCCTTCCCCCCTCACTCTGGCCTCTGCCTCTCCCCCCAGGAGCTGCCCCACAACGTGCAGGAGATCCTGGGCCTGAGCCTGGCCCCAGCTTCCACACCAGGCAGCCCTTCCCCCTCAGGCTCACCCCTGCCTCTGTCACCCACCCCAGCCCCTGAAGCCCCATCCTCTGTTTCTGGGGGTCCTTCACCCACTCCCCAGGCTGACAGCAGCCTGGAGATCCTGCCTGAGGACTCGGGGCCAGATCCCTGAGTGTTATACCTTGATGTGGTCCTCACTGACTCTGCCTCTCCCATTCTTCCCGCACACGCACTTTACCCCTCCCTCCTTTGTCTAAAGCTCTGCCCTTTCTCCTCTTATTCCTGACCTGGGGCGAGGGGGCTGGGGGTCACATCCTCACCAGACTTGGTGTGGATGGGGGCGGATCTTGCCCTCCCATCCTGGGAGGGCACTTTCTTTCTGCCCATTAAACGGGGTCACTTTGATGTTCATGTTGGCCTTGCTGTGTTGTGGGCAGTCGGAGTTTCCCCTGACCCCAAGGAGGGGAGCCAGGGAACTGGCTTCAGGGAGGAGACTTTGAGAAAGGTCGTGGGGAAGCAGGGGTCACGGGAACTCTGCACAGTGAATGGGAACAGGAGACCTCTTTCTACAAATGTTTTTTTATAGTTTTTAACATTCATTTTTATAAGATTTTGAGTTCTGATTACTCCCCTGCCTCCCATCTTCCCTCCTCAGGATGTCATGTAGTCTGATTTAGGTTAGATACTACAGATTTTTTAATTGGCTTTCCCTGATCACCCCTGCCTGGAGCCTGTGAGCAGCTGACCAAATGGCCTTCCTGGGTCCATGTCTGACCCTGGCTACGCAGGGGCGCAGCGGAGGCCGGGCCTTCCTGGCCCCCACCACCCTGGCTGAGCAGGGGCGCCGTGGAGGCTGTGCCTTACTGGCCCCCACCACCCTGACAGGGAGGCTACTGACTGAGGGAGGCTCCTGGGCCTTGTGGACATGAAGGGGCCTGCCCTGGGGTCCCTAGGTAGCCCTGTGTATCTTCTGGGCTGCTCGTAGCCCTGACTTGATGGCTGTCTCCACCCATCCGTGGGGGAGGGCCGTGTACTCCCCAGCGAAGTGCAGGCGGCCCTCAGGCTGTGTCCAGTCCCAGTGCCAAGGCTTTTCCTGCTCTGGGTCTCTGGCGTGCTCGGGCCTGGGCTGTGGGGGCTGCACCACAAATCCACCCTGGCTGTAGCGGTTTTCCCCCCAGCGCATCACGGCCCCTCGCCCGTCCCAGAGCTCCCGCACCTTCTCCCCATGGAGGGCAACGACATCCCTCAGCACCAGGCGCAGGGTCTCCTCCTCCCCCAGGCCTGCGAAGGCCGCTGTGGCGTCTGACCACGTGTAGGATGCGAGGAGGAGACCCCCGGCCTCCGTCCTGTTGCCTTCTGGGTAGTAGAGAGCACGGACTGGGCGGTCAGTGGATGAGTGGCCCCCCACGATGCCCTCGTCCTCCCAGAAGGGCTTCCGGAAGCTGAGGAAGATCTTGGTAGCTGGAACATAGTGGATACCGCGGAGTGCCCGGCGGAGGGCGGGGTGGAGTGGTGGCTGGAAATCGATGTGGCTCAGGGCTGTGGCGGTAGTGGCCAGTAGGACGTGGTCAGCGGCCAGGGACAGCAGGCGTGACGGCTGCCGGGGGTCGCAGTAGAGGATGGAGGCGCCTTTATGATTCTGGGACACCTGGAGCACAGGGGCTCGTAGCAGGACCGGGCCCCTCAGGGAAAGCAGGAGGGCGCGGGGCAGCTGGTCCCAGCCGTCGCGGATACGCCAGTACCTGGGGCACAGAAGCAGAGGCTGGTGGGTGGGGCCTAGAGCAGGCCGTTGCCAGCCGTCCCCTGCCCCTCCCCTGTACTCACCTGAGCTGATTGTTGAGGTAGCTGTGGGCCCGTAAGGCCTCCGCGAAGTTCAGGGAGAAGAAGCCGTCCTCAGCCAGCACATCTCCCAGGAGGTGGACGGCGGCCAAGCTCAGGTTCCCTTCTCCGAGGAGGTAGTCCTGGTGGGGGGGGGCAGGCAGGGGCTGAAGCAGTCACGCCAACTCCTTGGCTGGCTCCTGGTCTGTCCCCAGCCTCCTGTTTTTGGCCTCTGTTTCTCGGGCAGTGTCAAAGGGGATGTCCAAGCACGTCTGTGCTGACCCTGTGTGACTTGGCTGTGGGGCCTAGATGGCCCTTTAAGCCTTGGGTTTGCATCCTGGCCCTGCTCTTTGCAGTCAGTGACTTGGGACCAATCCCTCCCCCGATGCTTCCCAGCGCCAACTCCTCCAACCCTGCCTTGCTTGGCTGCCCCTGTTTGTAGGGTCCCGGACTCGGCTGGAAGAAGCTTCAGGGCCATGTGACTTCATTTTACGGTTGAGGGAACTGAGGCCTGGGGGTGAGGTAGGGAAGGGTCAGAGAACTGCTAAGAGACTCAGGCAGAATTTGAACTCCGATCTTATTGGCACTGAGTCTAGTGGTCAGTGCACTAGCTTGCTGTTCTTTCTCTCTGTGAATGACCCCTGGGTTCAGGTAGCTGTGATGAGGGAGGCCCTACTCCCATAGGCTCCTCCCGGGGCCATTTCCAGCAGAGGGTTCTGTGGACCTCAGCCAGTGTCTGTCCCCCTGCTTGTCCCTGCTTCCTCCCCTCTTGCTGTCTCCACACTGCCGCACCTCCCCCTTCCTCTATGCCTCCTCCTTCCTTCCCTCTCCCATCTCCCATCCCCCCTCCCTCCTCAGCTACGTGGTTCGGTGGAAAGAACCGTATTGGGGGTTGTTTCCTGTCTGTGCCCCTCTGGCAAAATCACAGCCACCCTGGGCCTCAGCTCAGCAGGCAGATCTGGGGCTCGGCCGGGCTTAGACTCACTAGCATTTCAGGCCCTCCCCTGCAGCTGTAGAGCCTGGAGCCCAGGATCTGTCTTGTCTTCCCTGGCTCTGGCTCTCTGGCCTCTGTCTGGGTGCCCCACCTGCTTTCCCCCTTTCTATCCTTTCCAGGAATATGGAGGGTGTAGACCCAGTTACCACAGAGCCCCCAGAAACTAGGGGTTTCCCAGTTGGCCCTTGGCCATAAGCTGCATGGGAGCAGCACTTTCCTTGGGGCCCTCTTGGCAAAGACCCCTGCCAGGCAGCGAGGCTGGGCAGAAGGGCAGCAGGACTGGAAGGAGGGTGAGTGGGAGTTGGATGGCTGGGGTCCCTAAGCCCACTTACCAGAAGGGTGTAGCTTTCAAATTTTTTTATCATCCGGGAGCAGCCCAGGTGTTTGAGGTCATAGAGGGCCTAAGAGAGGAGGAAGGATAAAAGATGGTGTCCCGTCCTCCTGTCTTAGCTTTCCCTATCTCACATTCTTTGCCCCATTCTCTGACCCTCCTACCACATCCTGCACGGCCCTGGTCACATCTGTGCTGCTTGCCCAGAGACCCTGTGGTTGGGCCCTGTTCTATCAAATGCAGAACTGAGGGACCTTCATTGGAGGTCCACAGAGGGGAGTGGTTTGTCCAGGATTTGGACCCTACTCTTCTGTGTCTGAACCTAGGGCTCCTTCCTTCTCATTCTCCAGCACCACTTACCTGGGAGCCCGCCCCCAGCCCTGGCCTGGTCTTGGGGAACTGTTAGCCAGGTCCCTGGACCCATTCCATAATACAGGCATCAGATCTGGAAGGGACCTTGGTACAGATGAGGAACCCCTCCCACAAGCATGTGTGGGGGGGTGACAGGGTTGGAGGGCGGGGCCTGTGTTGTCATAGGTATGGGGGATGCTTGGTGGGGGGAACAGCTGGCCCTCACTTCTTCCACGGGGCTGCTTGGAGCCCCAGGATCTGTGAGTACAGGCCAGGGGCCCTGTGTGCCCTGGGCAGGTCATTTCTCTGGCCTCGCCCTCCTTTGTAAAATGGGAGGGGGTGAGGTGAACTAGGTGCCTTCTGTCCCGGAGCTGAGCCCGGGCTCTGGACTCACCTTGTGTAGGGCCATCTGGTAAATGGCCTCCGGTGACTGGCCTTGCTCAGAGGGCTGCAGCGGGTAGCCCAGCTTCTCGGGCGCTGCCTCGACCACGAAGTTCCGTAGCTTTACCCCATTCGCCTCAGTCCACGCATTCATGTCAGACTGAATGAATTGGGCTAGGGGCAGGCCCAGGTGGGCACAGAGCTTTAGGAGGATCCTGAGGGGAAATGAAGGGACACAGACCCTGTAGTTAGGATCTAGTGGTGGGCTCAGTGATGGAGGCAGGGTTGGAACCAGGGGCTGCTCCATACCTGTGGTTGGATGGTATCCTCATGGCCCCCAGTTCTCCTAGCCAGCCTGTCTTCTCATCCCTGTATGTCAGGATCCGCCCTCCGATTCTGTCACTGGCCTCCAGCAGGGTTACCTGGGAGTGGAGGTAGTTAGTGCAACTACCCTGCCCCCCAGTCTGTACCCTGACCTTTGGTTGGGCAGTATCCAGGGTCATGGTCAAGCAGAAATTTTGACTTAGGCACTGCTGGGTGAGGAAACAGGGATTTCCTACAACATGAGAGCCTTCACCCCAGCCTGTTCTCACGTCTAGATTTTAGTGAAAGGGATGGTGTTTCGCCCTCAGGTGGGAAGAATGGAATTTCATTCCCCTGAAGTCTGCAGAAATGAGAGACTGGCTTTCTTACAGATGCTGGCCACTGGCAGTTAGGTTTATGTGGGACTTTCCTACAGATTCAGGGAACTGCCTTGGGATGGGCTTGTCTTTTTCCAGATGTCTGCACGCAGACCAGGTTGGTGATGGTGACTTCCTTTCCCCATCACCTTCCCTCCCCCATGAAGTGAATTTGGAGTTCAGAACCCAAAGGGGCCTTGGGGCTTCTCTGGTGTGCCTCCACCACTTGACAAAAGGGGACCCCAAAGCTCAAAGTGCCTAGGGGCTCGGGGCCTTGGAGCTGGCTTGCCTGACCTTGTGTCCAGCATCTTCCAGCACCTTGGCTGCCACCAGCCCGGCTATGCCAGCCCCCACCACTGCCACCCGCTGGGGCCGTGTTGTCTGGTTGAGACCCTGGCTCATGATGTCCATTAGCTCCCTGTAGTCTGGATCCAGGAAGCACTTCAGGAAGGGGTCATCTCCAGCATCTGCTTCATTGGCTCTGGTGAGGTCCAGGAGGAGGAACAGACCTGGGAAGGGGAGAAACCAGGAAAGGAGGGAGTGTGCCTTAGGGAAGCAGAGCCTTTTGCCCCACAGTCCTGGCAGGGGTAGGACCCTCCTTCCCCAGCTACCCCTAGGATACTCACCCCACCAGCGCATGACTTGGAAGCAAGATGGAGATGGAACTGGGGCTGAGGAGAAAAGCTGCACCTGTGAGCCCCTCAGCCAGAGTCTTGCCCCCACTAGCACTACCTCTATCTCCCCATCCAACCTTCATAGCTCTAGCTGTCTGAATGGGAGGGCTTATCTCTTATTTCCAGCTCTGCTCATCTGTTTTCTGGATTTTTCTCTGTGTCTAGAGTTCATCTTTATCTGTCTGGACACCTGCCCCAATTCACATCTCCAAAGTTCTTTCCTAGTCCACCTTTCTAAATCCCTGTCCCTGGCCATGTCTGAACCTCACTCCTGGCCTGTCTCTGGATCCCTGCCTCTGCCCTTCTCTCTCCTTATCCATCTCTCTCCCTGCTTCTGCTCATTTCTTGGGATCCCTGTTTGTCTCTCTCAGTTCTTCCTGCCTTCTTCTCCACTGTCTTTCTCTCACCTGTCACTACTGGGGTGTGGACAGCAGCCTCCCAAATCTTGGGTCTTCTCTCACCCTTTGCTTGTGTCTCTGTGAGGTCAGGCTAGGTAAGAGTGCAGATGCCTTCTGAAACACACCCTGCCCGGCCCCCACGTTCTGCTTTGGGAAGTCCAGTCTACTACTAAGGAAACTGAAACTCTTCTTCCAGAGTTTGGCTACTGGCTCGGGCCTGACTCCTGCCGGCTTCGCTATGGTTGAGAATGGTGGTCAGGTGGTGACGAGAAAGGCAGGAAGTGGGACTGCTCAGCTGCTTCTCCCTAAATAGTTTTCTCGGGGGTCCGTAAGCTTTGGTGGTTGTGCTGTGCCCGGGACTTTCCTGGCTGTCATCTCTTAGGTCTCTTTCTGTCTCTGTTCTATCTTTTTCTTCTGCTCTTTGTCTCTCAGAGCTGCAGCTAGGGACGAAGACCAGGAATAACAAAGCCACTTTATTCCTTCTCAGCTCTATCGGGGGGATGGATTAAAGAAGGGATAGGCTGCCTGAGATGGATGGCATAGTGGACCTTCCCATAGCTTAGAGCCGAGACCCTTCATCATGCTTGTATATCTTTAGTTTACTGATGCCCTCCCTAAGTTGTGCTGCCTAAAATTGAGCACAGTATTTCAGAGTGATCTGATCGGGGCCTTCTGTGATTATTTGGGGGTGGGGATGCATCCCCACTTTTATGTAACTGTGCGCAAAATATATACAAAATAAAAACATGGTGAGGGGAAGTGTTAGGAGCTGAGGAAATCCAGAGAGGCCTCATGTAGGAAGTAGCTGAGCTGAGCACAGAAAAAAAAATACAGATTTTAAGAGGTGAGAAGGAATTAGATACATTTGAAACTAGTACAAAGGTTTAATGAACCAGTGAAGGAGACTGAGGAGGGGCCGGGCAGGAGCTCCCCATTTTTGTCTCTGTCTCATTTACACTTTTTTGTCGCCTCTCTGACTCTGTCCCTGATACGATCTCAGGCTGTGCGTGTGCATCTGCGTGTGTGTGTGTGTATGTGTGTGTGTGTGTCTGTGCGCGCCTTGCTCTCTCATTTTCTTTGTGTCCATGATTCTCAATCTCTGTCCTATGGGGCCCTCGAGGGCAATGTTGCAGAAGTGGGTGGGGAGGGAAGGCCTTTAGGATTTCTTCTGAAGTTCAGAGGAAGCTGGGAAAATCCTAAAGATAGACCCTGAGGGCTCTGAGGGTGATTCAAAAGCACATGATGGGCCCCAGAATTTCCAGGTGGGGCCCCAGCAGAGTCTGAGAGACTGGAGGGAAAGGTCAGGGGCCTGGTGCTGGACTTCATCCCAGCTACATGTAGGGAGGAGTCAGCAAGTCATTAAACGGCAGAGCCAGGGGTCTGTGCCTTAGACTTTGGGGCTGTTGCCCCTCAAACGTGGAGTCTTTGTCTCAGGGAATCCCATGAGGAGGGAATAGGCGATACCTTGAGAGATGCCCTGATCCAGGTGCCCCCCCCCACCCGCTGCACATAACTGTGTTCTTATATCAGCAGGTGGCAAGGGAGGCCTGGAGATGCCCAGAGATACCGGGGGACAGACTTCGCTGCAAAGAGACAGAAGTAGTGACATGGTATCAAGACTTGAGACACTGAGACAGAAGAGGGTCAGAGAGACATGGGGACCAAGACACAGGGGGAGTCATCAGAGAGACCTGGGAGACTCGAGGGAGATGTAGTGAGAGAGGAAGGTTTGCAGACTGAGAGGTGGAGGTGGAAATGAAAGCAGAGAGAAACAGAAAGTTCAGGAGAGAGACACAGAGAGAGAGGACTAGGGAAACTGAGACAGACAGAGACAGAAAAGGTAAGGAGACGCAGAGAGATGGAGAAAGGAGAGAAGCGCGGATAGGGAGAGAGAGGTAAAGAGAAATGGAAAGCAAAAGAGAGGGAAAGGGGGAGAGAGAGACAGAGAAAAAGAGCAGAGAAACAGAAGAGAGAGAGAAAGGACTAGGGAAACAGGACAGACAGAAAAGGTAAGGAGAAGCAGAGACAGAAAGGAGAGAAGCAGGGATAGGGAGAGAGAGAGGGAAAAGAAAGGGAAAAGGGGAGGAGAGAAAAAAACAAAAGGGGAGGATAGGGAAAGAGAAAGAGGAGATAGATAAATGTACAGAGGGAGATGAAAAGAGGCAGAGAAAGGAGAGAGGGAGGGGAAGAGAGAAATATAGAGAGGAGAGACAGGGAAAAACAGGAAGAAGGAGATGAAAAGAGAGGGAAAGAAGAGGGAGAGAGAAAAGGAGCAGAGAGACAGGAGAGAGGGAAGGGTAGGGAAAGAGAAAGGAGAGGGGAGAGACAGATAAATAGATGAAAAGAGGCAGAGACAGATGAAGAGAGGGAGGGGAAGAGAGAGATAATGTAGAGAGGAGAGACAGAGACAAAGATAGAAGGAAAGAGATGGAGATGAAAAGGGAGGTAGAGACAGAAGAGAGACAAGAAGGAGAGACAGAAGACAAAGAGAAGGAGATAGAGAGGGTTAGGAAGAGAGACAAAAAGAGAGAGGCAGCAGAGAGATGAAAAGAGAAGCAGACGGAGGGGGAGACAGTGAAGAGGCGGGGGGAAGGAGAAAGAGAGAGACAGAGAGTGAGCAAAAAGAAGAGAGAAAAAGCAGGGGAAGGAAGAGAAAGAAAGACAGACAAGGAGAGAGAGGGATAGGGAGAAGACAAAGAAAGAAGAGACAGAACAACAGAGAGGGATAAGGAAAGAGGAGATAAAGAGAAGAAAACAGAAGAGACAGGAGAAAGAGAAGCAGAGACGGAGAGGAAGAGGGGGAGGGAGGAAGGGCCTGTTGCTCTGTCCTGGTCAGACCCCATTTGGGCAGCACAGTTTAGGAAGGACATTGATGAGCTGGAGTTCCAGTGGAGAGCAGTCAGCATAGTGAAGGGCATTCAGCCTCAGGGGATGTGGAGCTGACTTCAGGCATCTGAAGGGCTGTGGTGTGGACGATCCACTTGTTCCCCGCAGCGCCAGTGGCAGCCCCAGAATCGAGGGTTTTGGGGACTGAGGCTGGCCGTCCTGGCCCCGGGGAAGAGAGGACTCAGGCCCCTTGAGTGACATGGCTCAGCCTCTGTTTCTCTCCCCTTTCTGGCTGGAGTAGATCCAGAGGGTGGGGTTCACCTGTCCCTACCCCCAGAATAGAAAATGGCTCCAGGCAAAAAAAAAAAAAACACAAAAAACACATGGGGTTGAGATTTAAAATTGGAAAGAATCATAGAAGTCAATGAATCCAACCTCCTTATTTCGACAGATGGGGAAACTGAGGCCCAAGCATGAAATTACTTGCCCACAGTGACACAGGAAGTATCAAAGGTGAGATTAGAACTCAGGTCCTTTGACTCGGCATACAAATTTTCTTTCTGTGGTCCTACACGCCTCCTGCCTTCTGGGTTCCTTTTCTGTGCAGATTTAGAAACTCCGGTGTCGAGGAGATGTCTTGGGAAGCATTGGCGTGGGCCGGTCTCACAGCCTGCAACGGTGTTTTCAGCCATGCTGGTGCTGATGTGTCTGTCTGAGCTCAATGCGGCAGCACCCCAAAGGGCTTTACTTTGGAGAAAGTTTGAGGATTCTCCTGTGGGTCGCCTATGTCTACATTTGCTCAGGCTCTAGGAGGCCTCTGCTTCTCATTCATTTTCTGTGATGGGGGGAAATACTGGCTGTCCTATGTCACTCACCACACTGTCCATGCTGAGCCCCTATGCAGGCATGGGGACCCTGTTACCTGCTTCAGGGGACTCCCAGATCCAAGCCATAAGGAACCTGCCTTCACGGACTTCTCCAGTCTTCTGGAGAGGGGAAAGCATGGTGGGGGATGTGAGCGAGCTAGAGGAAGTGACTTTCTGGGAAGGCACTCAGCCTCTGGGGTCAGACCGAAGTCCAGTGAACTGGAAGTCCTTGGCAGGAGCGGCCTGCCTCATGAGGAATGCACATCTGAGCCGGCCCAGTGTGGAGGAGGCTACCTGAGGGCGCAGGGCTTCCCCCCTCCAAGGGTCTTCAAGCAGATGTTGGATTCTGAGGGTCTTAGGAACCCCTAAGCCGAAGGGAATATGGGGGCATAGAGTCTCAGGGCTGAAAGCCACCTTTCCTTTATAGGTGGGACCAGCCCTGCCTGTGCTGAGATGCTGCAATTCTGTGCTGTCCTCTAGTCTAGCCTGGTCAGAATTCAAGACAGAGGGCAGGAACTGGCCTTGGTGGTGGAAGGGCCCCAGGGGCAGCCTTTCCAGATCTCGCAAGGGTAGTCGGGCAGTCAGGCAGCCCTGGCTCAGGGACCTCTCTTGGTCCCAAGGCAGTCCCTTCCACTTGGGGGACAGCTCAGATCCTGAGAAATCTCTCCGCACTTCAAGACAGAAATCTGCCTCCCCGTTTCAGCCATCCAGTTCCTAGTTCTGCAATACAACTCTATTGAATCAAACACATTCCACTCAACTAATGTCGATTAAATTGACTGCTAGGTACAAGGCTTGTCTTGAGCCATAAGAAGGAAGGAAAGATGATCTATTAAGTGCCTGCTATGTGCTAGGGTACTGTGTGAAAGGCTTTGCAAGTATCTCCTTTGATCCTTGTGACAACCCTGAGGTAGAGCCTGTTATTATCCCAATTTTACAGTTGAGGAAACTGAGACAAATAGAGGTGAAGTGGAAGGGTGTTCTTGGTCTGCCTAGACTCAAAGGCAAGGGATGAAAAGTTGACTTCAAGGAGCAGCGAGGAGGCCAGTTTGACTGGACCAAAGAGGAAGGAGGAAGGGTCAGTCAGTCTGGGAAGGTTGACAGGAACCAGTCAGGGAAGGGCCTGCCCAGAGTCAGGATCCTGGAAGCCTCCAGTCCAACCCCGACCTGAACAAGAGCCCCTTCTGCAGCCCTCTGGACAAGTGGCAGCCCTGAATGCCAGGCTGAGGTGGTCACTGAGAAGGGGGCAACCTGGTCGTACTGAACCTCTCGTCTCTGTCTCAGCAGAGGGGAAATGTGAAGGGCTAATTAGCAGAATTCAATAATGAAATTCAATAAATATTTATTAAGAATGTACTATGTCAAAGGCACTTAGCACAGTGCCTGGCACCAGTAGATGCTAAATAAATGGTTTAATTAGCAGAAGTGCTACCCCAGAGCTGATCTTGGGGCAAATGGCATTGACAGAAAAAGGACCAAGATTGGCACATGCGCTGATGGTCAACAGCCCCAGCACTAGATGGTGAGAGTTCCTCTGGGATTCTCTGGGGACCCTGCATTAGCAGTGACCCACTGAAAGATGGGACTGGCATGATCGGATATCCTCGTTTCTCAGTGACCCCACAAGAGACGAGTTCACTTTCCCTCACCCCCTCTTTTGGTTCGGGCTTTAACTGCTGCCCTTCATGAGTCAGAGCAGCTTCTTGGAGATAACTTTGGCTCGTTCACACTTACTGCCACCGCTGTAGACTGAGCCACATGTTCTAATTATTACCCTCCTACGTGCAGCTGGTGACCATTTTCTTATTTTGCACATTTCCTCTGTATTGGCATTATGCCCCTATTGTATTACAGTGTGTTATCTTTGCCTCATCTTGCTGTTCATTCTGGCCCCGTGGTTTTTCCCTGTTTTGCTTCATTATGTTATTTCTAGACCTAATGCTTTTTTTGTTGTTGTTGTGAGTCATTTCAGTTAACTCTTTGTGACCCCATTTGGGTGTTGTTTTTTTTTTTGGCAAAGATGCTAGAGTGGTTTGCCATTTCCTTCTCCAGCTCATTTTTACAGATGAGGAAACTGAGGTAAACCAGTTTAAGTGACTTGCCTAGGGTCACACAGCTGGAGTCTGAGGCTATATTTGAACTCAGGTCTCCTTGACTCCAGGCCTGGCACTCTATCCACTGAGCCACTTGGTTTGTTCGCTGTTGTGTCCTAAGGGGAGATGCAGGGATTAGGTATGTATTATCCAGTAAAGGTGTATGGTGGATGAATATGACTTTCTAAGGTGACTTCTGGGGAGCCTGGGGTGATCATCCTATTATCTCTTTAATTATCTGCTAATCTCTATGAATAGATAATATTCAATTATCTCCTTATAGATATTAGATGTTCTGCTGGATAATTCCAGTGTGCTTTGGCCAACTTTGCAGGGAATGCAAAGCCCCAGAGGCATTTTCCTGGCCTCCAAGATTTGGTTTCTCACTTGCAAGGAGCTGGGGGCTTGAGCCCAAGAGGAGAGAGCTCTGCATGTTATGGGAGCTCACCTGGGCTATAGAATTTCTTTCTCTGAGAGCAGAATCCCAGTTTTCCTTCCATTCCACCCCGCACCTACTTTTGCTAGCTTTTATATTACTTCAATTTTTGTTGTTAAAAAATGTCTAATTTTTTATGGGTTGGAGCAGGCCTTTTTTTTTTTAAAGCAAACAATAACCTCTGATAAGCTCTGTAAAATGTACTTTGGTGAATTTGCACAGGGCAGTATCTGGGAGTTGACTGCAAGTTTGGGACTGGATAACATTTGTGCCATGCTGACTCTGTAAAGCCTCCTTTGTGCATGGCACTGGAGAAGCAGGTGGAGGAATAATGTTGGGGTCTCCCTGGGACCCCCAGACAGCTGTCAGCTGTCCTCAGGACTTGTTGATAGGGGAGAAAACTGCAAAAAAAAAAAACCAAACCCAGCAAGTTTGCTGAAGACACAGTCTCGTGTGGCAGATTGTTCATTTGCCGTTTCATCTTTTGACCATCCGATCAGACACCAAATAGGAGTTCATAATGTGATGATTGTAACAAGAGAGGCCAGACTTTCCCTAATGGTAGCTGAGAGGAAACTGGAGATTCCCAGAGTTCTCTTTCTTCCAAGTGACTTTCCATTTTCTTGTTACCATACTCCTAGATTGACCTTGTAAGCAGCCGGCACCGAGGCATGAGCCCCAGGTCAGTGGTAGAGTGCGCAGTCAGAGAGTTTGAAGACGATGCCCTCTAGTGAGGGGTGGGGGTGCTGTGGCTTTTGGGACCACCCCTGGATCCCCACAGAATATGTCCCTTGGCCAGTGGCTTGGAAGGTAATGGTGGCCACCTGGTGGCCACAGTCTGCTAGTGCTGGGCTTGGGAGGAGGTCATAAAGAAAACTCTTCATTGGACACAGGTGGTCCTGAAATCCCTTCTTGCTCTGGTCTGTGATTCTTTAAGTGAAGACAGCGAGGTCCCCATCCCTGGAGGCCGGGCTCCATTTAGTCATTTCGGTGTTTTGACAGCCGTTTTGTGGTTGGCGATAGTCATAATTGCCCAGTTTGATTTCTAAAGCTGATTGTTTAAACCCAAGAGTAGATTTTACATGTAGCCCCATTGTACTCATCTTTTTAGATTCAGCCCAACCTGCTTGCCTGTCAGGATCTTTTTAGATCCCAGCTCTAGTATCCAGTGGGCTTTCCGTCCCTCCCAGCATTGTGCCATCTGTAAACCTGATAAACTTTCCATCTATATCTTGTTGCAACCCAAACAGATCCCTGGGGCACTCCACTAGAGACCCCCTCCAGCTTGCTAGGACTCTTTAGTGACTGTTCTTTGGGTCAGACTCCAAGCTGGGGCTGGGGATCAGGATAGGTGGGTCCCAGTGTCTGGGGGCAGATTTGTGGTTTGGGGCCAAGTTTGGTCATCAGCTTGGGGTCTGGCCAGAATCCTCAGGAGTTCCACCATCCAGCCTGTCCTCTCAGTCCCCTAGGTGAGCATCCCTTCCCTAACTCTTCCAGGTACCTCCAGAGAGGCCCACACAGCAGCAATGTTTAATCTGGCACTGGGGGCAGTTGGCTGCCCTGAGGAGAATCATGGAAGGAAAGACTGTGCAAAGTTGAGTACTTTGTAAGCCTAGAGCCCAAGAGGAATGACTAACTTGTAGCTTGTCCTGGTGGTTTACTTCCTCATTCATCCAAAAAGAAAAGTATCCTAGCCCTGAGATACTGGCCACTCACTATGGGTAGGCTCCTGCAGCTGTCCATGATCCTTCCCCAGTGTCCTTCGATAACCAGTGTAGACCTCTCCTCAACCAAGCCCCCAACACCTGAGAAAGGCCTAAAACCTGGACTGGCCAATCAAGGAAAGACATTTTGGCCCACCGTGGCCTTAAGCTACCACAATGCCTCGTGTGCTCTGGCATGCTTTGCTTTCCTTTACAATGTCCTTTCCTGGGTCAGCAACTACAAGGCCAGATGGTAAAAGAAACACAGACATCCTGGATCTATAATTTCAGTTGCTCTCAACCACTACTAAGTTCGTTCTTAGGAAGACAAACAAAATTAGACTGAATATGAGTGTTTATTTCTCTCAAAGCTTGCAGAACACGTATGTAGAGATCCGCACGGGAGCTCATCACGTAAGTGAACCCAAAGATGTACAAAGAGGATTTTCATATGTTCAAAGCAATTCCCTCTCAGCCCTCCCTCCCTTCCTGGCTCAGGAAGCCAAATGTACTAACTATAATATGAGGAAGGACTTTCTTAATTGGATAGATTGTAAATACAATAAGATAGGAGAAGTGGCAAAGTGTCAACTGAAATTATAGATCCAGGCTGTCTGTGTTTCTTTTACCATTAACATGACATAATATAACAAACATAGGAAAAGTCCCATTATTCAAGATGGTGTCCGGCTCAAGCCTCCTCGTCCTTGGTAGTCATAAACAGAAGAATGTTCCCCGTCAGCTTCATCTGGCCTTTTAGTTGCTGACCCAGGAAGGGACATTCTGAGGGCAAAGCAAAGCATGTCTGTCACGCCAGGGCACACAAGGCATTGTGGTGGCTTAAGGCCAGGGTGGGCCAAAAGGTCTCTCCTGATTGGTCAGTCCAGGTTTTTGGCCTTTCTTAGGTGTTGGGGGCTTGGTTTGGGGAGAGGTCTACACTGGTTATCGTTGGGATGAGATGGCCAGAGGAGGTGAAGGAAGGAAGCGAAGAGGAGGCAGCCAGTCCAGAGAGGGCCTGTCTACATGCTTCTGTGAAAGTGTGGATTACCCAGGCAAAGAGTGGTTTGTGATTGTGGAGTCTGAGTAATGCAAGGAAAGAGGAAGATTCCAGTAAGGGCAGAGGATGGGGAAACAGGCCAGAGCCAGAGACAAGATGAGAAAGAGAACCAGAAGGAGAAGAACTCAGGGACTTTCCCTGGGCTGGGGTCATGAGGACATGGCATCCAGAGCTGGAAGAGGCCTCCTCCTTTGGCTAGAGCAGGAATCTGGGGCCCAGAGCAGGGAGTCTGGCCAAGCCCCTTCAATGATTCCAATGAAGCCCCAGTCTAAAGGAAAGGGGCTCCTTCCCACGGCGAGCCTGACCCCTCCTGGAGGATGCTGAGGTCCTGAGAGGGACAGGAAATTGCCCAAGGTCACATAGCTGATAGGAGTCAGAGTTTGAACCCAGATTATCAGGTCACAGATGTGGAACTGGCAGAGAGGCCACCTAGGCCTCATTTTGCAAAGAAGAAGAATGACAAGGTCACCCAGAGGTGACCTGCCCAATGTCTCACAGCTAGGAAGTGGCAAAACCAGGTTTGGATTCAGCTCTTCCGGACTCCATACCCAGAGTTCTTCCATTGCTCCATACTGTCCAAGATCCAAGGGTCGATTTCTGATGTGAGCCAGTGGCCATGGCAGGACCACAGTGAACCTCATGAACCGGTGAAGGGGGCTTCCTGGCCACGGACTGGTCTAGGAGTGGGTGTGGGGGGGCTTATAGCTAGCTTGTGGGTCTCCTGAAATCTTGGCTTAATGGAAGTCTCCACCCAGAGCCGGGCTTCCTATTTTCCTGTAGCCTCCATATGGCAGTGTCCCTGAGCTTCACAGGGCAGCTCGGGCTGCAGGGCCCAAGTGTCTGTGTTTTCTCGGTTGACCTTCACAACCTACTGTCATGCTACTGTTATCCCCATTTTACAGATGAGGAAACTGAGGCTGATTCTAGTAGAGAAGCAGAGTGTCCGCTCAACTCAACCACAGGAGGTCTTCAGTCTGTGTTGACATAATGGCCCTTCCCCTTGGAGAGAGCAGGCAGTGTGGTCCTGGCATCAGCCCGGGGTGGAAGTGATCAGAGGCTGGTCACCAGACCAGGGCCTGGCTGCGGAAAGGTCTTTTGAGGTGTCCTTCAAGGTGGATGGGACACACCCTTGATCCGCTGAATTTTTCCCTAACAGTGACCAGTAAACCGTCAGCCCAGTGGATCTCGTAATGTCCACGTTGGTGGGTCAACGTGTGTGCTGCTGTGGAGTGTTGTTCATGCTAGCTGGCCTGCCCCTGAAGTCGGGGAGAGAACAGGAGGGGCCTCAGAGTGATGATAATAGCTCACACTTATCCATCATCTTAGGATCTGCAAGGTTCTCTACAGACGTACGCTGTCATTTTATCAAACAACAGCCGTACTGGGTGGGTGGTTTGATGACCCCACTTTTCCTATGAGGGAACTGAGGCAAAGAAAGAGTAGAGTAACTCAGCTGGGGCCACACAGGGAGGAAGGACACACCCAGGCTGTCCTCTTGAGCCGGATCCAGGCCTCTCTCCCCATCCATTGTACCAGGCTGCCCATCTGAGGGTCAGCGGGAGACAGACACCTGGGGCCTCCTGATCTGGTCAGCGCTGAAAGGAATCTGGCTCTCACATGCCTGACAAGTGCCTTCCTGACTCTCTTGGTTTGTAGACCACCAAGGACAGGGAGCCCACTACTCTTGAGGCAGCCTCTTCCACACTAGGACCCCACCAATTCTTGGAGAGCTTCTCCTCGCTTCCAGCCTCTCTGTTGGCCTGCCTTTTTTTTAGAGTTTTTTTTTTTCGAGCCTATCAGGGTTAAGCGACTTGCCCAGAGTCACACAGCTAGTGAGCATCATGTGTCTGCGGTTGGATTTGAACTCAGGTCCTCCTGACTCCTGGGCCGGTGCCCTATCTACTGTGCCACTGAGCTGCCCCTTCGCCCCCTTTCAATGTCCCTCCTTTGATCTCAGTCTATTCCCTTCTTCACAGCACGGCCCCTCCGATACTTGAAGGCCGCTCTCATCTCATCTCTCCCCAGCCTTGTCCTCTCCAGGCTCGACCCCCTGTTTCTTTAGCTGATTCTCACTGGACGTGGACTCCAGGCCGGTCCTGACATCGTTGTCCTCCCGTGGATTCTCTCCTGCTGTCGATGCCCTCCTTCAGCCATGGAGCCCAGAACTGAGCCCAAGGCTCCAGGTGAGGCCGGACGAGGCAGAGGGGTGGTGGGACTATCACTTCTCTTCATGCAGCCCAAGAACACGTTGGCTTTTTAGTAAAAACACAGTCCCCTTGCACTCCTGTTGGCCTGTACCCCACTGTGGCAGTATGGGGGTGACATGTGGGCAAATCCTTGTGAATTATAGAGCAATGTGGGTTACCTGCCTTTGTGGTCTTTGGAAATAAATGGTCATCAGTCAAGGCGACATGCGTTTGTTAAGTGCCTACAGTGTGCAAAGCTCTGGAGATGCAAAGAGAAGCAAAGATAGTCCCTGCCCTTCGTGGGCTTACAGTTTAACGGGGCAGACAACGAGCGAGCGCCTCGGTGCATAGGAGATACAAGCAGAATAGATGGGAGGTGATTGGAGAGGCTCCAGCAGGAGGCGGCACCGGGAAAAACAGAAGGTACAGGTGTAGAGGGCACAGAGATGGAGAGTTGTGCCTGAGGAACTGAGGACAGGCCAGGGTGGCTGGATTAGAGAGTCTGGAGGGAGAAAGGTTGAAAAAAGATGCTGGAAATGTGGAAAGGGGCCAGATGGGGAAGAGCTTTCAAAGACAAAGAGAGGATTTTATATTTGATCCCGGTGGTCATAGGGGGACACTGGAGCTCCTTGAGGAGGTGAGGGAAATGGTCCAACCCATACTTTATTTATTTTTTTATTTTTGACTTGCCCAGAGTCACACAGCTAGTAAGTGTTATATGTCTGAGGCTGGATTTGAACTCGGGTCCTCCTGACTCCAGGGCTGGAGCTCCATCCACTGCACCACCTAGCTGCCCCCAATCCATACTTTAGAAAAATCATGTTGTCGGCTAAGGGGGTGGGGGAATGGATTGCCGTGAGGAGAGACCAGTGAGAAGACTATTTAATAGTCCAGGCAAGAGGTGATGGAGGCCTGCACTAGAGTGGTGCCGATGGGGTGGAGAGAAGGGCACCCACTGGAGAGATGCTGTGGAGGCAGAAATGACAGCCAGTGAGTGGGCCTCCAAGGTTCCAGCCCTAGGCCCCTGGAAGGGTGGTGGTCCCAACAGACACAGGGAAGGTGGGAGCGGGGCAGGTCACTAAGCCCAGTTGGGACACACAGCCCAGCTGGGCGGAACAGTTTGCTTCCCTGAAAACATACAGTTGGAGGTCAGCGCAGAGGTTTGACTGCAGCACTCAAGGCTTAATTGCTTGTGTGCCCCTGGACAACAACAATAGTAAACAACAGTAATACCTGGCATTCATATAGTACCTCATGGTTTGTTTGCAAAGTGCTTTACATACATTATTTCACTTGATCCCTACGACAGGGTGAGGGAGGTGCCTTTATTATTGCCATTGCACAGATTGACAAAACTGAAGCTGACAGAGGTTAATTGACTTGCCGAGGGTCACATGGCAAAAGTCCCAATTCCCCGGCCGACATTCTGCTCATTGTGCCACCTGTCACTGGATCTCATTGAGCCTCAGTTTCCTGACTTGTAAAATGGGAATAACAGGGAGGCCCGGTGAACGACGTTGTTGTGAGGTCGGATGAGATAATGTATCTGTAAGGGGAGGCTTAATAAAAAGGAGTTTCTCTCCATCAATCTTACTTTTCTCCCCGTGGAGTGTGGATGTGCCCCTCGGCACTTTGTTAGGACAGAGGTTGATTCCTGATTAGGTTGAAGAGACTGGGGGCAGACCAAGGTGGCTTGGCTGGCCCAAAGAAGCCTGGAAAAGTGAGACCACAGACCCCCTGATTCCCCTTTCTTTCTTGTGCTGTAGGTAAAAGGCTCTCCTTCAGGGCACCTCTGAATTCTCAGACAGTGAGTGATTGTTCTCCTGCTGTCCCCTGGGAGATCTGCTTCTCCTGGCCAGTCCATCTCTGGCCCAGCTGGACTCGCCCTGGGACGCCCAGAAGGAGAGAACCCCGGGAAACAGGAGGCCAAACCCTAGAAAAGGGCTTTGAGCCCTGGAGAAAGGGGAGACGGAAAGGAAGACACCTTGCTGAGTTTTGGAAGGAGTCTTACAAGCTCCCCCAAGCTCAATCATCAAAGGACCCGCTCACTTCCCCACACTGAGAAAATAGCCTGGCCGCAATCAGACCACAAGCAGCAGGGCAGATGCTGACATGCACCGGGTGACTCCCCACTGGGAGTTTCCCATTTCAGTGAAATCCGAGGTCTAGTGCAAGGGGAAGAAAGAAAGCTGGGTAACTAATTAGGAGAATGGGGAACCAGCAAAGAAGACTTAGAAGGAGGGGTCAGGCAGGGGAACCCAGTGTTACAAGAGCTACAGCATAAGCTGGACTGTGTCACTCCCCTTCTCAAGAGTCCTCAGGGACTCCCAGGTACTTCTCAGATAAAATACAATTCAGATCAGCATTTAAAGCCCTTCACAACCTGGCCAGCTTCCCTTTTGCAGACTCATTTTATGTTAGTCCCTTTAACTGAATGCTCCATCCAAACTGGATGACAGTAATGGCCATCCACCTCCACTCTCCGTGTCTGGGATGCCCTGCCTCCTCAGGGTTCAGCTACCTCCTACAAGAAGCCTCTCCAGATTTCTCCCGTGCTTCCTGCTCTTTCCCTGTCATCTTGTTCTGACCAGCTCCTCCAGAGCCATCGTCTTAGCTCCCCACAGCTGGGCGGCTCCAGGAAAGGGAGACATGTGGTAATGATCCTCTCTGCAGACTTACGGGAGCACTGTGACCTCTAGGGCCCTGCTGGCTTTGGCCATGGCGTCTGTGAAAGATCGCACTGTATTATCTTGGGGATTTCCTTTCCCCAAAATAAATAATGACATATGCCACCCTGCTGGGGAAAAAAAAACATCGATGTATTGCCCAAGTGAAAGAAACGGAAGCTTCTTGAGGACAGGGGCTGCCTCCGTGTTAGTTTTGTGTCCCCAGCACCCGGCATGGGGTCTGGCTGGAGGGGGTGAAGAGCAAATGTAACCCCATATCAGCCTGAAGAAAAGGAAGAAGTCAGAGAAAACCCATGCCTTGACATCCCCCGGCCACAGTGTAGCTTCTGGAGATGTCAGAGACAGCGGCCCCCAAACAGACAGCCGACTTTGGGTGGACAAGCCCTACCTGAGTCTGAGCAGCTCGCCTGTGGGGTGGGAGTGGGGAGGGGAAGTTCAGGTGCTTCGGCTTGTAATCAACAGTAGCTGGAGACAGCCCCCAGGGTCCTGCGGGAGAGGCTGGGTGGAGATGTGCTAGGGGAGATGGTTGCTGTGGAGACTTGCTGCTACCTTGGGTCCTGAGGGAGTCTGCACCTGGCTGGGGAGGGGGAGGGGAGCTCCCAGGTCAGGCCTGGCGGGGCAGGTGAGTAGGAGGCCCTGACAAGGTGGAGGTGGGGTGAGGGTCCAGGCTGCCCCCCAGCCTAGAAGGCTCTCCCTCGGTCCCTTTGCCTCCGGGCTCAGCTCATTTTCCAGAGGAAACCTTTTCTGGTCCTGTGCCCATGGCCCCCTCCTCCCCTGCTGGCTCCTTACCCCTGAGGGTAACTCCCTTTGATTCACACTGTATCCATCCCATACGACAGAGTTGTTTGTCTTAGACTGTGAGCTGCTTGGGGCAGGGCTTAGCAGTGTCCACTGGACGGTGTCCGCTGGAACAGTGGCTGTTGATTAAGTCGTCCAACTCCTTGTGACCCCATGTGGAGTTTTCTTGGCAAAGATACTGGAGGGGTTTGCCCTTTCCTTCTCCAGCTCATTTTACAGATGAGGAAACTGAGGCAAGCAGGGTGAAATGACTTGTTCAGGGTCATACAGCTAATAAGTGTCTAAGGCCAGATTTGAACTCTGGTCTTTCTGTCTCAAGGCCTGGCAGTCAATCCATTGCGCCACCTAGCCACTCTAATAATCAGCTATTACAAACACATGCCCTTTAAAATGCCAATCTCTCCAGAGGAGCCCAGCATCTCTGAGCCAGAGGAATCTTACCCCATATGGGGCAGAACCCGGGGCTGAGGTCAGTTGCCTGAATTGCCTTGAAGGTTTTGGGGAACAGTAACTGTTAGAATTAGAAGGGCTTATGTTTCCACAGGTAGAATAATACAGAGATTTAAAGAACAGCTCCAGGAAGTAGTATACTGTAGGTGGGCTTGGGCTTAGCCAATAAAAAGTAAGTGGATTGCTCCCAAAAGACCCCAAAATCAAGATAAGGGTCGAGCCAGCTCAGACCAGTTGGGGTCAACCTGAGGACACCTGCAAAGTGCTAGTGCCCCTGCTTAATAACTTCATTACTATTATCTGACACACCCCGCATAAAATTAGAACCTCATTAACGAGTCATGGGACATATGACCAAGGGAGGGGGAATACTTGAGCATATCAAGGGGAAACATGTAAGGAAGGGTGTAACCTGGGAAGGGATGGCCCAATCCCGGCCTGGGAGGTTTCACGCCGAATTCAACTGCATAAAAGCACACTTGCCCTTACACTCAGGGCCCACCCCTCCTGAAGAGGGGTGGAGCCCCCTTCTGGCCAGAAACGTCTAAATCCTCTGTACTATCTTCATAATAAATTTTCTTGATACTAAATTTTTGGTGTCAAGTCTATTTCTAACAGTAACCCACGATGGTGTTCGGGGCATACAAACCACTTGGTTAGAAGCTGGACAACGTCACTCCCTCTCTCCATGCCCTCTGTGACCCAGATGTCCAGAGCCCTAGTGGGCCAACCCACTTAGAGTGAGCTGGTGTTTGACCCGTGTCCTGCCCTTGTCTACTCCATGCATCCATTTCCTGATGACCCTGTGTCTGACACCAGATCTAGGACCCTTGGGCCACTAGGGGAGCTGTAAGGTGACCCAGGCGGGGCAGGAGGGCTAGAGGAGGGAAGAAGAGAGTGGGCAGAGGGCGAATGTCCTAATCCAGAGGGGAACGGAGGTCTCAAACGGATCCAGCTTGTGCCTACAGCCCAGCTTCTTTTCTGCCCAGGGTCCTCCATGCAAGGACAGCTCACTGCCTGACAAAATTCCAGACATCCTCAGGTTCAGGCAGGAGCTGGGGGGCACATGTGGACCCCTGCCCACGTATTGCAACAGCAGCCCCTCCACCCCACAGCCCATGGTACGGCTACCAGGTGTGTTCACAGCCCAGCTCTCTGCCTCCCAAACACTTGCTGTGAATGAGACACTGTCGAGCCCTGAGGATTCCCCTCGGGGAGCTTACATTCTAACCTAACTGGGAAGCCAGCTACAAAGAAAGGGGGGAGGCACCTGCTCAGAGATCGGCATGCGGCCCCTTCCCCAAAATAGAGGTTCTGGGAAGAACCAATAGGAGGAGGGGTCCCCAGGTGGCATTTGAGGCTTGGAAGACAGTAGAATGCCCTCCTTGAGGGCAGGGGCCATCTAGTAAGTGCTCAACACTTTTTCACTTCAGAAATTCATTCATTCATTCATTCATTCACTGGAAAGTGTCCAGAGGCAGATGACTGGGATGGTGAAAGGTCTTCTGAGGACTTCTGGCTGAAATGAGAACATTTAGCCTGGAAGAAGAAAGAAGGCTTGAGGCTGGAGGGGCAGGGGGCTGGAGGACCATCTTCAAGTTCCTGAGGGCCTGCAAGGTGGAAGACCCAAGGTTGAGCTTTGTTTGCTTGGCTCAGAGAACTAGCGGAAGAGGCTACTTCAGGCTTTGGGTCAGTGGGAGGGGCTGCCCAAGGAGGTGGTGGGGTCCCAGGAGGGAGGGTCTTCAGTGGAGGATGTCTGCCCACATTGCAGAGGGGATGTTCGGTCAGGTATGGTTGGGAACAGGTGCTGCTTTGTGAGGGTCTTCAGGGAAATGGAGGCCAGGCAGGGGCCCTGAGCCAATCCCAGACAGGTGGGGGGCAGAGTGCTCACTGGAGATGGAGTCAGTGGGACTCTGTTCCACAGGGGCTATGTCCTCCTTTCAACGCTCCCTTGGAAGGAGCAGAGACAGGACTCACATTTCTTTGTGCCTTTGCCTCCCTCAGTCAGCAAAAACCGCCAGAGTCTGAAAGGGGTAGACACCCTGTATACATGTAAAATGCCTAAGGACCCTTCCTTCTCTGAAACCATCACTGGTCTGGTCAGAGGGAATTGAGCGAGAGGGCAGCACGGGGACTGGGAGAGCTGACCCTAGCACGGCAGCCAGGGAGTGCAACAGCACAGGGAAGTTGCAGGGAGTTAGCTGGGGGCCTGAGGGACAGAGAAAGTCCCCCATCCCTTACGTTTGAGCCAAGCGGGTTACGGGAGGATGGGGTTAAAGGTAGACTGGGCAGGGAGGCCACGGGGACAGAGTGTGCTTGGCTCTCCCAGCCCACGCACTTCCCTTTCCCCTACTGACATTAACCTTGGCCTCAATCTCATCTCCAGTGCTTCCCTCCCCCTTCCCTTTGTGGGCAGGGACCAGCTCTGCCAGCCTGGAGTCCTGAAGCCCTGGGACTTCATGACATATATCTATATAGATGGTCAGAAATTGGAGATAATAGGATTTAGGTTAGCTCGCTGGGTCTTCTGAGTGGAGTGGGGAAGGGGTTTGGAGAAAGGACATACGGGGACGAGGGTGTCAGTTGGACCCCTGAATTGACCAGGGCTTTCCGGTGAACAACAGGAGCCTAAGGGCCCCTCCCTCTCTTTGTGCTCAGGTATTCTCCCTAGGGTGCCCCCTCTGCCAGCCACAGGATTGGGCCAATCAGGAGCTGTTGCCAGGTGAACTTGTGCCCCTAGAGAATCCCCCCACTCCCCTCCCCACGTCGGAGCCAGGGCTGATGCAACCGGACTGCAATGCTCTAGACAACTCACTCCCTGTGCCTGGCCCCTCCGCCCCAACATAAAGTCCCCCTCAACCCCACCCAGGTTTACCTCCCCCCGTTCTGCAGGCAGTACTGGGGAAGGGAGGGGGAGGGGTGTTGGGTTTCTGGCTGCTGGCAAGTGGCACATGCCTGAGTCCCTGGAGGAGGTGGTGTGGATGGGGCTCCAGGGTCTAAATTGGGATGTGCTAGGGGCTGGGGGGGGGGACGGTGGCTGGCACCTGCCAGTCATGACTGGGGCCCATTGGGAGGGTCTGACAAGCACTGGACAGGGAGGCAGGCAAGCAGCCTGAGGTCTGGTGGAATAAGTGCTAGGCCCTAGAGGCAGAGGACTTGGGCTCAGGATGCTCCTGGGTGCTCACTGCCCATGTAACCTTGGGCAAGTCTCAACTTTCCTGGGCCTCATTTTCCTCCTCTGTAAAATGAGGGATTAAGATGGCCTCAGAGGTCCCTTCCAGCTCCATATCTGGAAAAGATCTTGAGGGGAGGGATGAAGGAAGCATCCATCACACTAGCAAACCAGGACTCAAACCAAAGTCAGGGCGGCCTCTGGGGTGGGGAAGGGGGCTTTGCTCTTCCCTCCAGTGGAATCTGTGTTGAGATCAAGAGGGCACCTCAGAGGTCTCTCCTTTTTGCAGATGAGGAAACGGAGGCTAGTAAGCAGGAGAGGTAAGCTGCGAAAACAGGTCCTCCGCCTCCAACAATAACAATTACAATAGCAGCAGCTAGCATCTGCAGAGCCCTTTCAGGTTGCAGAGGGCTTTGGGCAGGCAGTCGGCAGTCTGTCTGTCTGTCGTCTGCTCCTTCCATCAGGACAGGAGGCGAGGGGACGGGCAGAGGCCAGGCTGCTCTTCTAGCGCAGCGAGGGAGCGAGGATTGGCCAAGGGCAGGGCCTTCTTCGCTTGTTTTGCGTCTCTGGCCCGAGGGGGGGGGAGGGCGGCTCAGTAGTTTCGCATTTCCCACCTGTAGAAAGCCTCCCAACACGTGTCCTGCCCTACCTCCGCGCCCACTGCAACCCCGCAGCCCTCCCAAGCGCAGTTCATGCAGCGTTTGGATGCCAGTGGGCGGTCGGGCTGGGTGGCCCCGGGCGCTGCTGCTTGTTCCTCGGAGCCACGCGAGCCCCTGGCGAGGATGGTATTGCAATGGGCGTTACAGGGCGTCCACGAGGGGAAGGCAGGGCACCCCAGGCGGAGGCCACGCTGGGGCCACGGGCACGGGCAGCGGGGAGGAACCTGACCAGATCTTTTGGTCAAGGCCCTCACTTTACAGAGAAAGAAAGCGAGGCCCCAGCAGGTGTGGAGACTCCAGAGCCGAAGGGGGGGCGGAGCCTGGCGGCATGGGGGCGGAGCCTGGCGGCACGGGGGCGGGGCGCGGAGGGATCTGTCGAGCTGCGCTCAGCCCTATATCCGCGCCCGCTCGCGGGGCTGCCTCATTCCCCTTCTCTCCACCTGCCGCAAGATTTCGTACGCTGTCAGTCCGGCCGCCCGCCCGTCCCGGGCCATGGCCCTGTAGCTTCGTCCCGCTGCCCGTCGGCGCCCTCCGCGCTCGGCCTCTCGGCTCTCTCTTCCCCTGCCGCCGCCTCCTCCTTCACCGGGGCCTTCGCCGCCTCCGCGCCCTCTGTTGCAGCCATGGAGTGAGTACCTGAGCGCTCCTTCCTGCCCGCGCCTGCGCACTGAGTTCCCGGCAACTCCTGGACTCCCGGGAGGGAGATGGAGTGGGACCAGAGGGGTGCGCTCAGCAATGCTCAGTTGCCTTGCCACAGCCTATTCAGCACACCTGTTATGGAAGGGGAGGGATTTGGGTAGAAGTCTGCGGATTTTTTTTAACGGAGGGGTGGGGCCCAAAAGAACGGAGGGCAGAGCTTTATAGAGCCCTTTTATGGAGGAGGCGGGGCTTTGTAGGGTTCTCTTTTGGAGGGGGAGGGCATTGCAGAGCACTTGCCCACAGGGGGCGGAGCTTCGAAGACTGGAACCTTTGAGTGGGGCGGGGCGGGGTGGAGCCCTACGGAGCCTTTTTATGGAGGAGGCGGGACCTTATTAGGAGGGAGTCTTTCGAAGGGGGCGGAGCTCAAAGGCATTAAGGGCAGGGCTTAAAGGAAGCCTTTGAGGAGGGGGTGAAAGCGTGCTCTGCGGAGGAAGAGGCTAGACTCTAGGGAGGGTTTAGGTGCAAAAGGGACATGCTTTTGGTAGAGAGGAGGGGCTTCCTCTAGGAAACAGGCTGCAAAAAGGAAGGGGTGGTCTGAGAGAATGATGGCTGGGGCCAGAAAAAGAATTCCCCTGTGAGGGGCGAGGGGCGGGGCTCTTCAGCTAATGGGCGGGAAGAAGGGAGGATACTGGTCTTTAGCTCCTCCTTCTTTGTGCCTCTGGGCGGAACTCACTCTCAACTCAGCCTATGGGCTGGTCCCTAACCCCGCCCCTGTGTCCTCCCTCCCTGCAGGTCCTCCATCTCTGCCGCCCTCCCGCTGAGCAGCTGTCACCCTCCCCCGAGCCTCCTTCTCCAGCTGGGCCTTGCCTGGGCCTCCACGTGCTCGTCTGGCCTTCGAAGCCCCGGCCTGTGCAGTCCTGGCCGCCATGTCTCTCCTGGCGGCCCTAGGGCTGGAGCTGGACAGGGCCCTGCACCCAGCTAGCGGGCTGGGGTGGCGGGTGGACTACGGGAAGCTCCCCCTGACCCCCGCCCCCCTGGGTCCCTATGAGGCCCTGGAGGTGGGGCTTCCCGGGGGGAGTGAGCCCCTGGCAGGTAAGGCAGAAGGGGGAGGAGGGGAGGGGGGGGTGATGTATGGTGGGGGGAGCTTCTTTGCCTGACTGCTGCCCCTGCCTGCCTAGGTGATGGCTTCTCAGACTGGATGACGGAGCGGGTAGACTTCACTGCCCTGGTCCCCCTGGAGCCCCCAATGCCCCCCGGTGGCCTCCCCCCACCATCTCCATCTCCTTCCCCTCCAGACCTAGAGGCCATGGCCTCCCTGCTGAAGAAGGAGCTGGAGCAGATGGAGGACTTCTTCTTGGATGCTCCGCTCCCGCCCCCTTCCCCAGTGCCTGTGCCCCTCCCTCTTCCCCACTTTGACCTCCCCCAGGCCCCTTTGGATACCCTTGATCTGCTGACCTTCTACTGCAGTGGGGAGCCTGGGCGGGGTGAGGGGGAAGGTGGGGAGGTCTTCCGAGCCCCCCTGCCCACCTCATCAGCCCCCAGGCCAGCCCCTTACCCCGTACCCTCCCCGAGGGGGGACCGCAAACAGAAAAAACGTGACCAGAACAAGTCAGCTGCGCTCAGGTACCGCCAGCGGAAACGTGCTGAGGGGGAGGCCCTGGAAGGCGAGTGCCAGGGCCTAGAAGCTCGAAACCGGGAGCTTCGGGAACGGGCAGAGTCTGTGGAGCGTGAGATCCAGTACGTGAAGGACCTGCTCATCGAGGTGTACAAGGCTCGAAGCCAGAGGCTGAGGAGCACTTAGCACAAGGGGGCCGGGCAAAGGCTAGGCCTTGCAAGTGAATGGGACCCCTCCCCACCCAGGGAGGCTCCCTTCTGGAAATATGTCTTTGGTCAAGGGGTGGGCATTGACCTCAGGAAAGAAGTCAGGGGGAGCTTCCCCTCCAAGTCTGGAGCTCTAAAACAGCTCTCAGGCCTCATCTGAAGATTAGGCCAAAGGGGCTGGGGCTGGGGGGGGTGGTTGGGCAAGGGACGGTGGTGGGTATTGGCTGGGAGATGAGGTGGGAGGGGAAAGGGGAGGAGCCACACCTGGGCCTTTGTAACTAATAAACAGATTGTCCTGGACTCTGTTGGTCTGTCTCTTGGGAGGGAGGGGCTAGAGAAGAGCATGGGCTACTGGAGCCCAAGCAGGTACCTGCCCCCTGCACCCATGTCAGGGTGCTAGCTGAGGCAGACCCTGCTGTGACCCCCCACGTGGTCAATTAATCAGTCACTCCATAGCCCCCAAATTTTATTGAGTAAACAGTGGCACCTTTGCTCTGCTCCCCCCCAGGTAGGACTGGGCGACTTAACAGAAATCTTCCGGTTCAAAGGTAGGGGATTTGGAATCCTGCTGGTTCTGAATCTGTTGCTGTTTCTTATACAAATTGGCCACCTGTTTGGGGGAGGATGCAAGTGATGCCACGAAGCTCTAGCGTGACAGGCCTTGGCCTCACCCCTCCCTGCCAACCTTTCTCCCCAAATACCTGGGCACTGGAGGTTGCCTCTTCTGGTTTCTTGTCTTTTCGAACTTGGACAAATCGGGGAAACCGCAGGGAGACGCCCTTGTCGCTCTCCACCTGGGTGCGTGTGGGCACAGGCATCGACTGACGGTCAGCATTCCTGACCCGTAGGCTGAAGCCTTTCCCTGGCTAGCCAACAAGTATGCCAAAGCCCCTGCTAATGATCACCTTATACTTCTCTGATCCTCACAACCCTGGGAAGTAGGTGCTACTATCACTGCCATCTTATAGTTGAGAAAACTTGTCCAGGATCATACGGCCAGTATCTGAGGCCACATCTGAACTCGGGGCTTCCTGACTTCAAGCTTGCCTCTCTGCCCAGTCTGTGACTTAGCTGCCCAAATTCCCACCCTCCCAATGGATTCCTGGGTCATGACTTGGGGACCGACCCAGACAGGATTCGTCCATATCTTCACTTCTCCAGGGTCCACCTTATCCAGGCTCTATCTGCCATAGCTGAGGCCTCACATGCCTAGATCCTGAGCCCCTGAGGATCCCTGCTCCTCAGGACTCACAACCCAGAGGCCTTCCTAGCCTGGGGCCCCCAAACCCAGGAGTGTATGAAATGTGAGGCCTGACGCAGCAGGCCATGACTGATTCTCCCTATCACCTCTCTGGGCCTTGACCCCTGTAATCTGAGCATCGAGGGGGAGATGGGAGGGGCTAGAATAAGCTGGGGCCTCCCAGTCCATTAGGTCTGTGCTGTTTGGAGCGAAGTGGCGCAGAATGGGGCACACTGCTGCAATGCTTCCCTTGGTCAGCCCTTTTCTGCCAAGACAAAGTCCCCTTTTGTACTCACCAACCCTCGGGCTGCCGAATAAATTGGGGAGACAGAGAGATCAGCACATTTAACCTCCCATACAGTGGTTGGTTCTAGCCAGTGGTCAGGGGGTACAGCCCCTTCGGCTCGGACATAGGAACGAGGAGCAGGGATCACGAGGGCCTGGTCAGGGAGGAGAAAAGGAGCTGCTGGTGGTAAAGCCAGCAGAGGGGACAAGTGCAGGAGGGGAGCAGCAGGGCCTGGGGTGAGAGGCAGCTAGGGGACCAGCAGGGGAGGGCGGCGGCAGCAGCAGGGGGTACAGAAAGGGGCTCCTCTCACCTGGAGGCTCTGGTAATGTTCCTCTAATTCTTCATCACTGAAGCCTGTGCCCAGCTGAGGAGAGAGAGAAGAGGTGGAAGGAAATCTGGTCAGGGCCACCCTTCTGCAGGTTGCCTTCTACCTCCCACCCATGAGCATGGGCCCCTGGCAGGCAGAAGGGAGCGGCCCCCCTATGCCTCCTTGCTGGGCCCAGCCCCCTTACCCCCCCAGGTGACCCTGCCTCCGTCCTGACTCATCAGGCAGCTTCCCTACCTTGCAAATAGCCTGGAACTCTTCACTGTCCTCATCGAAGGCAGCCAGGAGAAAGCCCCCGTATCGTCCGGCCCGTTTCCCCCGGCCCAAATAGGCCCCGATCAACACCAGGTCCAGAGTGTCCCCAATGCCTTCCAGATAATCCTTCTTCAGCTGGTTACGGGGGAGAAGAACTCAGGGGAAGGACCCTGGGGAGGGCAGGAGCTTCAGAGCAGACGAGGGGGCAGAAATTCAGGCAAGACCAGACCGTGGGGAAGGACAGAGCCTGGGGATGGCAGGGCGAATGGCGCTGCAGGCCAGCTGAGCAGTGGGGACCGAGGAGGAGCAGGATGGGGACTGTGGGTCTGAGGGTGGGGGGAACGGTCACCTTGAGCCAGTTGTGGGATCTCTTGGCAATCTCATAGGTGGCGTTGGTGTCAAGGGTCTTCACCATCAGGCCCTCACAGGAATCTGGATCAGAAGACATGCCCATGAGCTGCTGGGCACAGCCCAGGCCCCACGGGAAGGAGGCTCGAGCCTGGCCATCCCAGGGGAGGGGGGGCCCCCACTACCTTTCACGGACTGCTCCAGGAAGTCGGCGATCTGCTCAGTGTCCTTCGTGTCTAGAGACGTGGCAAAAACAAACTCGCCCTCTGTCTCGATGAAGTTCTCCCGGAGCTGCTGCCGCCTCCGGGACAGCGGCTCCCGGACCAGGGACTGCGAGGAGAAGGAAGAGGCCTGAGGACCTCAAGCCCCGCGGAGGCAGAGGGCTCTGTGTGTTGCGGGGCCTCACTCACCTGCCCATTGAGGTAGATGAGGTCGAAGGCATACAGGCACACCTGGACTTGGATCTCGGCCTCCTCCACCTCCTGGGCAAAGAAGACAGCACCGAGTGCCACAGTGGGGGAGGAGGGGGGGCACAGGGGAGAGGGCGGGGACAGAGAGGCTGGGCACACCTTGCGTTTGCGTGTGCTGAGCACCTGGAAGGGCTGAATTTGCTTCTTTACCCGGTCCCAGGCCACAGCTTCTGCGTCCAGAATGCAGGAGATGACTGAGGGATGCTTCATCTGAGCAATGGGCAAAGTGTTAAGGCTTGGTGGGCGGCTCAGCGAGGAAAAGTGTGGCCCCCAGGCACAGCCACTGTGCCATACCGCCACCCCCCCCCAACTGCCCCTGCCTGCCCGACCCCACCTTCGGGATGCGGCTGATGACATCTGGATACCGGCCCGTGTTATCCTCCTGGTTCCGGCTAAATATCTTCACGTCCCCGTTTGCCAGGACATGGATCTGTAGGGGCAGAGGGGGAACCTGGAGGAACTAGGAGTGAGACTACCTCGCCACATTTCCGTGGGCACAGGGATGGCACAGAGCCAGCCACTGGGCAGAGCAACATGGCCAGGGAGGGGACAGCTCTTGGGAGGCCTCCTCCTTCACGCCCGCTCCAAGTCCTGCATCTGGGGAAGGAGATACAGGCTGTGGCAAGAAGGCTTCCTGCCCCCCAAACCTGTGCCCTCTGCCCATCATACTTACATTCACGTGCTCCAGACCTGGACCCTCTGCTGGTCAGACTTATTCATATGTGGAGCCCCCCCCCCATACTTGTATTCACATGTGAGGCCCCCCAGGTCCATACCTGTGCTCTCTGCCCATCATACTTATATTCACATGTGAAGGCAGACTCCTCGAAGCGCTTCAACACCTCCCCAATGCCGCGGGTGGGGTGGGCCAGCATGGGCTTCAGGGGTACCCCTGGGTGGCAGAGCCAGAGCAAGAGTGTGAGGGCAGACTGGCTCACAACTGGAGCCATCAGGGACTGAGGTGTGGGGGTGGGTGGGAATGGGGGCTAAGAGGGCTCTCTGGGGCCCAGCCCATGGGCAGCAGGCAGCTGGAGGCTCACCTGGGGTCAGCTGGCAGTGCTGGGGCAGCTGGTCCAGCCCGTGCTCGAGCAGGGCAGGGACAATCAGGTCCAGGTCAGGCACCTCGCTGGCGGATGGACAAGGACGCAGCTAAGCCGGGCACGTTGATGGCCCTCCTGGCTGTGCCCCCCACTACCCCGTGCCCTGCCCGCTTGCCCCTCACCAGAAGGTCTGCTTCAGGATCATGCCCTTCTCTTCCAGCCAAGTCTTTCTGGCTTCTGCCAACTTGCCTGTCCCAGCATCTACCACAGCCGGGGGGAACTCTGGGGGAAAGACCCACCAGGGCTTTGAGATCCTCTCTCCCCAAGGCCCCACATGGGTGGATGTAAGCATGAGGAGATGTTTTTGGCAGGAAATGCTTATTGAAGTGACAGCTGGGAAGTGGGCCGAAACAGCAGGGGTGTGAAGGGGACCTGAACAGCCTGGCCCGGGAACCCTTACCTTGGCCAGGGGGCGTGAGGGTCACGGCCTGGGCAAGTGCGGCCAGCACCGACTGTTCGGCAAGGCCCAGGCGCAGCCGCCCACTCAGGGCCCTGCAAGGGAGGAGAAGGGGGAGTGAGTCCCTGCCCTGATGTCCCAGTCAGACACGAGGGAGGGCCCTGTCCAGGCCCCCAGATACCCCTGGCCTTGCCGCCTCTTCTCCCACCCCCAGCAGGCCACTGCTTTCCCACCTGGCAATGAAGCGGGCCTCCGAGTGGCGACAGGCAACAAACAAGCCTTTGATGATGTCGATCTTCTTTGATGTGGACTGTGGAGGTGAGGGGGTGGGAGAGAGAGATGGGTACCACCCGACCCTGAGGTCATCCTCTGGCCTGGGTGGGAAGCCACACTGCTTTCCAGATCCTTACTGGACTGCCCAGACTTCAAAGGAGGATGCCCCAGCCTCTGCCCCATCCTCCCCTGAGACACCCCACGGCAGGGCCCAGGAGGGCAACTCCCCATGAGTAAGAGACACCCCACGGCAGGGCCCAGGAGGGCAAGCTCCCCCCGAACAGGAGACACCCCAGGAGGGCAAGCCCCCCATGAGCAGGAGACACCCCACAGCAGGGCCTAGGTGGGCAAGCCCTGTCCTTTGCCCCCACCCCAAGGAGACGCCAGATGACAGGCAGGGAGAAGGTAGGGGTGGGTGGGGACACTCACAGCGCTGCCTGTGAGGCGGGCGATGTCTCGGAGCTTGCTCAGGACCCCTGATGCCGTCAGGGGGGGCAGGGGCAGCATGGTACGCTGGGTGCTGCGGCTGGCCTCTACCACCAACCCCACGTCCCCCCTTTCTGCCATCTCGGCCCGTATGGCTTCCAGTTGCCGCCCTGGCGGTGGGAGAAGATGAGGGTGTGGATGGCCAGGGCAGTGCCACCTGGGCGGGGTGTCGGGTCTCGCCAGGTCTCTCCCGCCCTCACTTACCTGTGGCTTGGGCCACCGCCTTGAGGAGCACGCCGTCCCCCACGCCGAGCTCCAGGCCTTGCTGGGGGGGGCCCAGCTGGTTGAGACTCAGGTAGAGGATAGGGAGCAGGTCTGTGGGGGACAGGGCGGTCACTGACCGGAGGAGGTTGCTCAGCGTTTCCACCATCCGGAGCCTGCGAGAGGGGGTAGGGCAGGATAGTGAGGACCCTCAGCCCAGGCCAGGGGAGGGGGCGCAGACTGAAGCTGCTTAGTATAAGGACTGAGGCCTGGAGGGTGGAAGGGAGTGGAGGGAAGTGGCATGTGAGAGTGTGGGCAGGAACACGCTGGACAGTGCAGTCAGATCTCTGAGAGAGGTGGACGATGGCCAGGTGGAAGGAAACAAAGGGGCAGGGGGCACCTCCTGGCTCTGCGTGAGATGGGGCGCTGAGGCAGGGCTAGAGGGAAACGCCGGGCTTTACCGAGCAGAGACTTCCTCAATTTTCTCAAATGTCCGAGCTACAATGAGGTAGGGGACCCTGTGGGAAGCAAGGGTCAGTGGGGGAGGGGGCCTGCCAAGTGCAGGGCAGCCCCCGGGGTAGAAGAGGAGTGAGACAATCCCCCCCCACCACCACATGAGACCTTCCTGGCTGTAAAAGGCCTCAGTCAGTCAGCCAGCCAGTTGACAAGCACTGAGGAAGTACCTACTGTGTGCCAGGCTCCAGTCTAACGGGGTGTTCTCTTACGGGGGAGGGGGACAAACCACAAACTCCACAGAGGCAGGGGCCCTCCCCACGCCCTCACCTCTGCCCTGGTTTCCAGCATGCGTCGTCCAGGGGGTGATAGCTGCTCTTAGAAGGGTCGTATGTGGCTGGGTCTAGGGGCCTGTGGCAGAGAGAGGCGGGGGCTGGGGAGTGAGCCTCTGCCCTGCCCCTCTTCCGGGGGCCCCTCTCCCCAGCACAGACACGAGTAGGGGCTGGGGGGGATGCAGGCTGGCCTGAGAGCACAGGGGTTCCTTGAAGGCCGACTTACGCCCTGGATGTCTCCTCTGCTGCCTTCCCTGTCTCTGCCTCCTTTGGGGTCTGCTTTGCTGCTGCCGGCTTTTGGGGGGCTGTGGAACAAATGTGATGCTGGGGAAAGGCGCCTTTCCCTTTAGACTCCCCCAAGCCCGGTATGGAATGGAGGCTGGCCTAGGCGGGAGAAGGCCCAGGCTCCGCGGACCAGAGGAGAGACACTCACTGAAAAAGCTGCTGAAGGCCTTGGGTGCCCGGGCGGGTGCCTTTGGCTCCGGGCCTCGCCTCGCCTCCTCCGAGGCGCCCTGCGGCTCGGGGGCCCGCTGTGCCTCACGGATCGAGGCGGGCCGCTCAGGGCTTCTCCCTTGTGCACTCTCGCCTCCCTCCCTCTTAAGCCTCTTGGGCACCTGGCCCTCATGGTCCTCAGGCAGCTCCTTCAGCTTACGTTTCTGCATCTGTTTCCGAGCTAGGAAGAGAGCAAGTTAGGGTTGGGAGTGGGGGCAGCAATCAGTGATGGAAAGGGCCTTACAGGCCACCAAGTCCAGCCTCCTCATTTTACAGATGAGGAAACTGAGGCAGGTGGCAGTCAGGTGACTTGCTCAGGGTTCCCCAGCCAGTTGGTGCCTGAGGCTGAATTTGAACTCAGCTCGGGCATGGAACTCAGCGGCAGAAGAAAGAAGACTGCTGAGGGCTCAGTCTGGCCTTCCCTCCTTCCACCACGAACTCGTGGCTGCCTTCTTTTAGTGGGGGAGGGTGGCCTGCCCCGCCCTACCTGTCCGACGCTTTGGGATCCCTGCTGGGGAGATGCCGTGGGGCGAGGAGTCTGAGGGGGACGGGCCGGAGCTGGCTGGAGAAGGGGCCCGGGAGGGGACGCTGGGCTTCTGCAGGGGACAGAGAGTGGGGGTGGGGAGGTCAGCACGCCTGCCCCCCACCCCCGAGCCGAGACATCAGCCCCCCCGCGGAGGAAGCCAGCTACCTGGTCTGGGGGGGCTGTCGGGGCCACCTCCTCGTGGTCCTCCTCCTCGCCTTCACTCCCTAGGACTCGGGGCACTTTCCTCATAGGCCTCTTCACGGGGGACTCACTCTCAGGTTCTACAGCATTCCTCTCCTTCAGGGCAGCCCTGGGTGGTAAGAGGGCCAGGGATGCCCAGTCTGCCCAAAGGGCTGCCCTTGGGGGAGCCCCTGCCCACTCGGACCCCCCACTCACTTGGAGGTGGGCTCTCTCTCCTTGCTGCTTTTGGGGGGCTCCTCCTGCTTCCTCACTCTGTCCCCGCTCATAGGCTGGAAAAACGACCTGTGGGGAGACACCGGAGAAGGGCTAGGGCAGGAAGAGGGAAGGGGCTGGGCACAGGGCCAGGGGGAAGGCCCAGAACCCGAGCTCCTCACTTTATCGATCGCTGCATGACGGCTCCCGAGGTCTTCCCTTCCGTCTCTCCGCAGCGCCTCCTGGAACCAAACGGAAAGACGTGTGAAGATGGCGGGCTGGGAGTGGGGTAGCAGGCCGTCCATGCCGCCCCCCCACCCCCACCCCAGAAGGAGCCGCCTGGAGAAGCCCAGAGGGCGGACACGAGCCCCCACCCCCGGGGCCCCCTCACTGGCGTCCCCCCGCGGGTCGGGTTGTGGGGGGCACCCCCCCACAAGCAGACCCCTGCCCTGCCTCACTGACTGTCCCTGGGCTGGGCCACAGGCTCCTTCTGCCCCAGCCTAGCCTGGCATCACGCACTCCTTAGGCACCTGCTGTGTGCCGGGCCCGAGAGGTGAGGCAGCCCTGACCTCAAGGAGCTTAGGGGGAGGAATCGGAAGTGGGTGGGGGGGGGCGTGACGAAGGGCTCTGCACGCCAAACACTGCACTGCCAGGCTCCTGGAAGCCATGGGAGCCACAGCAGCTGAAGGAGCCAGGCAAGACGCTACTGAGACGGCCGGGATTGGCCAGACAGGGTCCCACCCACAGCCCCTTCCCCCTCCCCCGCACGCGGCTCGCGCATGCGCAGAGGCCCCCGTTCGCCTCCCCATCTCTGGGCTTCGGCAGAGGCCCGGCGGGGGGGTGTGTGTGTGTGTGTGTGTGTGTGTGTGTGTGTGTGTGTGTGTGGGTGTGTGTGTGTGTGTGTGTGTGTGTGTGTGTGTGTGTGTGTGTGTGTGTGGTGTGTGTGTCCTCGGTTCTTCCCCTCCCCCCCAACACTGACCTCCTTCCGCGTAACGCTGCCAAAACTCCTACCCGGCTCCCGGCTCCCGGCTCCCGGCTCCCAGCTCGGGCTCGGGCTCCACTCCCGCCACCAGCCCAGCTGCGCGCCTCAACTTTCGCGCGCTGAGTCGCTAGGGGCGAGTGACGTCACGGGACAGCTGCCCGCGCCTTCGCCTCGCGGAGCACGCTGGGAGTTGTGGTTTGGAAGAATGGGAGGGGCAGGGGCTCTGCGCTCTCGGAAGAGAAGAGGGGGATGGGTTGGGTTAGGCCGACGCTTCGGGACAGACGCTCGCGGGGCACGATGGGAAGAAGGACAAGCACAGACCCAGCGGAGGGGAAGCAAAGCACTCTGGGAAGAGGGGCGGGCCGGGCGCCTGGCCTCGCGGGCATTGTGGGAGGGTCCAAGCCGTTAGGAGCTGTTCCTTGGGGCTCTGAGCGGGCGGGAGGGGTGAGTGATGGGGAGAGAGGGAGGAGGGAGGGAGAGAGAGATGCACATCTGGAGGGGGGTGGTCACAGCTGGAGGCTGCGGGGTGGTGCACGGTGGGAGATTCCACATCTGGGGAAGAGAAATGGAACAGCTGGATGCGGAGTGCCACATCTGTGGGAGGGAGGGAGGGGCACAGCTGGAAGCAGACATGCCACATCTGGGGGAGGGAGGGGCACAGCTGGAAGCTGGAGCGCCGCGTCTGGGGGAGGGAGGAGGACAGCTGGGTGTAGGAATGCCACATCTGTGGGAGGGAGGGGCACAGTGGATGTAGGGCTTCACATCTTGGGGGGAGAGGTGGGAGGTGGCATAGATTCAGGAAAGGAGCCCCAGTGGAAGATAGGGCTTAGGTCTCCCGTGGGCAAACGCTAGCTTCAATGTCTGCCATCTCCAGCGTCGTATATATGGAGCTTCCCTCCATATCCTGCCGGGCGGTCAGCACTGGGTTAGGGTTCCTGCTGGTCCAGCCCTCCCTCTCTTGACCTCTGGGTCTCCCCTTGCTGCCACTCCCAGGTACCCTAGGATGGAGGAGGAACTGGAAACAGAGCCCGAGCCCGGGCGGGAGCTGGAGGCGGGGCCCGAGCCAGGGTCGGAACAGGAGCAGGAGCCGGAGCCAGAGTCCGAGCCGGAGCCGGAGCCGGAGCCGGAGCCGGAGCCAGAGTCCGAGCCGGAGCCGGAGCCAGAAGAGTCCGAGCCAGAGTCCGAGCCGGAGCCAGAGCTAGAGTCCGAGCCAGAGCCGGAGCCAGAGCGGGAGCCGGAGCCGGAGCCCCAGCTGGAGCGGGAGCGAGAGCGGGAGCCCGGACAGGAGGCAGGGCTGGAGTCCGAGCCCGAGCTGGAGCTGGTGAAGGAATCGGAGCCGGAGCCAGACTCGGAGCGGGAGCCGGAACTGGAGCCGGAGCCCGAACCGGAGCCGGAGCCCGAGCCCGAGGCGGCGCCGAGGCTGGCGTGGGCTGAGGCCCGGGCCCAGGAGGAGCGGGAGCTGCAGGATCGGGAGTTTTTCTCGTGGGCAGAGTTCAGCCGCTTCTTTGATACTTGGTGCCAGCAGCACCGGGCCCTCTTCTTCGTCAAGAGCTCCATGCACCTGGCCAAATGCCGCTGGGCCCTCGATGCCCCCACTCCATGCCCTCATCGATGTCCTCAAGTACAGCTACGTGCGGCTCGTCTGCAAGGATGTGAGAGCACCCGCCGGCCGGCCTGGCATTGCGGGGTGAGAGGCTCAAGGCGGGCTAGGGCCTGGTGCTGCTGCCTCTGCCCCTGCTCCTGCTTCCCTGTGGGAGGTGGGCCAGGGCCCAGAGCTCGCTCACTCACTGGCCTATTCATATTGAGTCTGCGCTGTGTGCAGAGCCCCACACTTGGCTTCAGTGAGACCCAAATGCCACATTGCTTCAGTTCTGTCTTCTCTCTACTCAGAACCCTCCATGGCTACCCATTGCCCACTGAATAAAGTTTAACCTCAAGGCCCTTCCAGCTTACCTGCCCATCCTTATCTAACATAACTCCCTAGAGAAATGGTGTGGAGGTAGAGACAGGTGACTCTGAGGGAGTCGTTTAATCAGTGCCTCAGTTTCCCACTCTGTGCCCCCTCAGGTCCTCGTCAGCTCTACATCTCTGTATCTGTACTTTGCTTCTTCTTTTCCACCTGCCCCCATTGCTGGGCCTTCCCTTGTGCTCAAGATAGCGATAGGACTGCCTGGGCCAGGAAGCCTCCCTCTGAGTCTCTGTCTTGCCTTGGGGCCCTCCTCAGCATTTTGAGCTCTCCTTTATGCCGATTGCCACCCCCAAGTTATCGGAATGCCTCTTTTCCCAATTGGATCATAAGGTTTTTGTGGGCAAGGTTGAAGTCGCACTTGTCTGTCTGTGACCTCTGAATCGATCTTAGGGCCCTGTTTTTGCATTTGCTGTTGAAGTAAGGCTCCCAAGACAATTTCAGCACATGGTGGGGGGAGGCAGGGGCAAATCATGGGCCTGGAGATGTAGGCCTAGGAAGAAGGGCCTAAGAAATGCTCCAAGATTAGAGAGAAAGAGGGATTGTTTCTAGTTTGGGGGAAGCAAGGGGTGGCATGTGTATGTAGAGGGGGAAGAGGGAACATTGAAAGCTTTGTGGATGAGCTGGACTCAGAAGATTGGGTAGATATTAAAGAAGGGAATGGCATCCCAAGGATAGCAGACAGTGTGAGCAAAGGCAGGGAGGTGGGAATGCAGAGGGACTGCTCTGTGGGCAGTGAGGCCTTTGCTTTGCTTGGAGTGCAGGGAAGGTGAGGGAGAGCCATGGAAGAGCAGGCTGGAGATTTTGGAAGGCCTTGAATATTGGACTAAGGAGTTTGTTCTGTGGGCACCAGGGTCTCTGATCAGAGCTGGGAAGGAGGTGAGTCAGTTTTCTTGTCTGTAAAAGAAGTCTGAGTGAGCTGAACTTGCTGACCTTGGAATTATTGTAAGGAGTTGAGAAGGGATGCTGGAGTCTCAGAGCTGGGTGCCTGTCTGCTAGGAAAATCACTTTTCCCTTTGGGGCCTCAGTTTTCCCTCTGTGAAATGGGGGTAATCATCCCTATCCTTTTGGAAAATCACTTTGGCAATTGTGTGGAGGGTGGCTTAGAGAGGAAAGAAGATAGAAGCTGAAGTCATCTGGGCAGAAGGCAAGGAGGACCCGAAATAGGGTGGCTGCTGTGTGATCAGAGAGAAGGGAGCATGTGAGAGAGGTTGGGGACATAGAAGTGACAAGACTTGGTACCTGGTGTGAGGTGTCACTGCACTTGTGACCCTGGGAGGATGGTAGGTAGTGTGAGCCCTTGGGGAGAGATAGGAAAATCTGGAAGAGAGGAAGGATCAGGGGAAAAGAGCATGGGTTCAGTTTTGGGCTTGGCTTTGAGGCGTCTCTGGAATGCCCAGCTTGAAACATCGCTTTGACTGCTGGGGACATGGGACTGGGAGGCTCAGGGAGATGGGGCAAGTGTGTAGGACTGGACTCATCTGCATAGAACTGATCATTAACCCCCAGGAATGGATCAGGTCAGCAAGAAGAATGCCCAGGACAGAGGCTTGCCACTTGAAACACGCTGGTGTTACTATTAGGGAGAGTCTGAGAGACTAGAATAATTCCTGTAGATATTAGAGGCAGGGTTACTCACTGAAGGGGGTGTGAAGAGGTGACTGCTGCAGAGAGATCAGGGAAGGGGGGGTATGGGAGGGGTGCAAGAAGTTTGGACAGGAACAGACATACCGAGTTATGAAGCAGCCTGGCTGGGATGGTCAGAAATGGGGGGGGGGAACCAAAAAGCAGGTTAACTCAGGTTAAAAGAAAGGGACTCTGGGACAGTGGGAAGAATGGTGTATTGGGAGTCAGCAGGCCTCGGTTTAAGTCCTAGTCCTCTCTGGGTTTCACTTCATCTATAAAAGGATGGCATTGAAAGATGAGTCCTTTAAGCCCCCTTCCAGCGGGAAACTCTGCAAGGCAGGCAGCTGGGTGACGTCTCCCTCTCCCTCTCTTCTTGCAGGAGCCCCCAGCCAGGCTGTCCGGCCTTCATCATCCTGAAGCTCAGCCCCTTGCGGGACCGCCTGGTGGTCACTGAGTGCCACCTGGCCCATTCACATCCAGCCTGCCCTCTGGAGTTTGCCTACTATTTCCGCCCAGGCCATCTTCTTGCCAATGCCTGCCTCCCTGTCCGCACCACCAACAAGATCTCCAAACAGTTTGTGGCCCCTGCGGACATCCACCGCCTCCTCTCCTACTGCAAGAGCCGGGACCACGGTGTCCTCGATGCCCTCCATGTCCTGGAGGGGCTCTTCCAGGCTGACCCTGAGGCCAAGGTGCTAGCTTCGCAGAGGGCAGGCAGGCAGAGGGCGGGTGGACCCAAGAGCAGAGGGGCAGGCCGCTGGTGCTGGAGCCTGGGTCCATTCTTTGGGTGGGCTGAGGGGAGGAAGAGATCAAAGGAGAGCTGCTTTGGGGGGGGGAATTTTGTGGCAGGAAACCACTGCCAGTGGTCTCGAGGATGTTTGCTTTTCTTCATGGGGAAGAAGAGGCATGAGGGCTGCATAGTAACTAGAGAGAAGATCTAGGTTGAGTCCTACCTCTGTCCCCAGTCCCCCCCCCCGGATGTGTGTCCCTGGGCAAGTCTTGAATACTTGGGGCTTTAGCAGCCCTGTAAGTCCGGAAATGGCAGAAAAGGTGCCAATCAGTGTTGGTAGAGGTTGTTTTCTCTTGCAAGAGTTTTGTCTATCCCTGAGACCCCGGGGCAGGGTCCAGCCCCATTCCTTTCCTTCTCTTCTCTGGCTCTGGGCTCTTTCCTACCCCTCTCGAGGAACTTTAGTAATTATGTGAATTTGAAACCTTGCCCCTCACACTGGCCTTTAGAACCAAGCCAAGGGCAAAGGTGAGGCAGCCCTCTGCATCTGAGGGTTTAGGACTGGAGAGGCCTTTGTACGTCCTAGTCTGGAGGAATTTCCACCTAAAGAGCTCTGAGGGTCACCCGGGCCAAGCTTTTGGCGAGAGGGCTAGGCTCTTCCTTGGGAGATGATGAATGTCTTTAAGCGTTCAGGCTCACGTTGGGGGGTGGCTGAGTAGGAAGGGCTCTTCTAAATACCTATGTCAAAGAGTCTCTGCTAAATACTGTCCTGGACGAGGGATGAGCCTTGTTCTGTTTGGCTCCACGGGGCAGAGCCAGGAGGAGGGGGATTGCAGAGGCAGATTAGGTTTGCTGTAAGGAGCCAGCTTCCTGAGGCCTGGAGCTGTCCCAGAGTGGAGTGGGCTGACTCCCTTTCACTGAGGGTCATTAAGCAAAGGCCTGGTGGCACTAGATGTCTGTTTAGGCACTAGTTGGACTAAATGCCCCTGAGGTCACTAGGTGACCTTGGACACCTCTCTCTGCCTCAGTGTCTCCATTTGTAAAATGGTGGGTTGGACTAGTTTTCTGATGTCCCTTCTGACCCTTGACCTTGGGTCACATAATCCCTGCCCACTTTGAGATTCTGTGAGATGATCATATCTAGGCCTCATTTTACAGGGGGGAAACTGAGGCTCAGACTAAGGCAGAGACTGGGAAACCTCAACACCCCATTTTTCCCCAAAGGGAATAACTAAGTTGGGGAGAGCTTTGGTCTCTGTTCCCAGAAACTTTAATACTGATGGGGAGAGATGATCTATTGGTCATGCCAACCTGGATCGATGTGTGTGTGCAAGCACCTCTGTGTGTGTGTGTGTGTGTGTGTGTGTGGTGGAATCTTTGGTGCCAATGTGGCAGGTGCTATCTGGGCACCTCTAACTGCCCCCCCCAGGGGCACAGTTGGGGGTTGCTGGAGGAGGAGCTGACTAATCTTGTGCTCTAGTCTGAGTGCTGTCACATAACATTGGGCAAGTCCCTTCCCCTTCGTAGGCCTTGCCTTTTCTTGGGGAGTATGGGCAGGAGAGGTGGGAGAGCACAGGGTGTGTTTGGAGGGCAGAGGATGAGTAGTCCAGGGTAAGCTTGGAGAGGGAGGCACGTGCCAGGCAGTGCACAACTGTGCTGACTTTCCTGCGGCCCTTGGTCAGGTGTGGGCACACTTGCATGTATGTGTGTGTGTGTGGGCACACAGGTGCGTGAGTGTGAATGTGTCTCTGCGTATGGGTACAGATGTGTATGTGTGTGGGTGTGTAGGCAGACACTTGTGTGAGTGGGTGTGTGGGTACACAGGTGTGTGTGTATGTTTGTATGTCTGGGTGTGGGCACAGGTGTGGATTGGGTGTGGAGGCATGTATACAGGCATATGTGTGAGTATGGCTGTGCATGGGCACGCCTGTCTATGCAGGTTTATGTGGGGAGGGGGCTGAGATGAGGCTGAGAGGGGTTGTGACCCTTGTGTGTGTGTGCAGACATGCATGCACACGTGTTTGTGTGGGTGGGGCCATGATAAGGTATGTGTGTGTGGGCACACGTGTATGTTTACACACCTGTCCGGGCTCTTGGGGTATGCCCGTTTGTGCATGGTGGGGCAAGGCGGAGATGAGGATGTGGTGTGATTCTTGTGTGTGTATAGCTGCGCACACGTGTATGTGTGCAGGCTCACGGTGCATGCCTATTTGTGGGGGGCAGGGCCGGTGGTGTGTGGCCTCGTGGGGGCGGGGCTGAGAGGAGGGAAGCAGCGGCGGGCCTCAGCGGGCAGTGGGCCATGGGCTGCTGTGGGCTGCCACGGCGGCGGGTTCTGACTCCCTGCCCTCCCCAGGTGAAGCTGGTTTTTGTGGAAGATCAAGCCGTGGTGGAGACCGTCTTCTTCCTCACGTCCAGCATGATGGCCCTGCTGCGCCGCTTCCCCCTCATGCTGTTCTTTGACCGCCTCCCGGGCCTGCAGGGCACCTTTGATCTGTCCACGGTGCTCTGTGTGGATGACCGCGGCCGTGGCCGGGAGGTGGCCTGCTGTCTCACGCGCCAGACCACCCCCAACCTTCTGCGCTTCACGCTCGCCTCGCTGGTGCAGAGCGTCCCGGAGATCAAGGGCCGCGTGCGCTGCGTCACTGTGGGGCCCGAGGTGGGCACGCAGCTGGAGGCCGTCCGAGAGCTGCTGCCCGGGGCTCGCGTCCAGATCTGCCGGGTCCAGGTGCTGGAGACGCTCTTCAGCAAAGCCCAGGAGCTGGGCGGGGCCGGGGAGGACCCCGGGCTGTGGCCGCTGCTCTGCCGCCTGGCTGGGGCGGCCTCCGCCGCAGCCTACATGGAGCTCTGGCCGAACTGCGGGCTACCTGCCCGGCTGCCTTCGTGGACTACTTTGAGCGCAGCTGGGCACCCCGCAGGGCCATGTGGGTGCGCCTGTGGGCCTTTGAGACAGCCCGAAATGTGGATGCTTGTGCCCTGGTCCGAGGGCATCGGCAGCGCTTGCTGCGGGGGCTTAGCCCCTCACCCACAGTTGCCCAGTGTATCCGTGACCTAGTGGCCTTGCAGCGGGGGCACAGTGAGGGAGAGGGGCTGGTGGGAGAAGAGGGCCTGTCCAAGGCCACTCTGACCGGACCTGGGGTGGGGTTAGAGAATGGAGGCGGAAGGGGGTTGCAGTGGGAAGATAGAGGGGGCAGGGGAACACAGTTGGGAGAAGGAGGTGTGCAGTTAGGGGACCGAGGACTGAGAGAGGGAGGCATACAGTTAGGAGACACAGGGGACAGGGGAACACAGTGGGGGGACAGAGGTGAGTGGGGGATGCATTTTGGGGAAAGAGATGTACAGCTTGTGGACAGAGGGGATAAGGAGACACGGTTGGGAGGGATCGGTAGAGAGTTGAGAGAAAGAGGGATGTATTTATGGGAAAGAAGAGTAAGATTAGGAGATAGAGAGGGGAGGAGCAGACAACTGGGGGGAGGCAGTGTACAGATGGGAGACAGAGGGGAGAGGGGGCTGCCTTTGTGGGAGAGAGGTGTACAGTTTGGGGACAGAGGAGAGAGGGGGCTGCCTTTGTGGGAGAGAGGTATACAGTTGGGAGATAGAGGAGAGAGGGGACTACCTTTGTGGGAGAGAGGTATACAGTTGGACAGAGGAGAGAGGGGGCTATCATTGTGGGAGAGAGGTATACAGTTGGGGAACGGAGGGGACAGGAGGATGCAGCTGGGGGAGAGAGGTATGCAGTTGGAGGACAGAGGGGAGAGAGGATTCCATTTGTGGGAGAGAGGTATACAGTTGGGGGACAGAGAAGAGAGTAGGACTCAGTTGGGAGAAAGCGATGCACAGCTAGAGGACGGAGGGGGAAGAGGGACAGAGCTGGGAGAGGGCAGTATTCAGTTTGAGGACAGAGGGGAGAGGGGGATGCATTTGTGGGATGGAGGGCAAAGGATGCAGCTGGGGGACAGAGAGGAGGCTGGGGCCACAGTGGGAGAGCTTCAGGGAAGAGGGAGGACGGCTGCGGTTGGAGATGAGAGGGCGTCGGCCCGGAAGCGGCCCAGAAGCTCCTCGGAGGAGGAGGATTGGGAGCTGCTGTCTAGGTTCCGGGCTGTGTGTGGGCCGGAGCTGGCTGGTCTGGTGGCTGAGGAGCTCACCTTTGCCCGGCAGCATGGGCTCAGGGGCTTCCGGTGGACTGGGACAGGCTACACACTGCAGGACGGGACCTCGGACTTCCTCCTGGATGCGGCGCTGACCCGCTGCAGCTGCTCCATCCACGCTGCCCGCCACCTCCCCTGTCGCCACCTCTTTGCTGCCCGCCTTGTGGTGGGGGCTGCCCTATTTCACATGGACCTGCTCAGGGACAGCTGGGGAGGGGCCCCTGAGCCTTGAGCCTTGGAACTCTACCCCCCTGCCCTGCACCTCCCACCACCGGGAGTGAGGGTGCTCAGTGAGGTCCAAAAATCCGGGAGCTCCCTTTCCTGCCTCCCTTGGGATTTTTTACTTTGGGGAAGGACAAGTGCTCGGAGATCCCCAAGCCCACTCGTACGTGGTGGACAAAGTGATTCTTCAGTAGCTGTCACAGAATTCTTCCCCTTTCCTGTCCCCCAAGAGGAATGGAAAAGGTGATAGCTGAGGGATGTGGGCAGAGGGGAATTAGGGTGAGAATAGAAATAGAGGTTAGGAAAAGGGGGAAAGAGAGAAGAGAAAGGAGGAGAGCTGGGAGAAGACAGAAGGGGAGAGGAGAGGTGAAGGTAGGTGATGCATGTAAGAGAAGGAATGGAAGGAGCCAGTTGACTTTCAGCTGGATTCCTCACTCGGATTGGCCCCCATTCAGCAAACTAGACGGGCCGTGGCTGCTGGGCCTGAGAGGGAGGAGAGAGCGGGAAAGAGGATGACTCACACGGTTTGGCAAGGGGACCGTTCCCGGCCTGTCTGTCAAGAAGTGAACGTGGGGGTTTGATTTCTGTTCCCATAAGAAGGACTCTTTTGGGAGAGCGAGGCTGCTGGGGGGTGGGGTGGCGATAGGGGTGGGAGGGCTAAATAGGGGGCTGGACTTTACCATCTCCTCCAATCCCAAGCACTTCCAAAGCTTCTACCCGGTGGCAGGCAGGGAAAAAAAAGAAAAAAGAAAAAAAGACGTAGCTTCCCCTTATAGAGCTTAAGTCCAAGTGGGGCCGATGAGTCACATCTACAGGTCAGTATGAGTACCCTCTGTGCCAAGCTCTAGGCCTATGTGGGTGTGGACTTCAAGCTGGAGAGATTCTAGCAAAATATCTCTTTGATTTCTTTTGCTTCTTCTGCCATGAGTTAAGTCTGGGAAATCTCAGAATACCTTGTATCTCCGATCTCCACAAATATGGGTAGTTGGGTTCAAGGTAACAAAGGGATTTGTACAGGGAATTGTTAGTGTCCTCCATGTGTGTCTTGAGAGAATCTGTGGGGTTGAGTCGATTCTGAGCAAGTCCTTTTCACTGGGCCTCAGTTTCCTCATCTGTGAAACAAGAGGCTTAAAATAGATGGCCCTCAATCCTATAGAATCCTACAGAATGATCAGTAAATGGGATTGAGCTGTGTGGGCTGGGTTTCTTGGAAACAGGAGCACAGAGATTTTGGGCTTCCAGGGCTCTGGACCCTATTGTTCCTTCTCTCTCCTTGGTTTCCATGGGTGGTAAACCCCCAGGAATCAGCAGGCCTCTGGCTGGCAGGCAGTCTGGCTAACTTGAGGATGGTGCCCTGTCAATGGCAAGGAGTGGGAGTGGCTTAGAGCTCCCAGGCCATTATGGGATTAGAACATTTAGTGCCAACCTTTAATTTACGGAGCCCTAGAAAGATTGTGAATACATTTGAATTCAGTGTCCTTTTGGCTGTGTTCCCTTGGAAACTGGGCTTTGGCAAGGCACTGAAGTGTTGTGACCTGGAAGGGCCATCTTGGAACATGGGGGAGCTTGTGGCTTGGTCCCCAGCCCAACCCTACCTTGTGATGCTTACTGATCTCCAGTAAACTTCTTTGGGCCTGGTACATCAGTGTCACTTGAGAAATGCTTGCTGGTCAATTGATTGTGTCCTTGGTTCTCCTTGGGGTAAGGAGGGTTTACCAAATCCCTGGTCTCAGACCAGGTATCTCTGAAGGTTGGTCCAGACTGTAGATTATCAGATGAACTGCTAAAACCCCAGTCCCAAGAGTTGGAAAGGATTTCAGACCTTATCTAGTTCAACCGGAATCTGAAGTATTCCTTTGTCTCCCATCCTGAGTTTTCTTATCTGTAAAATGTAATCCCCACGCACATCAAAATGCTTCCCTGCTGTCTCACCCTAGGATGGAGGGTGTTCTCCCAGGTGGAAAGGCATCCAGCCTGGATGGGTAGACTGTGTAGCCAGGGGTTGGAGTTTGGCCCCCAGTGTTGAAGAGTTTTTGGCCACAGGACCACACTCATTCAATTGCACTGAATAATTGTATAGTAAGCATCTACTGTGAGGCAGGCACTGAGACAAGAGTGTACATGCCTTTGGGGGTGAGGGGAAATGTGAGCAAATGAAAACCTTTGGTCTCCCTGTGGCAGTACGAAGGAGGAGGGAATTGTAAGCAATGCCTGAGTTGGAGAACACCTCTGCGCCTCTAGTCCAACCCAGAGTGGCTGAGAAGTGGTTCAAAGATGTAGAAGTGCTGGAAACCCACAATGTGGAGGGGCGTCCCATTTCACCTGGAGAGGTCCAGTTGTTTGGAAGCTTTTTCTGACTCAGATGTTCCCATTGCTCCTGGGACACATGAGCCCTTTGGGACCAGACTGAGTAAGTGTATCTGTGAGAACACGTCCTTACTCTAATGTCGTGCCTTCTCTATCCCCCCCAGTTTCCTTTCCTCATGGCCCTTCACCACCCTGGAGATTCTCCAGTTAATCAACATCTTTCTTAAATAGTGGTGTTTTAAAAAAGGCCACAGAATAGAGGCCTAACCTGGCTGGCCCCATCAGATGGCATCAAGGGGCCAGTGGACACAACAAAGAGGGGGCTAAGAGCTTACTTTCAATACATGGCAATGAAAGAGGTGTAGGAGTGAAACAAAACAGGTGAGTGTGTGTGTGTGTGTGTGTACACACACATAGACATAAATAGGGTGGAAATGTTGAGTTTTAGGGGTGCTGGGACCCAAATATCACAACATGCAGATCCTGCCCGAAAGAATTCTACCCAAGCCTTCTTTCTGCCAAAGACAAGGTTTATTAGAATATCGGGCAGACTCGTAAGGAGTCTGAACATTAGGGAGCTAGTGGCTAGATTGTAAGAATCTGAGCAGTGGCTAGATTTTAAGAATATGAGCAATGGTTAGATTATAAGAATCTAAGCACCTTAATGGAGACAAAATGGACCTTGTATATAGAAAGACTGTGGGAGGGATCTAGGAGTGGCCAAGTAGTTTGGGGTGACTGGAGGAGGGGTCTAAGGAGGACCTGGATGGGAGTGGCCAGTAAGCTGGGGTGAACAGAACTCCTGGGACCTGGACCACGTGGCCAAGGGAAAATGGAGCCTAGCTAGGATTAAGGGTGGGAAATGGCTGGGGGCCATAGAGAGGTAAAACAAGGGAGAGCTAGGCTAGATTAAGGGTAACAGAATTGGGAGATTGGGAGTAGCCACAATGAAAGGCCAGTTGATGGGTTTATAGTTTAATGTGAATGACAGAGATTTGGCCGTGTGGGAAAGTCCAGGATTTTTCCTTTCTAGGGTCCAGATCCCAACCCCATCATTAAGACATGATGGGAACTGTCCAGACATGGTAGCCAGTGGGGAACCCATTTTGCTCTGGGCTTTCAGAGGCCAGGATGAGCTAGGCCACCTGTCTGGCTGGGTAGAGCACACAAGGTGGATGGTATTCCATTCCTCTCAGAAGGAGAGATGGGCCTAGCTGACCCAAGGACAGGGAATAAGGCTGCCAGACAGAGGTGGGAAGGGTGGGGAAGTGGGGAGGGTCTGAGAGAAGCGGGGTGGGGGATGTGGGGAAAGGCGGACCTACAGCTGATCCTCCCGAACTTCCAGGAGGTTTCTGCAGCTCTGGAACCCCATGCCCCTCCTCAGGCCCTGCCCATAGACATCAGGCTCCACCCCTGGAAAACAATCTGACTCAGGCCCCTCCCCCAGGAAACTGACAATCAATCAATAAACATTTATTAAACTCCTACTATGTGCCAGGTACTACACTAAGTGCTGGGGAGTCAAAAAGAGGCAAAAGACAGTCCCTGTCCTCAAGAAGCTTACAATCTAATGGCGGAGACAACATGCAAACAAATACACGGTGTACAAAGCAAGCTATATAGAGGATAAATGAGGTGATGATTAGCAGAGGGAAGGCACTGGAATTAAGAGGGTTGCTGCCTCGGCAAAAACTACAACCAATCCTTGCCTCCTCAGGCTCTTGATCAGTCCTGTCCAACTCTTACTGACCCCATTTGGGGTTTTCTTGGCAAAGATACTGGCTGGACTGGTTTGCCATTTCCTTCTCCAGTTTTTTTTTTTAAACAGAGGAGGAAACTGAGGCAAACAGGGTTAAGTGACTTGCTCAGTCACACGGCTAGTGAGTGTCTGAGGCTGAATTTGAACTTAGATCTTCCTGACTCCAGGCCCTCAGGTCTTGCCCATAGACATCTTCAAGCTCCTTCCCAGTGAAACAGACTATCCCAGGTCCCGCCCCCCAGGAAACCAGCAACCAGGGCCAGGCCCCGCCTCTGCATCCTTAGGATCTCACCGTTGCTATGGAAACAACACGCTCCTTCCCAAAGCCCCGCCCCCCCGGCGTGCCCTCCGTCCCTTCAAAGGCCATGGGCACCTGCTCCAAGGCTCCTGAAGGGAGAGGGAGCTGAAGTAGTTAAGTGAGGACTACAACTCCCAGGATGCCACGCGCTCCCCTTTCCTCGGACGGCGGCTGCCGCTGTCCAGTCTCGGGAAGGAGATCCGCGCGTGCGCTGGGTGGGGGGGCGGGGGGAGAAGGAGGGAGGGGGGGGTCGTCGCCCCTCCGCGGGAATTTCTTCGGGAGCATGTGCGGAAGTGGCGGGACGCTGAGGGCGCGCGGGGCATTGTGGGCTTGTCTCCCAGGCCGCTGCTCGGGGGGCTCGCTCCGCGCCGCCATCTCTCGGGGAACAGAGGAGGGGGCAGGGGTGGAGGCGGAGGCCGCTCCGGTCTCCATGGTAACACGCCAGGCCGGGTGGGGGTGGGTGGCCATGATGATGGGGGAGGGAGGAGGAGCGGCCCTGGTCGCCATGGTGACGGAGGGGGTTAATGAGTGGGAGCGCAGTGGGTCTCCATGGTAATGGAAGAGGGTGGGGTGGGTGGGGCTGTGCTGCTCAGAGTAGTTCCCCACCTTGACCGTGACCTATGACCCTTTTTACCTTTACCCCCAGGCCTGTTTTGATGCTATCCCACTCCCAGGCCCCTGGGTCTGATCTCATCCTGAGCCCTCCCAGGGCTCTCCCTGTCCTTGTCCCCTTTTCCCGGTCCTGTCTCCATCCTCATCCCCATCCCCAGCCTCATCCCTTTGTCCTGCCCGTGCGCCTGGCCCCATCGCCATCTCCGTCCCTGGTGCTGACCCCATCCCCATCTCCGCACTGCCCTGCTGTCCCCAAACTGCCCCCAGCCCATCAGGTTTCATGCCGTCCCTTTCCCGGTCCTTTCCTTTCCCCCGTCTCCAGTTGCTTGTTGATCCCGTCCTGCCCCTGCTCTCACCTGGTGCTGCTCCTTGCCTTCCTCCTCTTCAGCCTGTCCTCTGACCCCTCCAGCTCCCACTCCCTGCCTTACCCTCTTTCTCTTGTGGCCCGCCCCTAGCCCAGCTCCAGCTCACATCCCCTGTCTCCCTGTAACCAGATCTCTTCCTGAAATCCTTTCTTCCCCTTGAACCTGTCTGCTCTTCCATCTCCAGCTCTGATCTGTACTCCCAGCCCCATCCCTCTTCAGGGAATTTCTTTAGTGCTTTTATTACATTCTTTCACATGGTCCTTGTGAGGTAGGCAGATAGTACAGGTCAATCCGTCAGTCACTAAACATTAAGTGTCTACTGTGTGCCAGGCCCTGTGCTAAGTGCTGGAGATATAAAAAAAGAGGCAAAAGTCAGTCCCTGCCCTCAAGGAGCTCACAGTATAATGGGGAAGACAACAAGTAGCCAAAGATGTACGGACAAGGTATAGACAGGATATTTGGGAAATAATTAGCAGAGGGAAGGCACTGTAATTAAGAGAGATTGCAGCAGGCTTCCTGTACATGAGATTTTATTTTATTTTTTTGGTGAGGCAGTCAGAGTTAAGTGACTTGTTCAGGGTCACACAGTAAGTTTCAAGAGTCTGAGGTCAGATTTGAACTCAGGTCCTCTTGCCTCCAAAGCCAGAGCTCTCTCCACTGTACCACCTAGCTGCCCCCAGATGAGGTTTTACCTGGGACTTAAAGGAAGCCAGGGAGAGCAGATGAAGAGGCAGAGATGAGGAGGGAAAATGTCCCAGGCTTGGGGGACTTCCAGAGTGGATGGCCAAGGAGGTCTGTGAGAGGAACAGCAAAGAGGTTGGTATCGCTGGATCTAAAAGCACAGATTGCTGTGGAAGTCGTAAGATGATTGCAAAGGAGGGTAGTTTAAGAAGGGCTTTGAACTCCAAACAAGATTTTCTGTTTGATTCTAGAGGTGATAAGGAGCTGCTGGAGTTTATTGTGTGTAGGTACCATGGTTGGATCTGTACTTTACAAAATCACTTTAGTGGCTGAGCGGAGGATGGATGGGAGTGAGGAAACACTGGAGGGAGGTTGACCCTCCTCCCCCCAGCAACTATTGAAGTAATCCAGGTGTGAGGTGATGAGGGCCTGCCCTAGGGTAGGGACTGTGTCAGAGGAGAGAAGGGCATACTAGGGAGATGCTTCGAAGGTGAAGTCGATAGGTCTTGGCACCAGCTTGGATATGGTGAGGGGAGAGAGTCCAGGATGACTCCTAGCTTGTGAGCCTGAGGCACTTGGGAGGGTGGGGGGACCCTCCACAGTAATAGGGAATGTGGGGGGGGGGCAAAAGGGAAAGATAATGGGTTCAGTTTTGGAATTGTTGAATGTAAATGTCTATGGGACATAATAAGGGAGAGAGGGGTGTCCCAAAACCTGGAAAGAAGAGAGTGTCAATGGGAAGTGGGTGATTGACAGCGTCCAGGCATCCTGCCGAGAAGACAAGAAGGAGATGGGTTGAGAAGTCTAAAGGGATCATTGGTAACTGGCGAGCAGCTTGGGTGGAGTGATGAGGTCAGAAGTCAGTTTGTAAGGGGTTAAGAAGGGAGTGAGAGGAAAGGAATCGGAGGCCCCCCACTGTAGAGATGGCCTTCTCAGAGAGCTTAGACACCAAGGGCAGAAGAGAAATGGGGCGACAGTGGGGTGGGGGGATCAAGGAAGGGTTTTTGGATGGTGGGGGAGATGTGGATGTGTTTGTAGGTAGTAGGGAAGCAGCTTGAGAAGTGAAAGAGAGTGCTGACAGAGGGGCTGTCTGTGGGAGAAGGTGAGATGGGAGGGGATTCTAGCTTTGGCTAGGAGTGAGACAGGGATGAAGGGGGAGCAAGTGGAAGAAGGTATAGGCGTGACAGCGGGTGAGGGGGAGGGGACGAGAGAGGGAGCTCATAGCCAATGGCCTGGGTTTTTTTTTTCCTCAGTAAAATAGAAGACCAGGTCCTCATCTAAGAGAGCCTGAGTCCAGGGATTATTATCCCCATTTTTCAGATGAGGAAACTAAGGCTTGAAGGGGCTTAGTGTCTTTCTTGAGGTCTCACGGTTAGGAAGTGTCAGAGGAGGGACTGGGAGCCTTTGTGGTGCTCTCACTGCACACAGTCAATCCTCAGGAAGACTTGACTCCCTGGTTCCGAGCACCTCTGCTGCCCCTGCACGTAGTTAGCCCTCAGGAAGAAGACGTGGGTGCACTCTGGGGTGGGAGGTGGGATGCGGAGAGGGTAGGAAGGAGCCTCATGGTGCACCTGTCATCCATCCCGCAGCCGGAGGAAGGAGCCTCGCACCGCGCGGACCTCTCTGCTGGTGGCGCCGCCATGGGTGAGCTGGGCCCGGGCCTGGAGTTTCACACGTGGCACCACTTCAGTACCTTCTTTGATGACTGGTGTGAGCGGCACAAGGTGCTGTTCATCATCGCCAGCCTCAAGCCCCTGATCTCTCTGCGCCAGCCTCCGCTGCCCTACCTGCCCAGCCTGGCCACCACCCTGCGCTTCCGCTTTGTGCGCCTCATCTGCAAGCACAGCGGTACCTATGTGGGGCAGAGCGTTGTGCAGCGAGACCGGCAGTGAGTGCCTCCTTCCTGCCCCCTTCCTGGGTGGGTTGGGGGGGGCTGCTGGCATGATTGTCGACAGAATCCCAAAGATGTGGGAGAGGAAGTGGGGGTCAGGCATCAGCAGGCCCCAAGGGAGGCGGTTTGAGAGGTGGGAGCCAAATCCCTGGCCAAAGTGTGACCCTCAGCTTCCTTCAGAGAGGTGACGGGCTGTAGGGGCGACCATCAGACCTGTGTGAATCTTGTGTTCAGTTCACTGTGGGCCCCAGTGGGAGGAGAGCCAGAGGGGGCTGACCAGTGTGGGCAGTAGCCCAGCGGGATAGGTTGTGGGCCCTGGGAATGGTGAGCCTGTAGGAGAGATGGCATCTGAAGGGTAGGGCTGATTTAGTCTCTCTGGACCCCAAGGGCAGAGCCAGGAGCGAGGGGTGGGGGGAAGAAGCAGGCTGACTTCAGCTCTGCTGTCCATGATGCTGCCTGGCTGTCCCCGAGTTACTTGCTCCCTAGGGCAGAGCCCCTCCCCCCACTGTCCTGTCTCTCTCAGGTTCTCTCTTTCCCACCTTTCTCCTGTCTCCTCACCCCCCTCCTGCTCTCTCCCTGCCAGAAGCCAGAAGATTGACTGTCCGGCCCTCATCACCCTCCGCCTGGGCCCCAAGAAGGATCGGCTGGTGGTGACGGAGGCCAGACTGCAGCATAACCATGAGTTCTCGCCCAGGGAGTTCTCCCGATGCTTCAAGCGCCGCCAGCTGGAAGCCAGCCTGGGCCTGCCCATTCGTATCACCAACAGTGTCTCCAAGCGCTTTCTGGCCCCTGACCTTGTGTGGAACCTGGAAGACTACAGCCGGGCCAAGGATAAAGGCATGTGCAAGCTGCTTGGGGAGATGCACACACTCTTCCGGGCTGACCCGGGGGCCAAGGTCAAGCTGGTCTTCCAGGAGGATGTGGCCATCCTCAACTCCATCTTCTTGGCCACGTCTCACATGCGCCAGCTGGCGCGCTCCTTCCCCCGCCTCCTTTTCCTGGACCAGGCGGCCAGCCTGCCTGGAGATTTTGAGCTGTACTCCGTCCTTTGCCAGGATGCCAATGGGCGAGGCCGTGAGGTGGCCTACTGCCTTGCCCGCGGAGGCACGCCTGACTTGCTGGTCTTCATCGTGGCCTCTTTGGTGCAGAGTGTCCCTGAGATCAAGGCCCTGGTGGAGTGTCTTACCATTGGTGTGTCCTGCCTCGCAGGTGTGGATGCTGTAGAGGAGGTCTTGCCCCGCGCTCGAGTGCAGGTGTGTCGTGCTCAGGTCCTAGAGGTGCTGGGGCGTAGAGCCCGGCAGCTGGCTGTGGCTGGGGAGCGGCACGTTGTCAACCTCCTTCACAACCTGGCCAACGCAGCCTCCCCCAAGGTCTACAGCCAGTATCTCAGTGACCTGGAAGATGTGGCCCCTCTAGAGTTCCTCCGCTACTTTCTGGAGACCTGGCATCCACACAAAGGCTCCTGGGTCGCCTGCTGGGCATACCATCGCGGGGAGAGCTGCCCCTTCGTGGACCACCTCGAGGCTCACAGGCAGAAGCTGTTACCTGCCCTGGCACGAGATTCATCTCTAGCGGGCTCTGTTCGGGGCCTGCTGGACCTTGAGAGCCTGCCCATGGAACTTCAGGGGCTGCAGGCTGAAGAAGTGGCTGAGCGCTACCAGGCAGTAGGACCTGGGGAGGTGGCAGCCCTGGTGGCTGAGGAGCTAGCACTGGCCCGCCATGGCGAGGGCATCCAGCCGGCAGAAGGTGGGGGCTTTGTGCTGGAAGGGACAGGCCGGGGAGCCACCTTCACTGTGGGGGCCGACCTGGCCTCCTGTAGCTGCTCTATTTTCACAGCCGGCCACCGGCCCTGCCGTCACATCTTTGCTGCACGCCTTTGGGCAGGGAAGGCCCTCTTTGATGTCAGCCTTCTGCCCCCTGCGGGTGGTGATGATGGGTAAGGCTCTTGCCTGGGACCATGGTAGGGCCTCCCTTTTTGCTAGCTCCTACACTCGAGAGGGTAGAAGAGAACATCATGGGTTGGCCTTCTTCATCCTATTCCCCTGCCCCTCAGACCTGGACTGGCCTGGGAAGGAGGGGAGCCCATCAGGCTGGTAGGGTGGGTGCCTGCCACAGGAACAAGAGAACACGAGGGGCAGTTTTGTATGATTCCTGGCAAGAATAAAACACATTCTGTGGGGTGTTCTACCTCCCACAAGCTGGGACACTTTTTTGAGGAAAGGGGTGGTTGGATACTGGGCATGAAAGTGCATTTTCTTACCTGTGAAAGATGTGGTGGGGGTGAGGTTGCAGTAGATGATCCTGAGGGCCCCTCTCAGCTCTAACATCCTTTTTGGTGTCAGAGAACCCCACAAGAAGGCTCTCCCCCATTGGGTCCAGCTTCCCTGGTACTGACGTTCATTCTGTTACTTGACTCAGTGAATCCAGCATGCATTTTATAAACACTTGCTGTGTGAGGGCCATGTGCTTGGTGACGCCAGGAGAGTTTGGATACTGTGGCTGCTCTCCTGCAGGTCATAGACTAGCGGGAAGATGAGTGACAGGCGGGTAACAGACATGGCATTATGGAGTCTGTCGGGTGCCGAGCAAAGGCCTTTCCTGCTGGGCAGAGGGAGGAGGGGTCATGGAAAGCCTCTTAGAGGAGAGGGCGTTATTGGAGCTGGTCACTGAGGGATGGGCGGGAGTGGAAGGTGGAGAGGAAAGGCCAGCGGGCCAGGGCCCTGTGCTGAGACTGACCTGGCCTCCACCTTCCGGCCTGGAATGTCTCCTGGGCCCTGACTAACTCTTACAGTCTGGATTTAGAGACAGGAGATGCCTTCAAGGACATGTAGCTTAATCCCCACGTTGCTGATGAGGCAACTGAGGCACTCCCCGCCCCCCTGCCCCAGTTCAACGACTTACCCAAGGTCATTGTAACTGGGGAGTGTCAGACTCAGAATGTGAACCCAGGTCTTTCAGACTTCCAGGTCCAATACACTTTTTACTACCTAATTGCTTGAGAGTGCTGGTCTTCAGTTTCCTCATTTATAAAATGGGTGGGTAGGTTGGATTAGATCAGGGCTTCTCAACCTTGTTTGTGTCATGGCATTCTGGAAGCCTGTGGGCCCCTTCTCAGAATAATGGCTTTTTAAGAATTAATTTTTAATAGTGTTTTAGCTTTTCCAATTACACGTAAAAATAATTTTTTGCATTCATTTAAAAAACATTTTGAGTTCCAAATTTTTTCTGTCCCTTTCCTCCACCATCCCTAAAAAGGTAAAAATTTTAAATTGGTTATATGTACAATCATGTAAAATATATTTCAACGTTAGTCATGTTGTGGAAGAAGAAACAGATCCGAAAGAAAAAAAACACATGAAAAAAATAAAGTGAAAACTAGTATGCTTCGATCTTCATTCAGACTCCATCAGTTATTTCTCTGGATGTGGATAGCATTTTCCATCATTAGTCTTTTGGAATTGACTTTGATCATTATATTGCTGAGAAGAGCTAAGTCATTCATAGTGGATCATTGTACAATATTGCTTCCTGGTTATGCTCACTTCACTTTGCATCAGTTCATGTAAATCTTTGTAGGTTTCAGAATAATGTTTTGAAATGCAAAAAAAAAATACATAGGATTATAAAGGAAACTATATTGAGATACAGTTGTCAAAATATTTATTAAAAAGTTGAGGGACTCCACTTAGGAACTCCTGAGTCAGATGCCTCTTTTAAAAAAAATTATTGAATATTTTGTTTTTCCCTAATTACATGTAAAACCAATTTTTAACATTATTGAATATTTTATTTTTCCCCAATTACATGTAAAAACAATTTTTAACATTTGCCTTTTAAAAAAATTTTTAGTTCCAAATTCTCTTACTACTCTCCTTTCCCCCTTTATTGAGAAGGCAAGCAATTTGATATAGGTTATGTATTTGCAGTCATGCAAAACATTTCCATATTAGTTGTGTTATGAAAGAGAACACAGACAGAAAAAAACCCAACGGGAAAAATAAAGAAAATTTTAAAAAGTGTGATTCAATCTGCATTCAGACTCCATCAGTCCTTTCTCTGGATGTGGATAGCATTTTTTTTTTTACCGTAAGTCCTTTGGAATTGTCTTGGATCATTGTTTTGCTGAAAATAGCTAAGTCATTCACAATTGATCATTGTACAATATTGTTGTTACTATGTACAATATTCTGTTTCTGCTTATTTCACTTTGCATCAGTTCATGTAGGTCTTTCTAGGTTTTTTTTGAGAGTATCCTGCTTATCATTTCCTATGGCACAATAGTATCCCATCATAATCATATGCCACAAATTGTTCAGCCATTTTTCAATTGATGGGCATCCCCTCAATTTCCAATTCTTTGCCACCATAAAACTGCTACAAATATTTATGTACATATAGTTCCTTTTCCTTTTTTTTTTTTTGGAGATAGATCTAGTAGTAATATTGCTGGGTCAAAGGTTATGCATCGGGGGCAGCTAGGTGGTGCAGTGGATACAGCACTGGCCCTGAAGTCAGGAGTACCTGAGGTCAAATCTGGCCTCAGACCAAACACTAGCTCTGTGACCCTGGGCAAGTCACTTAACCCCATTTGCCTTAAAAAAAAAAGTTATGCATGGTTTTATAGCCCTTTGGGCATAGTTCCAAATTCAATCAAATGGTTGAATGGCACAACTCCACCACTGGTGCACTAGTGTCCCTCCAACGTTTGTCATTTTCCTTTTCTGTTATATTAGCCCATCTAATAGGTGGAGGTGGTACCTCAGAGTTGTTTTAATTTGCATCTCTCTAATCAATAGTTATTTAGAGCATTTTTTCTTACTACTATAGATAGTTTTGATTTCTTAATCTGAAAACTGCCTGTTTATGTCCTTTGGGGGGAAAAATGGACATTCAATGAAATAGTGGACTTTGAAGTATTTGTAGTGAAAAGACCAGAACTGAATAGAAAATTTGACTTTCAAATACAAGACTCAAGAAAAGGTAAACTAGGAAATAGAAATCATAAGGGACTCAATAAGATTAAACTGTTTATATTCCTACATGGGGAATTCCCTGAATTTATCAATTGGGGAATGGCTCTTATTTTTATAAATTTGACTCAATTTTCTATATGTTTGAGAATTGAGGCCTTGCTAGAATTTTTTTTTCACAGTTACAGTTTTTAACTGTGTATTTACCTCTATCCTATTTCCCCCACATTTATCCTATTCTCTTTCTCCTTTCACCCTGTCCATCTTCAAAAGTGTTTTCCCTCTCACTACTGCCTCCCCCCATCCACCATCCCTTCTATCAGCTTTCCCTTCTACTTCCCTTGCCCTCCTACTTTCCTGCATGGTAAGATAGAATTCTATACCCAGCTGAACATGTATGTTATTGCCTCTTTGAACCTCTGATGAAAGTAGAGTTCAAGTGCCTCCCCACCTTCCCTTTCACTGTAAAAGCTCTTTCGTGCCTCTTTTATGTGAGATAATTTACCCCCCTCTACCTCTCCCTTTCGCCTTCTCCCAGTGCATCTCTTTCTCATCCCTTAATTTAATTAGTTTTTTTTTTTTAGATATCCCATCATAGGCAACAACCCACCCCTGCCCTCTGTCTAGGTATACTTCTAACTGCCCTCATAATGAAAATATTCTTAGAAGTTATAAGTATCATCTTCCAAATATAGAAATGGAAACAGTTAAACCTTATTGAGTCCATTATGGTTTTTCTTTTCCATTTACCTTCTTGAGTCTTGTATTTGAAAATTAAATTTTCTATTCTGGTCTTTTCATCAGGAATGCTTGAAAGTCCTCCATTTCATTGAATGTCTACTCCTCCCACCCCCCAAAAGCTGGGTAGGTGATTTTTGGTTGTAATTCTAGCTCCTTTGCCCTCCAGAATATCATCTTCTAAGCCCTCTGATCCTTTAATGTAGAAGCTGTTAAATCTTGTGTTATCCTGACTGTGGCTCCATGATATTCAAATCATTTCTTTCTGGCTGCTTGCAGTATTTTCTCCTTGACTTAGGAGCTCTGGAATTCAGCTATGATATTTCTGGGAGTTTTCATTTTGGGATCTCTTTCAGGAGAAGACCAGTGGATTCTTCCAATTTCTGTTTTACTCTCTGGTTCTAGAATATCAGGGCAGTTTTTCTTGATAATTTCTTGAGAAGATATTTAGGCCTTTTTAAATCATGGTTTTCAGGTAGTTCAATAATTCTTAAATTCTCTCTTCTGGGTCTATTTTCCAGGTCAGTTGTTTTTCCAGTGAGATATTTCACATTTTCTTCTATTTTTAATTCTTTTGATTTTGTTTTATTGTTTCTTGATGTCTCATGGAATCATTAGCTTCCATTTCCCAATTCTAATTTTTAAAGAATTGTTATCTTCAGTGAGCTTTTGTACCTCCTTTTTCATTTGGCCAGTTCTATTTTTTAAGAAGTTCTTTTCTTCAGTGAATTTTTGTGCATCTTTTCCTATTTGTCCAATTCTTCTTTTTAAGGCATTCATCTCTTCATTGGATTTTTGTGCCTTTTTGGGCATTTGGCCTAATCTGTTTTTAAGCTGTTATTTTCTTCAATTGTTTTTTTTTTTTTTTGTGTCTCCTTAACCAAGCTGTCAAGTCTTTTTTTTTTTTTTGCATATTTTATTAATTTATTTTGATTTATCAACAATCACTTCCACATGCTTTTGAGTTTAAAATTTTTCTCCCCCTTCCTCCCTGCCACCCTCCCCAAAACGGTGCACCATCTGATATAGGCTATACATTTATATTCCTATTAAACATATTTTTCACATTAGTGAAGTTGTAAGTAAATATTGAGTCTTTTTTCATGATTTTCTTGCATCACTCTCATTTCTTGTCTCAAATTTTCCTCTACTTCTCTTGTTTGATTTTTAAATTCTTTTTGAGCTCTTCCACAGCCCGAGACCAATTTGCATTTACTTTTGAGGCTTTGGATGTAGTGGTTTTGACTTTGTTGGCTTCTTGTTAGTCTGTGTTTCGATCTTCCCCGTCGCCACAGTAACTTTCTATGGTCAGGTTCTTTTTGCTCATTTTCTAGCCTATTTAATGACTTTTAACTCTATGTTAAAGTGGGGCTGTGCTTCTGGGGTGGATGGGGCACTGTCTCAAGCTTCAGGCCTTTCTTGCTGCTGCTCTCCGAGCTCGTTCTGGGGGTCTGTAAGTTCTCAGTTCTTCCACGGTGGTGTGATCTAAGGAGAGCTGTGTTTACTGCTCTCCTAGCCTGTGCTCTGCTCTGTGAGCAATCACAAGTATTCTTTTCTTCCCTTGCTCCACTGTTACTGTCAGCGCTGGTGTGCTGGTGCTCCTCCTCAGATCCACGTATGGGCAATGCAACCAGAATCCTGCACCCAGTGCCAGCAAGAGGACCGCTGTCATCTTCTTTTGACCAGTTGTCTGACCCCCTTCCTGTCTGTTGGCTGAGGTCTGGAGGCTGCCACTCCAGCCACAGCTTCAGTTGCTCCCAAGGCCTGCCCTGGACTGCGCTCTACTCGCACACTGGTGTGACATACTTTCCTGCCTTCCTTCTAAGTTGTCTTGGGCTTGAAAATTGTTTCACTTTACCTTTTATGGGTTCTGTTGCTCCAGGATTCATTTTGAGGTAATATTTAAAGTTGTTTGGAGGGGAATTTGGGGGAGCTCAGGCAACTCTCTGCCTTTTCTCTACCTTGGCTCTGCCCCCCCATCCCTCCCCCCGCCCGCCCCAGTCAGAAGGCTTCTAAAGTGCCTTTGGGCTCTCACATGCTTGTGTCAGAGAACCTTGGTACCTTTGAGTCTTGGCTTTGCAAATGACTTGCTGGGTAACCTTAGCTAAATACCTCTGCCTTTCTTGGCCTCCATTTTCTTCTCTTTTTAAAAAGGGGTAGGGGAATGAAATCCAAGATCCTGTCAGCATAGTTAGGCAACCCTGAGACTACCTGGCCGTGTGATCCACAAAAGGTAGGCCTCCTCCTGTAGACCTGCACAAGATCCACTCCCCTGCCCCCTACCCCCAACT